GGGGGGGGGACAGGTACTGGGGATCGAACTCAGGGGTACCTGACTCCTGAGCCACATCCCCAGCCCTTTTTTGTATTTTATTTAGAGACAGGATCTCACTGAGTTGCTTAGCGCCTCGTTTTTGCTGAGGCTGGCTTTGAACATATTATCCTCCTGCCTCAGGCTCCCAAGTCTTGTGTTTGTATGTTTGGACTTCAATGGCAGACCGACAGATAGGGTGAGGCCTACAGTCCCTTCCAGGAAGTCGGCTAGGTGCCTTCCTTCCTCTGCACAGCCTGATTCTTTCCTCTTAACCCCTCTTCCACTCTCACTCACATCTTCTCTGGTCGTAACTGACTCTGGAAGAGAAGGCAGCTCTTGGAGGAGGGCTGTGTGTACAGAACTAACACGCACGCACTCACAACCCGAATTACCTTCAGAAAAACTGAGTATCAGTAATGCCCTGGGAGAGTTCCAGATCTTACTCATGCCTGTCAGAAGAGGAAAGCACCATCGCACAAGTACCTCCTCCTTCACATGTCCCCTTGCACCTGAGCCCCCGAATAACCTGTGTGCGAGGCACTGTCCCCATTTTTAAAAGCAAGAAAAGAAAGCTCAGAAAATCAAACACCTTTTGGAGCTTGCAAAGTGAACAGGTGACGTGGCTGGGAACTGTGACCAAATGGGTTTGATTCCCAAGTCCACTTTGTTTCCACGATCCCACTTAGGAGCTCCCGGGTCGGGGTGAAGAACTCCGATTGCCAGGCACTCCTGGAAGATGCACACTCGTTCTGGGGTCACCGCTGCCAAGGTCACGGAGGCTTTTGCTTCCTTGGCTGTGAGGGGAGCCAGCACTTCTCTCCTAACAAGGCAGTGGGGAGAGCAGCACCCATCACAGAGACAGACGGCGTCTACTGCTGCAGGCTCCTTCCCTCTCTTGGCCTTGGAGAAAGGACTCTGGGCCTAGTCATGGAAGAGACCCCTGGAGTCTCCCTGCCACGTTGACCTTCAGAGTCACAATCAAGAAGTTCTCGGCATTGCTTTCAACACCCCAATACTGTGAAATATCTGGGACACTTCAAATACCGTTCCAGCGGAGGCGAGGTGCTGAGGACTGGGTGGGGGTGCACTCTAGCTCTGAGTGGTCTCCGGGCCCAGCCCATGTTAGCAAGCTGGGTCATTAGTAGAAATCTGTAGTACCACTTTCTGGGTGTAGCCTCAGTTTCCTTATCTACAAAGGGAGAGTCTCCTTGTATGACTTTTAAAACCCTTCCAGCTCAAAACGTCTGTAACTTATGTGATATTTGGTTATCTAAGTCACCCCATTTTTTTGTTCGGGAAAGAAGTACTGACATTAGTACCATTAGCAAGTAATCAAATTAATCCCATGATCAAAAGGAATAAATAATCAAAGGGAAATATTGCACTGTACTCTCCAGGGTAAAATCAGGAAGTGGACAGGGGACGTGGGGCATTCGAATGGGAGCTGGCAAAGAAGCTGTCGAACCCAGGCTCCCAGGTCCCTCACAGCCAGGGAACTGAGCTCCGAGGAAGGACAAGAAACTGTGCAAAAGAGCTTCAGAGGGATCCCTAGTAAGGCGGAGCGGCTGCTGTGCAGAGGGCCATGGGCCAGGGAACCCATCCAGTGAAGCCAAAGGTGACTTCATGGTTTTTCAGCGATAACAGCCATTCACACCTGAAAGCAGCCAATCTCCATTAAAAATGTGTGTTCTCTCCTCAAAGGAAACACAGTAGACATTAGAAAGACAGGGATATGCTGGCTGCTACAGTGTATTGACATCTGTCTCTTCCCAGACGCTGGATGGGATAGGTGTGCAAGGATGAGAGAAACCACCAAGTCTCAAATGCAGCTTTTCAGAAGCAAAGCAAGAAACCCATCTGTCCAGAGCACAGGTGCTGAGGCTATGGGACTGGCCCAGCTTCTGCAGACCCCAGGGTCTCCGCAATCACGGTGGAGGAGCACTCTCCTTGAAAAATGCATGGGGCATGGCCAATCCTTGGAATTCCGTGTGGGCTGGAGGGTTGCACAGCTCCAAACAGCTGTCAAAGAGAAGCTTGGAGAGAACAAACCGGTTTGGGGCTGGTGAGCATCATCTCTGATCAGAAAATGCAACCAACCGGCAGGGAGCCCCTGGTAATGAGGACACCCACTCCCAAAGGCCAATTCTCAGGCAGCCGCTGTCCAAGGCACTCAGAGATGCAAGGAGGGGGCGAGGTCCTCACTGGGATCCAGGCTCAGAAGAAAGGACGCCAGATTTCCGAGCTTTCGGAGGCGGTGGCGGTGGGGCTTTGGCTTCTCTTCGGACAGGCAGTGGGGGTGCGGCCTGCGGGCAGAACAGGAATGAGTCTTCTTGCCTCCTCAGTCCTCCCTGCTCCACGTCCCCCACCTTCTGCTTTAGTTTTGAACTGTTGTGTGTTTATCTGCACAGCCTCCGCAAGGTGACAGGGGAACTGAGCCCATTTGTCCTCCTGGTTCCCCTTGAGCTAATCTCCCCCTCCACATACACACTCCCCAGCACCGGGTGCCTGGCATCCACCCACAAAGCCCTCCAGCAAACCTGAAAGAAGGAAGTTCATCAGGCCACTCGACAAGGGCTGTCACTCAGAAGTGAACAACGAGAGCTCACGGATCTCGTCCCCTGGCCCCAGTGTAGGGGGGCAGGGATCTGTTCCGCCTCAGTTTTATGAAAAGGTCCACTGGTATGTCTTTCCTTCCCATCTCTGTGGTCTCAGGGAGGAACCCAGATGGCCACAGGGACTCACAGATGGGAAACCTAACTGGAACGCTTGGAGAATCAACCCCGTGCTGTGACCGCGTCCTCAGGCACGGGCTCCCTACCTCGGTGGAGGTCCTCGGGCTGCTTTCGTAGGGCTTGCTTTTGGGGGGAGGGGGAGGGGGAACAGCAGTCACCAGCCCATCTGTCTGCAAAGACGGGGAGCCTGGAAACCAACAGAGGAGACAGAGGTTGAGAGAAGGATCTACAGAGGCATCTCAGAGAAATAATGCCCACCACGGACTCCCAGACCAGCCTGGCCCATCAGATTTGCTGCCGCCATTTTCTGTGGTTTCTGTGGACAGGATGAAGACAACCTCTTACCCTCAGGACAAAGGGAGCACCCTCCATTTGTCAGAAGAAATTCTGGAGTGAAAAATCCCTTTTTTTTTTTTTTGTTCAGGGCGTTTTGCCATTAAGCTGAAGATAAGACTATTTCCAGGAATTTGGGGTGTTACTCTATTCTCTGATATAGCCCAAGTTCTTACGGAAAGGTCCATGTCCTCTGGGAAACCCTACCAAATATGTCGAACTCCTGGTTGGCCACTGTCCCTCCTGGCAGCGGTAGACTTATCCTCCATTATTGCCTGTAGGCACCTTGTGATGTTCTTCAAGGCGGGGTCTCGTTGTAGAGTTTGTGGAATGGGTCCCCTTCTTTCCCTGAACAGGTCTAACCATGCAGTGGTCGGTTCCTAAGTTACTTGCTTCCTGTTTGGTCCTAGTCTGAATTTACCTTACTTAAAACTTTGCAATAGGAAAAGGGATTTTGGACTTTCAGTGGTTGTGTGATTCCCCCTCAGTGAGTGGTTGTACCCACAACCACTGAACTGCATCAGTTTTACAGTAATCCCACAGACTTTGTAGCTGGTTTGAGTAAAAATGATCCAGATTCATAAATATACCCCATTTCCCACCTAAAAGGATTCTTGAGACACAGGAAAACTTACTTAGGGTCCTGGTGGCCTTAGGAGTGAGAGGAGGTGGGCTCAGAGGCGTCGACTGAGGGGGCGAGGAACCATGGAATGGCGTTAAGCGACTGTCCACCAGTTGGAGACTCTTTGGCCTCTGCACTTTTCTGGCTGGACTCTAAGAATCATGGAGGAAAACACAGAAAAACATTGTCCCAGTGAGGAATGCTGAGCTTAGGGGGGCTCTCAACAGCCTTCTCTGCTGAGCAAAAATTTGCAAAGGGCTTGATTCCAGGACCCGCTGTCACATGGCAGGCACCACGGCAGGGATCCTCAAGGGGAGTCACCGCACCACAGATCACCTCCTGGCTGGCCACTGGCTTGATCCTGACCACAGTCGGACTGTGTCATCTAAGTTGGAAATAAGCCACGCTGATTCTCAGGGAAAGCTGGTCTTGCCACAACAACTTGATGTGGCTCATGGAAGAAAAATGATTTTTTTTTTTAAATGTAGAAGAAACGACAATGTTTGGACTGACTCACGGAACACAGTGGTGAGAACCACAACTCTGAGCAGCAACCCACATGTTTACGTCGTGGGTACAAGATCTTGCGCCAGCATTGACTTAGAGACTGAAATTCTCTGCACATGCTTTTCTTGCCACCATCTGTGATCTGCACAGCCACAGGCTGTTGGAGAGACAAGCTAAGCTGCAGCCAGGCTTCTAGCTGGTGACTCACTGCTCTGGAGCCAAGGGGATCTGCCTGGCTGCAGGGCAGACAGTGACACACCTCCTTGTGCTTCAAAATATATATAAACATCTATAGATGCAATTTCTTTTACCATTAGATCGGGTTCTGGATGTTTCTCTGCAATGACTTGGGACTTGCTCAGATTCCAGTCTTTTCTCTTGAACTTGCCGATTCGGTTCTCGCTGTCCTCTTTGAGGGGCAGATCTTCCACTCTGGCACCTGATGAGGACCTGCGCTCAAAAAGCGGCTCCAGGACTGACCTATCAGCCAGGAACAAGGACAAATATGGCAGAATGCCAATCATTGAAATTCACTCCAAAAGGACCAAGGGTTACCAGCTCCTCAGCCTAATCTTCACCCAGACTTTCATGTGCAGGTTCTAGATCTGAAATTTCAACTGCCAACTGAACAAACATCTCATCATAAAAGGTACAGGAATGAGGCCGGGCACAGTGGCTCCCGCCTGTCATCCCAGCAGCTCGGGAGGCTGAGGCAGGAGGATCATGAGTTCAAAGCCAGCCTTAACAATTTAGTGAGGTCCTAAGTAACTCAGTGAGACCCTGTCTCTAAATAAAACACAAAAAAGGGCTGGGGCTGCGGTTCAGTGGTTAAGAGTTCCTGAGTTCAATCCCTGGTACAAAAAAAAAAAAAAAAAATAGGTATATGAATGAGATCATCAAATAAATGGAAAAAGTACTAGTGATACTTATCCCAGGAAGAGAAGGCCTTATTAAATGCATAGGCAAAGAAAGGATCTATAAAGTAGAAGGTAAGTGGCCAACTCCATGTAGTGGTAAGAGCACCCACTCCAGAGCCAGAGTGCCTGTGTTCAAATCCTACCTACATTGAACTGAGTGACCTTGGACACACGACCTTCCATACCTCAGTTTCTTTATCTGTAAAATGGAGATAAAAATAATACCTACTCCACTGAGTGTTACAAAAGCTTGAAATAGGGGTTGGCACCTATGAATACCTTTTAAAAGTCTGATAATATAATAACAGATGTTCAAGTACCATAATAAAAATCGATTCATTCAAGATTCATACTTGGATGTTGTATAGTGGGGAGAGAGTGATGGGAAGTAGGGAAGTCTCAAAACATCTCTCCATATGTTACTTATTAATTACAAAATGAAAAATGGGAAACACGCCGAGAGGAAAATGAACAAAACCTTACCCAAGTGATCAGTTCACATCACAAGAAAGGAGCAGGTAGACCTGAGGGGGTCCTGAGGAGGACACACCACCACACAGAATGGTGACCTGAACACTGAGCACAAGGAGGCATCCGACAAAGCCAATTTAAGGGAAATCCTAAAACCTAATTGGCCCATAACCCCAAATACTGTCGATACTGTCAAAGACAAAGTAAGCAACTATTCCAGATCAGGGGAGCAAAGAGCCATGGCTACAGAGAGAATGGGATCTCAACCGGATCCTGCACCAGATACTGCTATGGAAGACGCTCTGGGCACAGCTGACAAAACTAGAGTACGGGTTGGAGCTGACGCACGTGCGACGTCCTGGTTCCTGACCCTGGAACTACTCCAGAGCGAGTGAGTTTACGTGAGGTGACCGCCTGGTTCTCACAGCAGATGGGTGGGGTGGAGGAGGACGTGGCGGCATGGAGACCGAGACACGGGGCAAAATACCTCAAAAAAAGGGTATTACGTCTTTATGACAGTATTGCTCACAGCTGCCAATAAGTCTTGGTTTGTTGAAAATTCAGTAGATTTTGCTCCATAAAAAAACTGAAAGTGTGGAGGGATAAAAAGGAAAAGCACCAAGGATTCTTAGGGCAGTGAAGAGTCACACTCTTCTGTGTGACACAGCAATGACTGATGTGTCATTAATACATACTAAGATTCATGGAATGTACCACCCCAAAAGTGACTTCTAAAATAAACTAGGGAGTAGTGGTGGCAATGCCATGTCAATATAGGTTCAGCCTCACATCCTCAGTACCAGAAAGAGCTATTTTTTTTTTTTGTCCCAGTAACAGGGATTGAGCCCAGGGGTGCTATACCACTGAGCTACATCCCCACCCCCTTTTTGTTTTTTATTTTGAGATAAGGTCTCACAGAGTTGCTGAGGCTGGCCTTGAACTTGTGATCCTCCTAACTCAGCCTCCCAAGTCACTGGGATTCCAGGAGCATGCCAATGCACACCTGGCAACCATTAGCATATTTAATGGGATGCCACTCATTTATCTTCAATCTTTGAATTTAAAAAGGATTGTAGAATTAAATTCCAAAAAAGATCCAAACGAACCAAGCAAACCAAACCAAACAGAAAGAATAACCTCACACAGCAATGTGTGAGGGGGACAGAAACCCCCAGCCCCAGTGTCCACTCTGTCAGTCCTACTTCACTGAGGGAGAATGAAGGTAATGACCGGGGGACTGTAGGTCCACATTTTCTCCAAAGCCTAATGGTAAAAAAGACGCAGCCATAAAAATCAGTAAAGCAAAGGCTCAAGGAGCGGTGTGCCAATTTTTTTCTTCTTATAATGCATACTTGGCTACTTTTCCTAATAAATCCAAAAAAGTTTAAAAATAACTTTTTTCAATTTTCCCTGACTCTATTCTGCTATGACTGACAAAAATGGCAATGTGTTTAAGAGATATAAACGGGATGGTCTGATGCCGTGTGCTGGCCACGAGGAAGGTGGTCACTTGAAAAACCAGCCTCTACCTCAGAGCAAAGTCTGTCCAAGGAAGGGACATCACCTTTGTCCTTGGAAAAACCCACAGAGCACTCCTAGGCACATTCCCACCCTGCTAAGTTGTTTATCTACAAATAACGGAGAGGTCTGTGGCACCAGGTGTCTCTGACTCATTCAGGCTAGGTGGGATCCATAGCAACCCCCTAGCAGCCACCAATCAGCATGAGACAGGGAAATACCTGGGAGGCCAGAGGACCCTCCCAGTAGTTTATGGTGTTGAGAAACCATGTAGTTCAGCACTACACCCCTTTTGGCTTAAACCAATCAGTTCAAATGAATACCCCTTTTGTGCTGACCAATCACCCCTACCCAACTTGTTCCCGCCAGTGAATGTGCTAATCATGTTTTAGAGTTGTTATTTGATTTTCCCGCGGTGTGTGATGATTTGCTAAGAGATGCTATGATGTATGTGAAGTCCCTGCCTTCTCCAAAGAATGTATAAAACTGCTGCAAACCCTGGGCTTGGGGCCTCTCAGGGTCACCAGTTACTGTGTGTGCGCGCAGAGGACGGAGCTAGCTGGCAAGAAACACCTCTTTGCTGCTTACATCGATCTCGGGTCCCTGTGGTCCCGAATTCAAGCATAACACACTGACATACCCACCTCTGTGGGTGCGTGCACTGACCTCCCCTCGGGGAATTTCAACATGCACTAGAGCTCTGTTAGCTACGGCCATTGGGCTGTCCTTCAGACCCGCAGGCCTGCTTGCCACAGTCTGGCTGGGCACCAAATAACCGCGCCACTACGAGGCACTTGTAGGTTCAAACAGGAACTCCTTTATTGCCTGAACTCCCATGAACGCCACCCACGTGGCCCTTCCAGGCACACCACCAACCTGAAATCCCTCCTGGGGAACTTCCCCAACCAACAGGAACTCCTCAGGAATCCCCAGGAGAACTCCAAAGTAGCTGGCTCCCAAGGCGGACAGCAGGGGTCTAATATACAATTGAATACACAGCTTAACATAACCATCATCATCTCAATGGCTTGCTGGCTTCACCTCTCAACCACTCCCTTCTGGCAAAAATGCCATGCATCATTCTGACTAGGCTGTGGCTCTCAGCACCTGCTCGGCACTGGGAGCCTGGCCCCTCACCAACACTGAGTGCTCATTTCCTTCTGGGCATTTCTTTCCAGTCTCTTGCTTTCCTTTTGCCCTGAGCAGGTACCCCCTGTGCCTGCAGCGTGGCCCACTGGCACCCCCCCCCCCCCCCCCCCAACAAAACAGCGCCACCTTCACAGAAGGCAAAATCACCATCAAGGTTAATACTGCAACATGTCATGGGTATTAGGAAAAGTGGGGTCACGAGTGTCCACTGGTGTGAGCTGCCTGTCAGGAACATTCTGGATAAATGTTAGGAAGTATTATTGCTACTTCTAACCCAGGGGGGAATGTGGGCAGAGGAATAACCCACCTCACCCGGGCCGGCACGTGGAGGACCTGGGGAACCACGGCACACACCGTACCTCTGATTCTAATAGCTGCCTCTAAACTTCTCTTTTTTACAATGAGACACAGTTTAAGACAAGAGTCTTCCTGAACAGAACAGAACGTCCCTGCTTTTCAGATAGTGTGCAGTATCTCTTTAAGGCATGAAAAAAATTGTGAGAAACAAACACATGAATCAGGTATTGTTTAATATCTATCGATTCTAGGGATTAAAAATAATGTGATCATTCACAGATGGCATATGGCATTAAACACTGACATCTGATACCAAGAACCATCAAGAAGATGTTCAACCCCTGACAAAGTTATGTATGACTTCTAAAAATGGATTCTAAATAAACAACTGCAAAGCTACATAAAAGGACATGCTTGCTATAAATTTTTAAAAATGTTTTATACTGATACAAGGTAAATATTTCCCATTCAAATTTATAATGATATATATGAGTTAACATTTAGAAATAATGATACAGCTTCAATATTTAATAGTAGGAGAAGGATCAACTATGACATATTCATAGGATGTGATGGCATATCACCATAAAAAAATAATAAAAGGATTTAAAGATGACACATCAGCATGGAAAATAAAAAGGAAGAAAAGTGAAGTACCAAACTCTGTCTGCGCTATAATTGGGGGACATGTGAAGATATCTATGTCAATGAAAAAGAATGCATAAATAATTTAGGAAATACTAAATATTTGACTTACAGGTAGGGTGCCATTCAGGTAGGTTACTTTTAGGATGTAATTATCATAATGCAGAATTAATAATTTATGAGTGTTGGGAAAAGTATAAACGGCAGCCATACCCCAGAGAAAAAACCCCAACATGGCGCCTAAGGACCTCTTCTTCCTACCTTCTTCTTTTCTGCAGTGGCGCGAAAAGTTCCCGCCCGTGTGAACTCTCCCGCCAGCGCCAATTTCAAATCTCGCTGGCAGGGAACCTTAGCCCCAATGAGAACTAATTCCTGGGCTCCGGAGCTGATATCTGGAAGAACTTGCCAATAAACGGCTGCCTGCCATTTATCTAAGCCCTACCATCTCCCCCTTAGTTCTATATAAGCACACAGCTTTTTGCAATAAAATTGGAATTCTCCCGGCAAAGTGTCTTTGCGTGGGGAATTCTTTCAATGAGGGGTGAGTTAACACTATCTTGAATAATTAATGATGTGTAAATACTCACCATTTATATTAAATTAAGCACTAGGCCACTAAATAGTTTTTCATTGGTATAAAATAGGTATATTCATTTTCAAATAACTAAACTTTTACAGTAGTTATTGCTGAGTAATGAAGATGTAAAACATTTTTTAAATTTTCGAGTATTTAAAATACTTTATACCTGTACACATATTAATTTTTTAATTAGTCAAATATTGTATAAACTGGGTGTGGTGGTGCACACATCTGTCATCCCAGCCATTCGGGAGGCTGAGGCAGGAGGATCAAAAGCTCAAAGTCAGCCTCAGCAACTCAGTGAGGCCCTAAAATAAAAACTAAAAATGGCTGGGGATGTGGTTAAGTGCCCCTGATTCAATCTCTAGCACCGCCCCCCCCAAATGTGTGAAAGTAGTAACCTGATGTAGAAAGATGCAACTATAAACAACTCCTTTTTGAACATTTTAAATTTGAACACATGGAAAGGCAGCCCATGTTTTTGGCAAGGAAGACTCAACATTTAAAAGCCATCAAACTTTCCAAAATCAGTCAATTAATTTAGCATGTTCCCAATAAAAATGCAATAACATTCTAGACCAGTGAATCCAAAAGTGAGCAATGAGAAAAACTAGTTAGATAAATTCTGATAAAGAATATTAGAAATCAAAAACATTTTCTTTTTAATTTTTTTTTTTTTTTAGTTCTTGGTGGACCTTAACTTTATTTATTTTTATGTGGTGCTGAGAATCAAACCCAGTGCCTCACACGTGCTAAGCAAGCGCTCTACCACTGAGCCACAACCCCAACTCAATCAAAAACATTTTAAATCTATGGTATCTGAAACCACACAGGGCCAAGGCACGAATAGACAAGTCCGTGAAGGAAATGAGGGCAGGGCCCCCAAAGAGATGGAAGAACATACAGAAATCTCATTTGTGATAAAACCGACATTTCAAGTGAGCAGAAAAAAGATGGTTTGCTCCCTAAATGTTATGGGGAGAACTGGGTAACCACCTGTGGGAAAAAAGGTGCTTCCATACTTCACAGCTTATGAATCCCAAAGAATCACAGACTTAACTGAGAACAGCAAAACTCTAAAAGTCAACGAAAACAACCAGTAACTCTTTTGGTTATCTCAGAGTGAAAAAGGCTTTTAATTGTGATTTAAAACTCTGAAATTAATATATATATATAAAAAATATATGTATATTTCAATAAGAAATTAGAAGGAAAAAACTGAAGTCAAAACACAAAGAAGTAATCGGGAGAAAACAGCTCAACTCGTTACAGACAAAGGCCGACAATCCAAGCTGACAATCCAACCGAAAAATGGATAGAAAGTCCTGGACCATCGTTTACAGAAAATAAATACAAATGGCTACTGAACAAAAGAGACGAGCCTCCACTTTACACAACACAGAGGAAAGAAAAACAACACGAAACAGAAAATACTATACGAGATAACCTTCTTCCTCTATCAGATTGGCCCAAATCAAGAAGACAGCACAGTGTGGTGGCGAGGGCAGGGTAGCCAGGCAGGTTGCTGGTGGGGCGGAAGCTGGCCGAGTGGTAGGGAAGTCCACTTAGGGATAACTTTCAATGCTGTAAATGTGTATCTCTGGCAAAGATGTATCTCTCCCTTATGGCAGGTTTCTCATATTGATAGACTTGGCTATGATTTGGATATGGCTTGACTGTCCCCCAAGGGCCCAGGTTGTTGGTCCCTAGGGTGGCAGTACATGGAGGTGGTGGAAGCTTTGAGAGGTGGGGTCTAGTGGGAGGTCACTGGGGACCCTCCCTCGAAAGGGATGATGGCGGTTCTTGAGCTTCTTGTGAAGCTGAGCTCTTGTGAAAGGGCTGTTATAAATGGAAGTGCAAGCCCGGCCCCTCCCTCTCCCTCTGCCTCCTGCCTCACCACGAGGAGGTCCTTCTTCCCACACAGGCCGTCATGGGGTCTTTCCCAGAGCTTTGCTACACTATTAGACTTTTAGCCTCCAAAATTATGAGCTAAATAAACCTCTTTTCTTTATAAAGACAGTCACCTAGTCACCTCGGGGATTTCACTATAGTTGAAAAGCTGTCTAATACAACTTGCATACACGGAAAATAACTTCCAATTTGATATTCACTGCCACACTGCAGTTGAGAGGGAAAGACTGAAATCAACTAGGTGTCCATCGGTGGTGGAACAGATCATGGTACAGACACATGGCAAGATGTCTGCAGATAAACACAGTGTAAGAGGCAGCTCTTTGTGTTCTGAAATGGAACAATTTTCAAGAAGTTAAATGAGAAACACCAAGGTGAAGAGAACACTACCATCTGTACAAAAAAAAAAAAAAAAAAAGCATGGAGAAGAATATGTATTTAGGTATTGCTTGTATACCTACCTACACAGGGCTCTGGAAGACACTGGGAACCTGAATATTAGTGTTAGTCAGACTGGTGACTGGGAGCCAGCACTGAAGGGAGATTTTTCATAATATGCTCTTTTCTACCGTTGGGATTTCAGACTGTGCGATTATATTGTCAATTCATACAGTAAAAATTTTTAAATTGTTTTTAAAAAAATTGAAATGATGAAAATTAGGCAAGTAACTATATAATAGGGTGGCAGAATCATGAGACCATTTTTTCCCCCATTTTTCATTTTTGGTGACAGTCACCGTCATTAATAATGACATTCCTACTGAGGATGACAGAAAGGCTAACAACCCTGCTCTCTGAATTACCTTTCTTGTAGGATTAATGCGTCTGCACGGAATCCTACTCTGGGGACCAAAGTCAAGCACGATGAGGCATCCCCCCACCCTCCAGGGGGTCAAAGGTCCACCCAGCCCTTACCCATCAGATCCTGGCCGGGAAGGTGCATTATCGGAGGAGTTGGAAGAAGTGGAGATCACAGAGGAGGTCACAGAGGTCACGGACAGCCTCCGCAGAGTAGAAGACATGATGTAAGGCAGCACCAAGGATCCCGTGCGGCTCTGCTTCCTCTCCGTCAAGTTGGGTGGCTGGAAGACACACGCCCACTCAGGGTGAGCTAACCTGGGACTCAGTGTGATCTGGTGTGGCCACTCTGCTGTGTGTGTGTTTGTTTGTTTGTTTGTTTTTTTAAATGGAATATTGGCCTAAGAGAAAAATCTCAGGAGGCTGTAGACGTCAAGTTTAACCTGGTAAGTTAAGGAACATTGATCTACTTTCCTGAGAAATGTCACCAGTAGGCTTACCCCCATATGACACCAGGTTAAATGCACCTGCTGATACTGGCCTGTTTCTAATGATGAGAAAGCTTGGTAGGTCAAAGCTTAGTCTGCCATCTGGGAACTTGTGTGCAAAAGACACATGTTCCTAGCAGGAACTCCGAACCAGCAGCAGGGAAGGAGGCAAATTCATAGGAAGAAAGCAGGATAGAGCGCTTCCAAGAGAAAGAGACAGCAAAGGGACACTCTTGGGGGACTAGTGGAGATGGATGAGGAGCTTCCATCTGAGGAATGGATCAGAAACCAGAGGTTTAAGAACAAGACCACAGCAGGCACGGTGGCGCACACCTGTAATCCCTGTGGCTCAGCAGTCTGAGGCAGGAGGATCACGAGTTCAAAGCCAGCCTCAGCAACTTAGCAAGACTTGTCTCTAAATAAAATATTTTTTAAAAAGAAATGGGGATGTGGTTCAGTTGTTAAGTGTCCCTGGGTTCAATCCCTGGTTCCAAAAAAAAAAAACCAGGATGAACTCAAGGACAAAAGAGCAAAGAAATGAACTAGAACCACTCATACCGTCACCAGTGGAGACAAAAGGTCAGTACGTGCACCCCTCAACCTAGCTCCTCAGGAGGAAAAAGAAAACCGCAGCTGTGAGGTGTGGGTTACAACTGGCAAAGGCATCATGTGATCAGCTGCATGCACTCTAAGAGACTCTTTTCTATTCCTTCTCCACTTCAAAGGTGTGCAAGCTGTAAACTCTTCATGAAAATAGAAACATTTGGAACAACTAAAAGAACTGGGCCAGACGGGACAGGAACAGCCAGTGCCTATGATTAGGAGACCTCGACGGCTAGCTGAGCAGTTGTTTAACTGCTGTGCTCTGCCTGGAAGCACCTGCGTCACCTGGGAACTTGTTAGAAATGTAAATACTTGGGTCCCATGAAGGTCCATCAGCAATTCTGGGGATAAGGACCAACAACCTGTTTTCACAAGCCTTCCCGTAGTTTGAGGGTCCTTCAAGTCTGAGAACATCTACCTAGCACAAGGACAGTTCAAGGTCATCAAAAGCAGAACATGCTCTCTGGCCACTTGTACCTAAGCTGTTACAACTCACTTGGCATCTGAAAACCTGATCAATGTCATAAAAGGCACAAGGGACGGGACAAAGCTCAGGTAGGTTTAGACAAAGCCTACCAGTGTTATGACCCCATAGAGCTTTTCTACTTTCTCCTTAAGTTCCCGGAAGCAGGAGGACAACCGATCATGCAGTGGCTTGAGCTGCTCTGTCAGCTTCTCCCCATGGATGCGGATCCCTTCTGTGAGCAGAGGCATCTGGAAGGAAAGGCATAAAAGGAATGAAACATGATTTAGGAAGAAGAGGGATAATTCGGATTTGGAGGTCGGGGAAGGGTAGGGTGGGATGGACTGGCTGACGGACTGGTGGACTTGGCACTACTGAATGACAATGACACTTCCCAGGTGGGGGGCGTGTGAACTGGAGCTATTCCAGTGGACAATGTGGAGAAGTCTTTACGCCAAGGACAAAGGCAGGCCCTACGCTGGGGAAGGGCTGGCGGCAAGGCAGATCCCACTGAGCCCTGGTGCGCTTCTGTGGATGGTAACAGATGGGTTTTGGCTTTAGCCTGAACTTGATGGCTGCATTTTCCTCCATTGCCTGCTAAAGCAATGAGAATAGAGAAAAGGGCCAACCTCTCTCAGCTAGATGTGCACCCAGGGAACCAGCTTATGGCCTTTGATCTCAGCTCTAGGAAGTGCCCTGCCAACACTATGCAGCTAAACTAAATGCCATTCCTAGGTCTCGCTGCCAAACACACACACTGATAGGTTGTGCTTCCAAAAGGTTTCAAAAGAGAAAAAAGAAAAAGGAACACAGGAAGTGGCCTTGAAGAGTGGAGTTTAGGAGAGCAGCCTGGATCAAGCACTGTAGCCACCCAGCTGCAGGCCCTGCTGTGCACACCTGGCCCCCATACACAGCTGGCCCCTGTGGACCCCATACACAGCTGGCCCCTGTGCATACCTGTAATGCTATCAGTCGCTTTAGCAGCTCTACCTTCTCCTGATCTTCAGGATGCTCTTGCAAGTACTTTTCGGTAAAAAAAGCCTAAAAGCAAAGCATATAAGCATGAATCAGAACACATTCCTTTCTGTGCACTTGACCTTAACAGGCAGAAAGCCTGGGAAGGTGAACAACATCTGTTCTGACAAACCAGGAATTTCTAACTAAAAGTTCCTTCCTTTCCTGGGATGGTCCTTATCCCATGGTGGAAAATAGTTTTTAAAAGTATGTGCTCGGGCTGGGGCTGGGGCTCAGTGGTAGAGCGCTTGCCTAGCATGTGTGAGGCACTGGGTTCAATCCTTGGCACCACATAAAAAAAAGTATGTGCTCTTCTGCGATTTCTCTGAAATCATGCCAATTCCCAGCAAGAGTACGTTCTCAGCAATCACCACACCCATGTGTGCATGAGCATAAGCATGCATGCACACACTTCTGTGCACATTCACCGATCAAAAGAATTATCAGCAAAGCAAAATGTCATTAAAAGAATTTCTCCAAAGAAAGTCCAAATGACAATATCTAAAAATGAATCATCAAATTGTGTAGATATCATAAGGAAAAAAGTAAAACTTTAACAGGCTAGAGATGTGGCCGACAGCTCTTGCACTTAATACTAGCTGTGTGACATTTCTTCCCTATACTAAGTGAAATCTAACATCTGTACTCTTCACTTATCAACTATCCAAAAGGCATAGGTAGGAAGAAATGCTATTAAATGCTGAAAGAGGCTATTAAATGCTGGTTGCTTTTCTTATTTCATATCAGTACCATGTTCATCAATGAACACTCAGGCCAGCTAAGGCCCTGTGATAGGAAAATAAAAACCAAACTGAAATCCCAAACTCAGGCCTTGCATCTTAAAGACAGGATTCATTAGGAAAGAGAAAAAGAAGTCTGTAGTGAACATTTCCAGCAAGAATTATATATATTTTCTCCTGGGACTTTAACCTTCGTTACTCAAAGTGCTTTCAAACACCAACTTACTCACTCCTTTCCTCTACTCCTGGGAAAGCCATACCACCCTTAAACAAAACCCAAGAGCTCTTGAAAACTATGGTATAAATACGAAAGTGACCCATTCTATGTGGCAAATGGAATAGAAGCCAACTTTGTGGACAGATGTTAGGGGGTGAATTGTATCCTGCCAGTGCCCCCGCCCTGTTCATGCTGAAGTCCTAATCTGGCACCTCAGAATGTGACCCTGCTTGGCAACAGGGCTGTTGCTGATATAATTTATTGAGATCATTGTAGCTGAGTGGGCCTAGATCTGATATGACTGGGGTGCTCATAAGGTGAAATTTGGAGACACTTGCACACAGGGAGAGTGCACGGAAGGAGACATAAGGAGAAGACACCTCTACAGGCCAAGGTACCGCCAGCAAACCATCAGAAGCTAGGGGTAGGCATGGGCCATGTCCTCCTGCACAGCCTGCAGAAAGAACCAACCCTGCAGACACTCTGTTTTCAGACTCCTGGCTTCCAGAACGGTGAGAGGACACACCTGTGTTGTTTTAAGCCACCTGTATGTGGATCTTTGGGACCGCAGCCCTAGCAAAGTCATAAAACAAGAGAATGTCCGTACAAGCAGCCCAAGCACCAGGAGGAGGCATGAGGGAACGTCCCCAACGCCGCTCCCTGCAGCCAGCGCTCCCTGCAGCCAGCGTTGTGCTTGGAGGGAACATCAATAAAAACAGAAAAGTAGTGTTTAAGTTCTCACCCACTCTTACCTTTCAAGTGCAAGAAGTTTCAATTTTTGAAAGTTGAAACAAATTTTTGACAATCGATAAAATGCACTGAGACTCCCAAAGCATCTGTTGGGCCCCAAAGCACCCCTAGAGCAGTGTGCCCTGAAAGTCATTTCTCAGCAGAGCCTTGCCTTGCAAAAGAAAGGACTGGTGACAGCAAACGCCTCCCGCATTCTTGTCCCTCAGCCATGTATAAAGCACTGGTTTGGATGGGTCACCTCTACCAAGTATGTCATGATGAGTTTCCCGATTGAGGGCCTGAGGTCATGATGATTAATGGGTTTTGTTTTTTACTTTTTTGACACTGGGAATTGGGGCTAGGGATGCTTTGCCACTTACCTAAATCCTAATCCCTTATATTTTTTTGAGATGAAGTTTCACTAAATTGCTGAGACTGGCCTCAAACTCAAGGTTTTTCTCTTTACCCTCCCAAGTCACTGGGATTATGGGCATGTCCCACCATACCCAGCTAATTAATGGTTCAGCTTTCTCTTATAGAAATTTATAAAGTTACACTTTAATTAAATATGAATTAGTAGTATTTTTAAGTCAAAGATCTTGAAATCTACTTATTTGTTCATATATCTTTGCTTTTTTTTCATTTTAATTAGAAGTCTATAACAATGAAAACATTTCATATGAAACTGTATCTCATTCACAAATATTGGCCTATAAATATTTGTGGGCCACAATGGCACATGCTTATAACCCCAGGCACTTGGGAGGCTGAGGCAGAAGGATCCCAAGTTCAAGGCCAGCCTGAGCAACTTAGCAAAGCCCTAAGCGATTTAGCAAGACCCTGTCTCAATAATAAATTAAAAGAGCTGGGGATGTGGGTCAGTGATTAAGGCCCTTCAGTTCAATCCCTAGTATCAAAACAAACAAACAACAAAAACCGAAAAAGTGCTGAGAGACAAAGTCCATGGCAGAGGGCCCTGGGTTCAATCCCTGCACTGAAATTTAAAAAAACGAAAAAAATGTGGTTTAGGGACACCGTATAAAAATAACACAGGAAAACTAGTACCAGAAAGAGTACACACTGCAAGCATTATGGTATTAAAGACATACTGCATTTTGGACTCTATTTTTGTATCAACTTCCATCATAACAGTGGAAATTATTATTGAAGCAGAACACGAGCAAACTAGAGTTTATCCTTGGTGCTGAACTGTTCCTAGCTGCAGAGTAGAGCACAGGGAAAAGAAGACACCTGTTCGCTGTCTACCTCCCAAATAAGAGAGAACAGCAGGTGCACCGACCAGAGGCATGCTGGTGGGGCGTCTTTCAGTGACACTTTATGGGGAGGTGGCCTATCCCTGACGGCTGCCGCTGGTCTCCAGGAGGTGGGAGGTCAGGGATGATCCTTTTGCCCATTTCATAGGCCCATTCATAGAGGGGAGAGTGAGATGTCAGAGATGTTACAAGCAACAAATTCGCCAAGTGCAGAGTGGCACAGAGGGAGGCCTGGAGACAAGCTGGGCCTGTGAGCCCCGTGGGATTCCGGGACCCCGCCCACCTTCTCATAGTTGGAGAATCCCCCCATGACGGCTGGGTCCACGATGCCATTGAGCAGCATGGAGAGCGGGTGCACGGAGAGGGACCGGTCCCAGGCATGCTGCTGCACGCAGTTGCTGATCCTCTCATTGGTCAGCTCCATGGTTTCAATGGCATTCTCTAAGGGGCTGATTTCCTCCTGGGAAGAGTGGAGGGAGAAGGACACATGTGAGCTCCAGAGCAAGGACTGAACAGGCTGAACTCCCCTCAAGAGGTGCCAGCTCCCGCCAGCTACAGGACAGTGCAGTTTTTGCTCCTCCAGATGGTTTATTGGGACACCGTACTTCTCTGCCAGTGTTGGCAAGAGACAAAATAAGCTATTTAAAGTCCCCCTGGAAGGTGGAATGAGTGACCCGAACACTGGGGCCCTGGCAGTGACGATTCCTTGTAGCACAGTGTCTACAGAAAATGTGAGAAGTAAAAATTCAAGTCATAGCAAGGATTTTCTCAGGCAAAGCCTCCTCAGAGATTTTTGAGACCAAGGACAGCAGAAGAGCAGGCTTGAGACACTCTGGACCACCTAACACCCCCCCCCCCATGCCTCCTCTCTGAGAAAAGACAAGTGATTTTGAGGCAAGTGGTCTCAGAAGCCTCATATTCAGACCACACAGAGTAACTACAGCACAGATTCTACAGCCGAAGAACTCGGAACAGCAGGATGTGTTAGAATTCATCTGAGTTTGGGATGAAAACAGAATCAGAAACAATACAGATTCAGAGAGTGCCCCCTATGGAAACGTCTTCAAAACCAGGTTTCCAGAAAACTCCTCCCCTTCATTTTACCACTATCAGCTACATGATCTCCTACACCAGACTTCAGTCCAAATGTCTCTGTCCAGAAACCATCCATACTTGAAGAATAAGGATTTATCACTAGTGTTAGAGAGCACACTGAACTTCAGCTCAGACTTATGCAAGTAATACTTCTTTTTTATTCTTTTGTGGGGCTGGGATTGAACCCAGGGCCTTGTGCATGCTAGGCAGGAACTCTGCCACTGAGCTACACCCAAGCCCAAGAAATGTTTCCTCAATATCTCCTTGGTGCCAAGTGCTATGCTATGCACGGAGAGGGACTGGTCCCAGGCATGGTTACAAAAGGGATTAAGGTACACAGTTGTCTCTCACTACCAGGGACAGCCCAGGTAGTGAGGCCAGCAAGTGGCTTTGCTCAGTGGCAACTACAGAGGTGAACTGGGGACTAGAAACAGGGCAATAGTAGGGAGTCTAGAAATAAAACAAATTAATACACTGTGGGGGGTTGGTTCCAGGACACTGAGGACACCAAAATCGCAGAAGCTCAAGTCTCCAATGTGAAACGGTGTAGAATTTGCAAATGACTTATGAACAGCCTCCCATATACTTGAAATCATCTTGAGATTACTTGTAAGGCCTGATACGATGTAAATGCTACAAAAATAGTTGTTAGGTTCGATCCTCAGCACCAAAAAAAAAAAAAATAGTTGTTAGGCTGTATTGTAGGGAATAACAACAAGAAAAGTCTGTTCGTGTTCAGTACAGATAAGCCATCTTAGACTCCACAGCGTGCCATCAGTGGTCAGTTAAATCCACGACTGGTTTGATCTGTAGGTGTGGAACCTGCAGATTCTGAACACCAACCATAATTCATGGCTGGCAGGAGCTTATGGTTTTAATGGGGACTTGGGACATGCAAATTTGACAAATTAGAAATATGCCCAGGCCAGGTGTGGTGGCTCAGGCCTGTAACTCTGAGGAAGGACTTTTGAAGCCAGCCTGGACAATTTAGCAAGATTCTGTCTCAAAATTAAAAAAAAAAAAAAAAGGACTGAGGGTGTAGCTCAGTGGTAGAGTCCCCCTGGGCTCAACCCCAATACTGCAAAACCAACGACAGGAAAAAAGAAAGGGGGAGAGAGAGGGGGGGAGGGGGGGAAAAAGAAAAAGAATATGACCAGGGTGTGACGGGGCCCAGGCAACCTGGTTGAGCGTTTGACAGAACAGGGGCCTAAAGTGAGCCTCGATGGGAGTTAGGTCAGGCAGATAAAATGACCTAGTGTCAGGGAAAACTGAAAGACCATGGAGTTCTCCACTTAGATTTCTTAGGAGCAGGCAGAAGGTGGACAGAGGTGGACAGAGAGGTGGACAGAGGCGCAAGAGCGGAGTCGAGGCCTTATGCACCTAGAGGAGAAGTCTGGCTTTCAACTGTGGGCATGAGGGGCCACAGGGGCGTGAGCACGAGAACAAATGGTCCGGTGGACTCGACGGAACTGATGGCACTCACAGGCTGAAGCAGGGGGAAAAGGGACAGCCCAGGTAGTGAGGCCAGCAAGTGGCTTTGTTCAGTGGCAACCACAGAGGTGGACTGGGGACCAGAAACAGGGCGATAGTAGGGAGTCTAGAAACAAAGTGATACACAGTGAGAAGGTACAACCGGCAGCGGTGGGGAGTGAGGAAGGGCAGGAGCTCTGGGAGAGGCCGTGATCACAGGCCGGACCTCCTAGAGGCATTCTAAAAATGTGCCTGGGCACCAGCAGGATCACGGGGAGAGGCACGCCTCTGTCCATAAAAGAGTCATTCACGGTGAGTGACCTTTAGGGCTGGTATAACATCGGCTCTACAAAGCAGGCCCATCACACAAACGTGGCTTTTATTTCTCTTTTGAAAAACAAAGTTGGCCAGAGGAGGCCGGCCAAGCCGGGGAGGAGGCAGGGGAAGGCCACAAAGGCTGGGATTATGTTTGCAGACAGAAAGTTTTTATTTCTGGGTGCCAGTTCCAGATGACTCACTGTGGAAATCTGTTTGACTTCAAACCACTTGAGAATCCCGGGGAAGCTATAGGCGGTGGTGTACGTGGTCCGCTCGATCCACATGGTCTAGTGCAAGGGGAAAAGAGGAGACCCCGTCAGCTCCCGGGCCAGGTGGAAGTCCCTGGGTCAGGAACGTGCCTCCTAGTGAAAGGGCCAGATTTTCTCTCAAATTTAAGGATTTTGATGTTTGAGGCTAAGGGTGATCATCCACTGGGGCCCTCCCCTCTAAAGCTGGAGACCAGAGGTCCAGCAAGGTGTGGCCCTCAGTCTGCAATTTTCCATCAGGTCGACAGCCTGTGGTCTAGGTGATTGGCAGGCGAAGCCTCCGTCCCCAGGGGGGTCACCATTTTGGCTGCGTGTGTGGATGAGGTGAAGGCCCCCAGTCCGGATGCCTATTTTTCCCCACTTTGGAAGGACAATGGGATGGACTCACAGCAAATTCGTTGTCTGGATCCTTTTCTCCTTTCCGGAACGGCCGGGAATATCTGAACTGCTGCACTTCGTTGGCCCTGTAGTAGCTGAGAAAGGACAGAGTGACCTCGCTGGACCAGCTCCCTCACAGCCTGCTCCTGTCCGACTTCCACAGACCTGGCGACCCCCGTGAGGCTCCCACTCAACTATCTCCCTGCAGATCGGGGCCACACCAAAGGCCAAGGCTTGTGGATTTCCTGCAGTTCTCACATTCATTATTTAGGAGTTTGTTTTGTAGCTCACACTTTCAAAAGGTAATGCGGGATCTCATTCACATGCCTTTGTGACAGGCCTATGGACCTCAAGAGACCGGGGTGGGCCCTCAATCACTGGGGGGGTCCTGCCAGTCAGTCCTCAGTGATGCTTCTGAGTGGACAAAGAGCTAAGAGATCTGACGCCTAAAATGAAACTCCTGATCATGAAAGTTTGGAAGACAAACGAGATCAGGCACGGGTCTTCCAAACTTTAATGAGTTTAAGGCTTTGCTTTAATGGACCCCAAATAAAATATAAGGGTTTTTTTTGTTGTTTTGTTTTTAAATCGAAAAGAGCCACTTACTTTAAGATCTGCTCTGGAACGGGCTTGTCCTTGTAGCTGGGCGGCAGGCTCATCACGGGCTTCACAGTGAAGCACTGCATGTCTGAGGAGCACGTTAAGGAAAGCGGAGAGGCTGGCCTCGCAGGAGAGCCACAGTGAGGCCCCGCGCCCACTACAGCCGGACACAGCATGGGCACCGACCATTCCCTTTACCCCCAGGCCCAGGCCACACTGAACATGGGGCGCCCCTCCGTATCACCAACATCATTTCTCCCAGGACACTGTCTGCGGTGGGACACCTGGCAGGCATCGGCGACAGCAAATGCCAGGAAAGAGGTGGTTAGAAGTGGTTTTAAATCATTTCTTTTGGATAAGGATCCCTTGGAAATAGCCAGACTTCAGAGCCGGGCAACAGGAAGTGCTTGTTTTTGGAAACCACCTGCTGGCTGAACACCCTGCCTTGGAATGTACCAGGTGTTCTGAGTTTATCTACAACATACACAACCACCCTACTAGCTGGATGTCACCATGCTCTTTCAGCAGAGGAAGATGGAGGATGAGGGAGGTTAAGACTCAAGATCACACAGCTGAGAGGAAGTGAAGTCAGGCCTCCAAACCCGCCAGGGGCACAGGTGTACCTTCTCTGATTTAAAGATGAGTCTTAGAATCAGTTTCTCCCCAGGGTCCCACACAGCTGGCCCTCCACACCCATGGGGTGGGCATCCAAGGATTCAGTCAACCTTGGAGCAAAAATAGATTTTTTTAAGCCAGATGTGGTGGCACAGACCTATAAATCCAAGCAACTCATGAGGCTGAGGCAGGAGGATTGCATGTTTGGGGTTTAGCTTCAGCAACTTAGCAAGACCTTGTCTCAACATAAAAAAAAAAAAAAATCAAAACAGGACTGGAGAAGTAGCTTAGTGTTCAATCCCCAGTACTATAAGTAAATAGATCTATATCTATGTATATATTTTAATTCTGTCTTTGGTGAAGTGTGTAGAACCTTTTTTGGGGTCCCTATTCCCTGAAAAACAGTGTGACAACTATTTTTCGTATTATTTGGGATTTTAAATCATCCAGAGAAGATTTAAAGCACATAGGAGGAGGTGTACAGGTTCTATGTAAATCCTACCCCATACAAGGGACTTGGGCATCTGACTATGGGGGTATCCATGGTGAGAAGGGGTGCTGGGAGCGTGTCCTGGGATAGTTCCCCCAAGGGTAATGGAGAATGACTGCATATCATTTCAGTCTCTAACAGAATACTGAACCCAGAACAGGAAGTCATGCCCTCCTCAAAATCCCCATCCAGCTATAGCGTACCCCAGAGGTTTCTTATCACTCTTCCCTAAGGGTCTTAGAGCCCCACAGACTTTACATCAAATGGGAGCCTGAGGCAGAATGTTTCACATCCACTGCACAGAAGCGACTGCACCCTTAGCTTCTTTGGCTTAGCTGCACCTGTCTGTCCCAGGGTTTAAGAGCCCTGAGACGCTTTCCCACAGCAAGGATGCACTGCTTCGGGGACATCTTGATGTCTTCTCCAGGGGGTGTGGTACTGGTCATCTTCTCTGCATTGGGGAACTGGGTCAGGAGCCTCAAGCTGAAGTCTTCCCGCCTCTCGTACTCCTTCCCCCGGTAGATGAAGATTTTATTCTGCAGGTCAAGAGCCAGGGAAATCGTTAAAAATGACAAGTGGAGAGAGAGTCAACCTGCAAACGGCACAGACGGGCAGACAGGAGTAGCCTGCCTCCTGGTTTAAGTCCACTAGGTCACCAGGCACGCTGCTGACATTCTCAGTGAAGAAAGGAAGTGCATTCATTCATCAACCAGAGCTACGCGGCTGGTTCTTACACTTTCCTCAGGTTTTTGCTCAAATGTCATTTTCTTACTGAAGTCTTTCCTGTTTTCTCCAATGCCTACCTGTCTCTTCCCCTACCCCGTTCTCCGTGACCATGAGTCTGCCCCACACAAGGCGGTGTTCTGGGCCATGACACACTCGATGTTTTACTGATTTATCCTGATTTTTGTCCCTCCAGGCTAGAGTACGTCCAGGACTCTGGTTTGTTCAGAGCTCTGCCCCCATCCTTGCGTTAGAGTGAGGCACACAGTAGGAATTTGACAAATACTTATTCAATGACTGGTTCATTCTCTGACACATGGCTCTGTCCTTTCCCAGCCCTGCTGTCCCAGCGACTGGTTCTCCTCCTCCTCCAGTTACACAGGCCGGAAACCTAGGAATCACCCTTGCTACGTGCCCCTCGTCCCCCACGCAGCCCGTCAATCATCCTGGAACATACTTCATGTGCATCACCGCATTCTCTGCACTTGTCTTTAAAGCCTCCATCACCACCTCCCTATTCCAACCTGTCCTCTCCTGCCCGACATCTGCAATGGCGTTTCAGTGGCTTGTTGGCACACATGTCCCACCCATTCTCCGTACCAAGGCCATACCAACTCCTTTCTGATGTGAAAAATCTGCAGTGACCCTCTCTGCTCCTGGGATGCGGACAACACAGCCTCTGTGTCCCCAAGACCCTGTGGACCCCTCCTGCCTCACCTGCTTCCTGTGCCCACTGCACGGGTGGTTATTCCTGGGCTGTCCCGGGTTCTGGCCTGCTGTTCCCTCTGCCTGTCCTCTCACCTGTGCCTCCTTGATTCCCTGCTCACCTTTCAGATTGCAGCTGAGGCAGAAATTCCCTGGCAAGTCCCTTCTGACTCTCCAAAAAAAATCAATGCATGACCGACACAGGATAAATAGACCCTTTTGTCATATAGAACTATGAATTTTGAGAAAGGCCACCATGACCACAATCAGGATATAGATCAGTTTCATCAGCACCGATATTTATTCCCCCAGGCCCTTTAAGCCAAAGCTCCTCCAGCCACGAGACAACCATTGATCTGTTTTTTAATCTCAACAGGAAGTGATATCCTAGCAGGAACATCATATAAATAAAAGAGCCTGGAGCCTTTGATGCCTAACTCCTTTCCCTTTGCACCATGCATCTGAGATTGATCCATGTGGTTCTGTCTCAGCATCCTGCTCCTTTTCACCACTGAGTAGTATTCCACAAAGTACACAGACCAGGTTTATCTCTTCACCAGTTGGCAGGCACCGGGGTCTGCAACCCCCCTGCAATCTTTGTGAAGAGACTGGTTTCCATTTCATGTCGGTAATACTCCCTGGTTACAGGCTCCTACTGAACAGGATGCTTCTTTTCATTTACAGTTTAAATTTTACCTTCACTGTGTGATCATTAAACACCTTCCCCATCAGCTGTAAGATCCAGGACAGCTGGCGGGAACAGCAGGGTATTACTAGACCCACACGCACCTGGCACAGACTGCAAGCCCAGGGACTAAGCTCCCTACTCGAGAAGCTCTGTTAGGATGTAAATCACTTCTTTATGTCACTTTTTTCTTTTTTTAATCAAAGGATGACATGATATATGTCTAAACAAGCTCAGGTCTAAGCGAAGCACCCCTGTAGCAGGACACGCGAGTTTTTGTTTTTTGAAGCCACTATCACACCATAGATATGTTTGAGAAGGAAGAAAAATACGGTCCTTGTCACATTACAACAGAACCATTTTTATTCCCAGGAAGCTCTCGTGGTGTTTTTCTTGGGAAACTGGCTTTTTTAAAGTAGCTCTGGTTAGAAATACAATCAACAGTCAGACACATGAAGCCGCACTTTCCCGTCTGGTTTTCCCCTTTCTTATTCCACCAGAGGAAAGGCATCCTGCAAAGCTGGCCAGAACACGGGGGTGTTGGGGTGTGGGGTGAAGAGGCCGCTCAGGAAGCGGTTCCCGCCTGGCCCGACCTCCCACAGTGGGGCGAGGGTCAGCAGCTGCTAAGAGCCACTGCCATCTGGAAAAGAAACCTCTCTCCTGGAGACCACCCTCAGGCGCCTCACCCGCAGGAAGGAAGGGAAGCCCTGGCCGTAGTAGCCCACGGCGAAGTATTCCGGCTGCGGTCTCATGGCCTTCATGATGTTCTCATAGAAGGAGGCTCTTTTTTTCTGGAAAATAAAACAAGACATTCTCGTGGATGGTGACAGGGGCACAGCGAGCAGAACTTAAAAAAACACAAAAACACAAGAAATCAGCCTGTTTGCTTGTTTTCCAGGTAACGCAAGAAATAAAAGGTCTCCGTGGGCAGAAGGGGGATTCTTCTCTGGGGTCAGGGGTGTGTGTGTGGCCTTGGGGGGCCCGCGCCCGAGGTGACAGACTTGGTGCAGCTGGCCCTCCTCTGTGAAGCGAGACTGTGCCTGGCTTTCAGCCTTTCCTCCAGGGACACCAGGACTTCAACAAGGGCCTGACTGAAGCGCTTCCTGAGATGCTGGAAGGGGTGCACTTAACCAGAGACACGCAGGAGAGGGTAGGGGACACTCAGGTTCAGACCGAAGAAAGCCAGAAGAGGATGCCCTGCTTCTCAATACCTGGGCCACCCTTCTCAATGGCTTACAATCGATTCTTCCCTTGTCCACAGGCGGGGGACCTGGGGGATTCTGGGGGATGACCCTAAACCCCACCCCACAGTGGGGGCCTCTGTAATGGACTTGCTTGTGGGTCTGTTAGAGTCAGGTTTTTGTAGAAGGGCAACGTGTTACCTCATCTCAGGTCAATGTGGCTCAGGAAACTATTGAGTGAATCTCGGGTCTGTGATGGAAGAAGCTGGTATAGTTTTATTTTTTACAATGTGTTCTTTTTTTTTAATATTTATTTTTTAGTTTTCGGCGGACACAACATCTTTCTTTGTATGTGGTGCTGAGGATCGAACCCGGGCCGCACGCATGCCAGGCGAGTGCGCTACCGCTTGAGCCACACCCCCAGCCCTACAATGTGTTCTTAACAAACCAACTCCTCAAATAAAGAACCATCCATGACAATAGTGACTTGATATTTTTGTGACTCTCCTAAAAGTTACCCTGCACAGCACTGGGCTTGCCCACCAATGGTCATCCTGAAGGCTGTTTTTTTTTTTTTTTTTGGGGGGGGGGGCGGTAAGGGTTTGAACCCAGGAGTGTTTAGCCACTGAGCCATATTCTCAGCCCTTTTTATTTAGAGACAGGGTCTCGCTGACTTGCTTAGGGCTTTGCTAAATTGCTGAGGCTGGCTTTGAACTCACGGTCCTCCTGCCTCCGCCTCCCAAGCTGCTGAGATTATAGGCGTGTGCCCCTGTGCCTTAGCTGGCTATTTTTGTTTTGCTTTATAGTTTTTAAATAGCCGAACCGTGCCTACAGCCAGGTGTGCCACACTGGTTCAGGGAGCTGCCCAAGTTGAGTGCTCCAGTGACATCTGGGAGAACGAAGCAGGCAGGACAGAATCGGGACCTGGCAGATGCTCTCGCAGCTGAGATGTGCACAGGGGCACCCTCGGAGAAACAAACCCAGCCCAAGGGTGGGTGGTTCCCTCATTTAGCAGGGCCTCCGGGTGTGGATTACAAAATAAGCTCTTTCTGATGTCTGAAAGCAGCTGGATGTCCAAGAGCAGAGGGGAGCCAGGAACAGGGAGGGTCCCTGAGAAACAAAGAGCAGTGGGAAGGGACCCTGGGGGGCAGGGGTAAGGCTGCACCAGGTCACCCTTCCCTGGGGCTCGGTGCTTGACCTCCCCTTGGGGTCAGCCCTACTCCCTAGTCCTGGACCCTCCAGGAAGGATAATCTGGAGAATAGACATCAAAGCCTTTGGATCACACCTTTCCACTGATCCCGACTTTTTCAACTTGCAAAAACATTTTCTCGAATGCTGATCTCAGCAGCCCCGACGGCCCAGACTCACCAGGAGGCTGCCGAGGCCCTCGTAGTCAAACACTTTGCTCTCGTAGGTCTCAGCCAACTCTTTGCTCAGTTTGATGGCCTTCTCCCACATCTTTGGAAAAAGGAAAGCAAGTGAGATATGGGGGACAGTGCAGCCACTGAGCCAGCCGCTAAGGTCCCTGGAGAGTCATTCGTGTGGAGTGTGCAGCCAGGGGCGTTGACAACGTGTTTGGATTCAACCTTCTTTCCTGACATCATAAGGTTACTTGTTATGGTTTGGATGTGAGCTGTCCCCCAAAAGCGCACAGGTGAGGCAGTGCAAGAAGGTTAGAGGAGAAATGATCCCTTGTGTTGTGAGAGTCTTAACACAATCAGTGATTTAATCCCCTGATAGGGATTAACTGAGTGGTAACTGAAGTGACAGGGTGTGGCTGGAGGAGGTGGGAATCGGGGCTTTGGGGTACATATTTGTATCTGGAAAGTGGAGTCTCTCTGCTTCCGGATCACCATGATGTGAGCTGCTTCCCTCGGCCACCCTCTTCCGCCATGACTTCAGCCGCCCTCAAGCCCTGAGGAACGGAGCTGGCCTTCCAGGGAGTAAGACCTCTGAAACCGTGAGCCCTCAAATAAACTTTTCTTCCCTAAAATTGTTCTGGTCAGATGCTTTAGTCACAGCAGCATAAAGGCTGACTAAAACAGTTACTAAAGGGTGTGCATCCCTTTTTCAAATAGGTGAGACCATAATGGCTTCAGATTTTGGATATTTGAACAGACTACACTGGTTCTGCATCCCTAATCCAAATGCTCTAAATTCTGAAACACTTTGAGTATTCTGTTGGTGCTCAGCAGTTGGAGATTTCAGAGCATTTTGTATTTTTTTTTTTGTTTTTTGGTACTAGGGATTGAACTCAGGAGCACTCGAGCACTGAGCCACATCCCCAGCCCTATTTTGTATTTTATTTAGAGACAGGTCTCACTGAGCTGCTCAGCACCTCGCTGTTGCTGAGGCTGGCTTTGAACTCGCCATCCTCCTGCCCCAGCCTCCTGAGCCGCTGGGATTACAGGTATGTGCCACTGCGCCCGCGTTTTGTATTTTTGATTAAAGATGCTCCACTTGCATATCTTGAATGCTCTGCCAGGAGGCATCTTCTGCATTTCTCTTTGCCAGAAGATGAACACCATGTGTCCCCAGATGGGGCCCGTGATGAGTTTAAAGAGCAAAGAACCGAAGACAATTGAAAGGAGAGAGAAGCCATTTCCACAGCCTGGGACCTGACAGCACAGGGGAAATGCTGCTGGAGGGGAAAGGAGGCAGGTGAGGGACTCTCATCTGGGGCATGAGTGTCTGTTGGGGGTCGTGTCTGTGTGTGCAGAGGGCCATGGGAACCCCGACATTGTTTGAGAAGAGGTTAACAGTGCTTTGTTGTGGAGTCTGGCACAGTCTTTCCATGTACGGCATTAATTTCCTATTTCTACCCAAAACCACCTACTGAAAGAGGTGAAATAGAGATTCATGCTGATGCACATGTTCAGTGCCGGAGCGAGCACCCCAGGTTGGGCCTTCCTATCCCCCTGGCTGCCTGGACTGTCTCCTACAGGGAGGGTGTTCCACACACAGCATCTGGTCACTTCCTGCTTCATTCTTGCTAACGAGGTGCTTTGCGCCATCAGTTCTGGCTGTTGGAGGAATGCATGTGCAGCCACCAGCCAGGGCAAAACACTGTAACCCTAAATCTTGTAAAGTCTCCATTTGCCAAATTAACCCCTCTGAAGTTTCAGGGCCTGGATCACTGAAAAGACTGCGCAATGCGCCACGTGGAAAGCAGCCCAGGTCAGCTGGGTGCCTCGCAGGAAGCCAGTCGGCAGCCGTGGAGTCAGGGAGTCCTACCAAGGTCTCTCTTCTCGCCACCCAATGCTACTTACTCCCCTGCGTAGTGTCAGAATGGGAACAGCCTGCCACAGACCAACCCTGTGATCAGAGGGGTGGAGGTCTGAGCCACATGTTCCTGGTGCTAACTCCAGGGAGCTGATGGGGGCTGGAGATTGAGTTCCAGCATGCAGGCAAAAACGGAGCCAGTCGTGTACGTGATAGAAAGTTCTGCACACTGAGACACAGGTGAGCCTCCTACTTGGTGAATACATCTTCTTTTTTTTTGGTACCAGGGATTGAACCCAGGGATGCTAAACTACTGAGCCACATCTCCAGCCCTTTTTATTTTGAGACAGGGTCTTGCTGAGTTGCTTAAGGACTCACTAAGTAGCTGAGGCTGGCTTTGAACTCACGATCTTCCTGCTTCTGCCTCCAGAGCACTGAGATTACAGGCGTGCCCCACCATGGCCAGCTACATCATTGTTTTTCTTTTCTTTTCTTTTTAATTTTTTTAAAAAAAATTTTAAAGTACAACATCATTTGTTTTTCAGACAGGGTCTCACTATGTTGCCTAGACTGACCTCAAACTTCTAGGGTCAAGTGATCCTCTTGCTCAGTCTCCAGAAGAGCTAGGACCACAGGTGCACACCCCTGTGCCTGAAGGACACATGGATTTGCTGGGAAGGTGACGCACCCTGAGTTCCTGGGGCAGGGCGGGGGGTAGAGGGAATATGGGTGGACACAGGGGCACTAGTTTGGGACCCTTCCACACCTTACTCTTCACTTGGTTGGTTCTGCTTTGTATCTTTTATAATAAAACTGTAATTGTTAACAGCACTTTCCCGAGCTCTGTTGTTATTCCAGTAAATGATCAAGAGGGCCATGGGAACCCCGACATTTCTAGCCAGTTGATCAGCACTGTAGATGGCCTGGGGACCCACAAACTCCTGGCTGGTATCAAAAGCAAGGGTCGAAAGGGGAGCTGCCTCCTCGATCCTGTGTTCTCTGTGCCGAGTGGGAGCGATCACCATTGCAAATTCATCCAAGACAGCCATTTCTCTTTGCACAGGTACAGAAACAAATAACCCAAGACTCACTTTGCCTTTGTCGAAATAGGATATGATTTCCTGGTACAGTTTCTCTTTCAGCTCTTGCTGGGTATAAACAAAGTAACTGTCCCTCTGAAGCAAATGGGGCACGCAGGGCTTATCGGACCACTGAAAAGGAACAAAGGCCACACGAGGGGTAAATGTGACAGATTCATCAATCAAGAGATCAGTGCAATGGTTTCCAGGCCCCCCCCCACCAAAAAAATAGGAAAATGCACACGCGCGCACAGACATGGACCCGTCCATATTGTATTTTAAATTATTTACTGAACACAAAAAATTACACACACACGTGCCCATATGCCAACTCCCAAACAAGTGTCATACCAAATGGACAAACACTCGCGGCATTCCCAGGAAAGTAAGGAACCGAGCAGAATGGCTCACCAACGCGACGACTGCGCTAACGGCATAATTAACACAATCAGATGTAGGAAACAAGTGAGTGTAAGATGGGCAGGAGGAGGGAAAAGCATCACCATGTGCAAACATTATGGCTGTATTCCTCACGACACAAGCCTGCCTGCTGAGAGCCCTCCACCCACGACAGGAGAAAAAGTAGTTAGATTAAAAAGAATATCAATAATTTGAAAATAAATAATTTTGGATACAAAGGTAAAAACACTCGAGGAGATAATGGAAGAAAAGACCCAATAAAAAATAAACGCCAATAGACACAACCACCCACAGTTGAAAGCCACGGCAGCAGACTGCATCAAAGGGGAACTCACACCACACTTCTGGGTGACAAAACTCTGTTTCATAAACATGCAAATTCTCACTGAAGTCATTTTTAAATTTTGCAATTCCAACATTCAAATGTAAAAATAAACAGGAAGGAAGAGGAAGAAAAACTAGAAAGCAATAAAAAGAGTAGTTCCCAGAGGATAAACCACATTCTAAAGAATGAGTCACTAAATCTGTGGTGCTAGGACAGGAACCGGAGACGCAGGCACTCAGCCTGTGGTGACACTGGGATCGATCGCACGCCCAGAGGATGTGGACTGTGCTTCATAGATGCCATCTCTACTGAGTAACTACCTGTAGGGCAAGAAAGCTGCATCCCAACCTCCTACCCACACCAGGACCGAGAGGTGGTCATTCTGAGCAGGCCAAGTGAAAAGACCGGGAGTTACAGACCCTGGGGAATCTCCTTTCTCTTTTGCACTTTTTGTTTGTTTAGTTATGATTCTGGGGATGGAACCCAGGGGCCCTTGACCACTGAAATTACATCCCTAGTCCTTTTTATTTTTTAAATTTGAGACTTAAACCGAGGATGACCTCAAACCTCTGATCCTCCTGCCTTAGCACCTGAGTTGCTGGGAATAGGGGTGTGTGTCGGGCGCCTGGCAGACACTGCTGTTTCTTTTGGATCATCTGGTAAAATCCAGTCCACAACCCCCACCACCTACCCGACATGCAGTGAGCTCTGGAGTGCCCAGACCCTGACTGTGCACAGGGAAGCTCCTTGGGAAGGGCTGCGGCAGGGAATTCCTACGCTTAGTCGCTTAGAACCACGTAGGTGTGTTACCTTAGTATAAAACAAAATTGAATAGTAGAAGAAAATTAATTACTAGGGATAAGATTGGAGGCCAAGAGATCTAGCGGAAGGCCACTATGGCGCTCAAGTGAGAGGCGCTGGTGGCCTGGACCAGGGCAGCAGCATGGGGGACGAAGAACCGCTCACAGATGAAAGGCACGCTCTGCACAGAGGGGCCACGAGGTCTGCTCCTGGGGAAGTAGAGGGCAGTGACTGAAAGAGAGGAATGAAGGATGCCTCTGAGCAACTCAACAGACGGCCTCACCATTCAGAGATGGGGAAGAAAGGCACGGCAGGAAGGGCTGCCAAAGGGCCGAGAGGGAAGGAGAGACTTCTGTCATGGACACACTGAGTCCGACTTGTCTGTCAGTCACTCAGAGACGAAGATCAAGAGAGCAGTTCTGACATGAATCCCGAGTTAGAGGAAGGTCAGGGGGGACCCAGCTATTTGGGATTCCTGACGTACGGACGCAGCTCTACTGCGCCACAATACAACTGTGATTAGGGAGAGAGTACAAGTAGGGAAGTTCTCCTATGGCACTTTATTCACGTGCAATCCACTCCTCTCCCGTTTTACAAACCTCTTTACCTGTAAATGAACTTGGGTTTTATTTCTTTGATTAGAATGCCAATTACCAGAGGCCTCCAAGTGAGGCTCTACTTCCTAAGGATTTTCACATAACTGATAACTGACATTTTCCCAGCGTGGGTCTGAAACGTAGCTGTGCCCACCCAGAAGGTGTGAAAACATCTTAGATCAAGGATATCCCGTGGATAGGGTTCTCTCCTGCTAAAACCGTGAAGCACGTAGAATTTGGTCCCAAGGGACGGAAGGCATGCCACCTTTGTACCCCGTGTAGAGCAGCTCTGCTGCCCCACGTACCTGCAGAAGCTCGGCGTGCAAGAGAAGGGTGTAGGCAGCTTCTGTGTAGTTCTCGCAGTCTCGGTGCAAATCTCGGAGCTTGTACAGGTATCTGGTAAGAAGGGGAGGTGGGAGCACGCTAGTCCTTTGGGGGGTGGTCCTGCAGTGGCTTGTTCTTAAGCAGCCCCGGCCTGCGTGCCTGCTCCCCTCCCCCACTACACAGACACTTCCTCTCTCTCAGGCAGAGCCCGTTGCTCACTGTGCTGCTCCCTGCCTTGCTCCATCTCTTCCACCTTCCACTCTTCCTTTAAGGCAATGGGGCTTAAATGTTTCTTAAGGTCTTGTCCCCTTCAGAAAGCCAGCGAAAGCTATGAACTTCCTCCTCAAGAACATGCATACAGTCCCACAGCTCAGGAGGCTGAGGCAGGAGGATTGCAAGTCCAAGCCAGCCTCAACACCTTGGCATGACACTAAGCAACTCAGTGAGACCCTGTCTCTAACTAAGATATAAAAAAAAAGGGCTGAAGATGTGACTCAGTAGTTGAGCGCCCCTGGGTTTAATCCTTGGTACAAAAAAAATATATATATATATATATATATACACACACACACACACACACAGAGTTTACGCACAAGGTGATTTTATGTTCAGGTGCTCGGGGACCCCAGGTTCAGAATCCATGCCAGCCCCTGTGAGCCAAATTACGATGGCTGGAAGTCTCCTCTCCTCCCCTGAACCCTGACACGCCCCTACTTGTATACGGCTTGCAGTGTGATCTTTTGTGACTATTTAAAGAGTTCATTTTCTGTGGGCAAAGGCAGCAAGACAGCTGGCCCAGCGTTTGCTTATTGAAGGATCGATCACAAGGCCCCCACACAATCGCGAAGGCAAGAAGCTTCCTCAGCTTACCTTATGTATATGTCCTCTCTCTTCTTTTCTTTGTAAAAATTCTACCAAAGCAAACAAACAAACAAAGAAAAAAACAGGTGACACACAGCAGTGTCAAGAGCCGGGGAAGGGGGAAGTCTGCCCCGAAGCCTGGGCACGATCACTGCTTTCCAACAGTGTCCTGGCTTTCCAGAAAGCTCATGGTGCCCTTTCACAAACTCCCCCACGAGACCACGGAGCGACCCATTATAAAGAGAAAGCCAAGGCGCTTTTTGAGGATCCTGCTTCTGAGAAACGTGAGAAGGCTCCTCAGGGACCAGACGGCAGCGCACCCCTAGGCTACCCTGATAATCTGCTTTCTCAGGTCTCAGTTCAGAGTACGCACAGGAACACAAGGTGAACTCGACCTTGGAGGTCTGTGCTGCCAGGTACAGATGACAGGGACGAAGGCAAGGCCAAGAGCTCGGCCGCCTGAGGATTTCACTTACTAACCCTCTTCCTGGCACCCGGTTTCAGGCTGGGTCAGATAACTCCAACAGTAAAGCCAGCACAGGTGAGGGACTCGGGGAACCAGGCTGAGGAGGGTCTGTGGGAAGAACTGGGTGCTTATGCTGCATTTCCCATCCCTCTTTCCAAATGCATCCCCCAAGGTCTGTGGCTGGCAGTGTCTCTGAGTCCGAATCCGAGCCGGCTACACCCACCGGACTCAGCAGGACACCAGCACCCTACAGGCGGCCCAGGGTGCCTCCTACTCCAGGGCGGGTGCCTACCAGGACGTTGACGGTGCAGCTCATGCGGTTCTCCTTGCTCTCGTCGTGCATGACAATGGTTCTGTAGTCCAGCAAGTTCTCCAGGAGGCTGCTGACCAGGAGGGCAAAGACCTCGCCAGAGCTGGAGAGGTATTTGTGTTTCCGGCAATGTTCTAGGAGCCTAGAGGGGCAGAGTCAGAGACAAATGTCCTCATTCCACTCTTGTCACTCTAGTGTCATTTGTGAACACTCACCACGGTCCTAGCACTAGGTGGCAATAGGCAAGATGACCCAGGATGCTGGTGAAGGGGACGCCCACCCCCCGGGGAGCTCCATCCTGTCTTGGTGGCCTTGCTTGGGCTGTGACTGTTTACTCAGGACTTAGTTCAACTACCCCCATCACCTAGAACCCAGCCCACAATATCCTCCTTTGAAGGTCGGTTTGTGTGTGTGGTTTTTTTCTGTCGATGTTGCAGAAACGGAACCTTTGCCCACAAGGCTCTTGTATGGGGTCTTGTGACTCATGAAGGTGTCTGAGACCATCTTTCCTGTGTCTTTATTCTTCCTAACACCTGGCACCTCATGACATCCTGGAAAGCCATGGATTGACGTCCAGCTCAGAGGAGGTGTCTCACTTAATCCTAACAAGCACGCGGCACTTCCAACAGGAGTGTTACTTTCAGACAGGAACGCAGAGCTGTAAATCAGACTGGGTAAAACTTGGGGTCTAAACCTCTCCCTTTGGGCCCAGGTAGAACAAAGTTCTGGCACTTCTTCGATTAGAAATTTAAAAGAGAATTAGGAAAAAGGGAGAAACGGTTTGGAAATGCGTTCTAAGAATTAGTCCAGGCTTTAGGATTATTCTGGGCACTGCAGAGTTTGAAGTCATATTTTCCTGAGCTACTTATCCAGAGAGGACAAAGAAAACAAAATATATAATCTTTACATGAAAAGACAGCGTTAGGAGTTTTTTTTTTCTTAATGAGTTTTTTAGTTTATCATGTGGAAATACTGTATGTTTCTATGCATATGTAACTTCTCAACTTAATTCATGAGATCAAAATTGCGTAAGTCATAAGCCAGGAGGCTTGAAGGTCAGAGAGAGCTAATGGAAACAGGAAAGAGAGCACCAAGAGGGCTTATCACCACGAAAAATACACCAAGGAAGACTTCCTGTTCCTTAAATCTAGGCTATCTATCAATCCCATCGTACTTCTGAGTATTCAGTGTGTTAGTTGCTTAGGGAATCTTTAAAAAAAAAAAAAAGAGTTGGGAGAGCCCGTCCCCAAGCTCAGCCTCATCCACAGAACTCCCATCACCCAGGGAAAACCCAAATGGCCTAGAGGAGAACTTAGGAGGTGACACTGCTGGTCAATGTTAGGAAGTGCAGAGGACAGGACCAATCAAGTCAGGGTGGCCCAGCCCTGAACGGTGGGAGGATCTGTAAGTAATAACAACAACAACAGAGCAGGCAGCCAGCGCTTTAAATAGATGCTGTGCTGGGCACTGTCTCAATTATGTCTCATTTAGTCCTAACAACAATACTTAAAAAAAAAAAAAATACTGTTTTTGTACATAGAAAAAGGAGGTGTTGGTTGGTTTGATCCCTGGGCCCAAAACTGAACTCCTAGTATGTAGTGAAAATAGGATTTGAGGCTCATTCTCTCTAATGCCCACTTTGGTGGGGTTTTAACCATATGTACACTCTTTTTCTTCTTCTTCTTCTTCTTTTTTTTTTTAATTTTTTAAAAAATTTTCTGGTACTGAGAATTAAACCCAAGGAGCACTCAACCTCTGAGCCACATCCCCAGCCACTGGGATTACAGGCATGCGCCACGGTGCCCGGCTTGTTTTTTATTTAGAGACAGGGTTTCACTAAGTGGCTTAGGGCCTAGCTAAGTTGCTAAAGCTGGCCTTAAACTTGTGATCCTCCTGCCTCAGCCTCCCTGGCTCCTGGGATTTCAGCACCAGGCCTTAATTCTTTATAAAGGAGAAAGAATAAAGAAAGCAAGAGGTGACATGAGTGTGGAGGTGCATTCTGATGAAGGAATGGATGTGCTCAGTGAGACAGAGGACGGGGCAGTGGAAAGACCAAGCTGGCTGCAGTTATAACTGCTTTATTCTCTTTTTTGGGGGGAGGGGGAGGGATGAGGTAACTGAGCATTTGGGGATGTTCCAGGGGCACTTAACCACTGAGCCACATCCTCAGTTTTTTTTTTTTTTTTTGAGACAGGGTCTTGGTAAATTACTTAGGGCCTCGCCTAGTTGCTGAGGCTGGCCTTGAATTTCAATCATCCTGCCTCAGCCTCCCCAGTTGCTGGGATTACAGGTATGGGACACCAGGCGTGGCAACTGCTTTGTTCCTAAAGGTCACTTATGGGGCATGAGGTATCAAGTGGACCTTGAAATGTTTTTCCTTTAACTGTTTGTTTTAAAGCCATAATTAGAGGTGTTAACATTTCTGCTGAGGTTCAGAAATACAAATTCTGGCAAAGAGCCACAGCTACGTGCATCTCCTCCTCTCTCCCATCTGTTCTGTTCTCCAGCTCGAGGCTGGTCAGGACAACACAGGCATTGACTCCCACGAGATGGACAGTGTCACCGGTGGGTGCCCTCCAATCAACTCACCAAGGACCACTGGGGGGTGTGACATAGAGATTCTGAGACTGCTTGCCTGCATTGCATGCAGCAGAGACCCTGCCCTTCCCTGCTGTCAAATGGTGCCACCAACCCGAGGTCCTGTCTCGGAGATACTCACAGTTTCTCCAATAGAACCTTGTATTGTTCATCTCCTCGGCCACCTTCTACCTCTTGATCCAGCTTGGTGATCAACTCATTCTCAAACTGCAAGCAGAGTTGGAATTCACAGCAGAAAGTTACGTCCTTCGGAGAGACCTCGTGAGATACCTGGCTCATCTTCCTAGCCTCTGGCCCAACCCTTTTACTGAACTGTGGATTGCTTACGACCGTGGACAGGAGAGGATCCCATTCCAGACATTCATGAACACTGCACCAGGGAAGTCCAATATTACTTTGTCCATTGCTTTACCCTTGCCATCCACCCCCTCCAAAGTCTGAAATGTTATTTTCTGTTACAACTATGCATCTAAAAAAGCATTATGATTCTAATTTTCTTATCTTTTTTTTTTAATTTGTTTTTTGGTACTGGGGACTGAACTCAGGGGCACTCGACCACGGAGCCACATCCCCAGCCCTATTTTGTATTTTATTCAGAGACAGGGTCTCACTGAGTTGCTCAAAGCCTCACCATTGCTGAGGCTGGCTTTGAACTCACAATCCTCCTGCCTCAGCCTCCCAAGCCACTGAGATTTCAGGCCGGGCTATAAGTCTTGCTAATGGGACTGCTTTTGCTGATCTCTGTAGATGCAAAAATCTCCTTTTCAAGTTAATACACTGTAGAAAAGGAAATTGAGGTGTAGACTAAACACTGGCAATCTCAAGTTCTCACAGCCACAGATAACAGAGCAGGGCTGGGTCCACTGCCTCTCCCCTCAGCTGTCCCATGATAGGCAGGACAGGCAGGTTGTGTCCTCTGCATTATTCTCAGTTACACAGCAACAGACAGGTCTGAAATGCAGGAAGTCAAGTTTTCCTTCCCCAGAGGCAGAGTGCTTTAGGATAGGCAGCAGGGGCGGGCTGCTGTAGGACAGGAGGGGAGACGGGCTGCTGTAGGACAGGAGGGGAGACGGGCTGCTGTAGGACAGGAGGGGAGACGGGCTGCTGTAGGACAGGAGGAGAGGCGGGCTGCTGTAGCATAGGCAGGAGTCAAGAGAGCCCTTCTGGGCTCTGGGCTGGAATGTTGGATTACATCTCCGATCACTTGACACAATGAAATGTAAAAGGAATTTTTAGATCAACGCTGATCTGTATCACTCAGGCTATGGCTTTTCCGTACAGAAAGAAAATAAGTAAGAGCTGATTTTAGGTGCATTAGTAGAATTCCAGTCCACCACTCCTTACCATATGGAAATTGCCATTTCCACTGAAATTGAACTCACACTGCATCATATCAAAGAAAATGGGGATGGTGGCTTTTCGCAGCTCCACTTCGGGGGTCAGGGTGACTTCCAGAATGGGACCCACCATCGATGGGATGAATTTGATTTTGTGGGGACCTGAAATAAAGGTAAATGAGGATATGAAACAATCACTTTGCTATTAAGTCGAGCGTCATAATCTTCCTCTACAGGGCCCATAAGAAAAGAAAGAGCGCATGTGGGTAAGGCACCTGGGTGTAGGAGTGAGGGATGAAATACTGATGAACTGTGGATGCCATAGGAACAGAGGGCTCGTCGTCAATGTGCCAGCTGAGGTGAGGGTGCGAAAGCCACAGGAGAGCTTTTACCTCCAGGCACACAGGACATCTCAGGACCATTTGAATTAACATAGGAGTCCACTTGGGTGCTTATCACAATGGAGCTGTGCTGGGGCCCGTTCAAGGTCAGACACTCACCCAGGTTATACCACATGTCCCGGATTCTAAAGCCGATTTCCTTCCTCATGTCCCCATATCTAGGAAGAAGACCACAAACGGAGAGGAGGAGTTGCAGGAGGAACGGGTTGCATGCAACAAAGTCACTCCTGAGTCTCTAGCGGGCACTGGATCAAGGACCCCTCAGACTCCACAATCTGCAGGTGCTCAGGCTCCTTATATGGAAGAGCACAGTATTTGCACATAGCTATACACATCCTCCTGCACACTTCCAAGTGTCTCCATATTACCAGTAAGATCTCGTACCGTGTAAATGCTGTGCAAATACTGGTTATAGTGGATGGCTTGGGGAATGAAGACAAGAAATACATGTTCAATACAGGTGTAATTTTTCCCCCCAAACATTCTTGATCCCTCTGTTGGGGGATGCAGAACTCACAGACACAGAGGACTATGTGTTTAATGGTGAGGGGAATAAAATCAGCCTGTGCTCCTTTGGGTCACACATGAGACATTGACCCTGTAAGAGAGGAGGGCAGTACCGAAATCAGCCTCCAAAGAGAAGTGAGCCCCATGGAGGACAGAGGACTTATGGCCAGAAGGAACCAAATGTAAGTGCTGAAAAATAACTAAGAAGGTGAGATGAGCCGGGCGCGGGGGGGCGCACGCCTGTAATGCCAGAGGTTCAGGAGGCTGAGGCAGGAGGATTGTGAGTTCAAAGCCAGCCTCAGCAAAAGCAAGGTGCTAAGCAGCTCAGTGAGACCCTGTCTTTAAATAAAATACAAAAAAGGGCTGGAGAGGTGGCTCAGTGGTGGAGTGTCCCTGAGTTCAATCCCCGGAACCACCCTCCCACACAAAAAAGGGTGGGGTGTGTGGCTCAGTGGTTAAGCACCTCTGGGTTCAATCCCTGGTACAAAAAAGAAAAGTGAGATGAACAAACTGATTTCAGGGGAAAGAATGATAAACACTCAACATAAACTAATAAAGAGGAAGGGACGTGACGGGGGCTTGCCAACAGGCTGAGGTACATAGTCATCCTGAGGGGTAATGTACACCTGTATTAGCATGTTCTTCAAAGTTCTCGCCCTGGGAAGCGGCATTCTCAGGGCAATAGAGCCCAGGAAGGGGGAAAACCTGTCCTTGGGGGGAAAAACCCAGAGCTTACTGCTTTTATACAGATGGTGCAGATAGTCATACAGCTCACCAGCAGATCCTGAGGAGGAGCAGAGAAACCCTGGTCTAGGCAGTGACTCCCAAGTGATTAGGTGATTCTTGGGTGAAGGCCAAGCCCATCCTCCTGGAAATCTTTGAAGAATTCTTACGCCTGAGGCTGCCCCACCCCACCTACCACATCAGAGGCTGGGGGCTGAAACTCGGAAATGGGGTAGCTCCTGATATTTCCTGGGAACACTCCGGCTCACAAACCATCCTGTGGTCACTGCTCTAGACTATTTTAGTGACGCTCTGATTGCCCCAACATTTTTTATTCAAATTCTTCCTTTGTAAATGCCTTCATAAGCCCGCATATTTTCTTCCTTTTATCATTGGTGCATTGTAGTAATGGAACATAATAATGGAACTCACTGCAACACATATTAGTACATAATATAAATTTGGTCATTTTGATGTCTAGTAAGAAGCCACTATTTTTTTTAAAAAAAAATCACATTTAAAAAATTGTAACTATTCCATCTAACAAAATGCTTGACCTTATTTTATTATTAAAGTTAGATGAGCCTATGTCATCGAGATTTGGGATTTAACAGACAGAAGTATCACTATTCCTATTGTTTAATACTTCCGCTGATCCTACTTTAAGAAAGCTTGAAACAAATCCTCACATTTCTATAACTTTAATATAACTGGTTTTATTCCCCAAATTTTATCTTTGCCCTTATACACACATGTTTTTACATGGTTTCTATTCACTGTCATACTTTTTTTTTTTAACCAGAACCAGAATCATTAATCCTAAGTAGCCTTTTTTTTTTCTTTTCAGACTTGCAATCAAGTAACTTCACTTACAGTCACTGAACCCAAATCAAATCCATCCCTTAAAGAAGTTACATTGTTACTTAAGACATTCTAAAGCAAGTGATCAAGGGATGGAGGCAATAAGTGTTTCCCCTTGGGGAAATCAACAAAACAGGTCATACTGTAATCTTTTTCTTTCTTCTTTCTTTTTGGTGTGTGTGTGTGTGTGTGTACGTGTGTGTCTGGGGATGGAACCCAGGGGTGTTCTACCACTAAGTTGCACCCCTAGCTGTTTTTATTTTTTAATTTGAGAGAGCGTCTTGCTAAGTTGCCTAGGCTGGCCTTAAAGTTGTGATCCTCCTGCCTCAGCCTCCTGAGTCACTGTATATTAAAGCACAGTCCTGTTGGATATGGTGGCACATGTCTGTAATCCCAGCAGCTTGGGAGCTGAGACAGGAGGACCACAAGTTTGAGGTCAATCTCAGCAAGTAAGTGAGAGCCTCTCTCAAATTTTTAAAAATTTAAAAAGAAAGGGCTGGGGATGTGGCTCAGAGGTAGAATGCCCTTGGGTTCCATCCTCGGTACCACCAAAAACAAAAGCAACCACCAAAACACAGTCACTACCAACCTCAGTTGTTTTAGGAAGGAAACAGAAATGTTAAATAATTTGCCTAAAACCCTGGATATTCCAACCAGGGGAAATGGATATAAAATTTCAAATTTAAATAAAAAATTCCTCAAGTCACTCTTAAATTACACTGCTTTGCCTTTCCAGGGTCTAAATTAACTCGAAACAGACCAGAGACGAAGACAGAAACCCGTCCCTAAATCTCCCACATTCCTGGACCGGAGTCCATTCTAAATTCCAAGCCAGAAATCTGGAATTTCAGGCTGTTGGCTTCTTGGCTTCTCTGATGAAGTGACAGTAGGTGACTGTGCCAAAGGGATTCCCTTGTGAAGTGGAAAGAGGCCCTGCACCTGCAATTCAGATGAGCTGCCAGCAGATGGCAGCTGTTCCTGGGCCCAGGAGAACACAGGGCACCTTTCCAGGCAGATGATTGATGGGAATGTGAGGAAAAAAAAAAAATGTGACCCGAGGGAATCTGAGTTATCAAGTGACTAAGACCTACCTCACCATCACTACCCTTAGCGACTACTATGGGTAGTCACTGAACACTGTATTCCTGCAGCACCCAAAGTACAGCTCCGAATGTGCACAGAAGAATCGCCTTTCCCTTCATCGCCAAGTTTACAGGGACACTTACTTTTTTACAATTTTGTTGCGCTTGGCTTGTGAGAAGGTTTCCAGCTGAAGGGACTCATGGGTGAGAAACGCTACCGCCAAATGGAAGTAATTGTTCCAGAGCTGTTCAACATTATGTGAGCACAAAGAAATGGAAAATAACATTAGTGTGGGTCATACTAAAACAGACACGTGGCAGAAAGTCAGTAACCAGGGACTCATGAAAAAGTAAGATCCACAGGACTTTTAGTTCTCTCTTGGGTTTGACTCCATCGTAAAAGTATTAAGAGTTAATATTAAGCTCTCCCCCCAACCCCACCATTGCCAATTCAAACTTTTACGTTCTTCTTTGCTCCTGGGATAGGGAAAAAGTACTGCCAAGAAGTACACCTATTTATAGTAGGAGGTTTGGCAACATGTATCAAAAGCCCTAAAATTGTGCCAAACATCTGAACTCACAAATACTTTCAGGACTTCTTCCTGACCAAATAACTATGGAGAGTTAAAAGTATTTAAAACAAGGAAGGTCACCACAGTGCTGTTTAACATAACAGAAAATGGATACAACCTACATGTTCTCAGGAAGAATTTGGTTAAATAAATCATTAACCGGCCATGTAGTGGACTGCATTCAGCTGTTAAAACTACTGCAAAAATAGTTAACATCATTGAAAAAATGATGAAATAAAGAAGTAAAGAAAACAAATTAACAGGTCCCAGAGCACGGCACAGCGCGAGTCTGTTTTGGTGGGTATGTATGTGCGTAAATATAAACGTAAAGCAATACGTATATATACACGCACATATGTGTCTACTTATATAGATGTATACGCCTGTGTGTGTATCCTAACGACTTTCCATGCTAAAAATGCTACTGATACAAAAAAGCACAAGACTCAGAAAAATCACATCACCAACAGAACACAGTCTGGAACACAGACTCTACAAGAGCTGGGACTTGGTGAGCCTTCGCCAGGGACGAGAACACGTAAATACTCTTGATGTTGGTTGGACAAAGGAAAAAAGGCTTTACAACTACTGTGGACTTTCCAAATAGCGCACGTATAAATAAAAAGGAACTGCTGCCTAGGACAGAACCACTTGAGGTGGGGAGTTGTCTAAGCACATTTTTGCAACCACATCTGCTGTGTACATTTGAGCCTATACACAGAGGATCACACCACGATGTTAACAGTGAAGGCCAAGCCTGCAGTCATCCCCTTATCCCAATTTTGTTTTCTGAGGTTTCAGTTCCCCTCAGCTAACCGAGGTCCAAAAGTATTAATATTTATTTTGACTCTTTCAAGAAAGAAAAACCACATTTGTATTATAGTATCTCATTATAATTGTTGCATTTACTATTATTTTTGTTAATCTCTTACTGTGCCTAATTTGTAAATTAAATTTTATCATACATATAATTATCTATAGGACTCAGGACTCTGTGGCTTCAGGCATCCCCTGGTGGCTGTAGAATACATCCCCCACAGAAAAGGGAGATTACTTTGTTTATATTTTTTTACTTTCTTATTTATTTACTTATTTTAAAAATATTTTTTAGTTGTCTTTGGACCTTTACTTTATTTATTTATTTATTTATTTATATGTGATGCCGAGAATTGAACCCAGTGCCTCACACATGCCAGGCAAGTGCTCTGCCACTGAGCTACAGCCCCAGCCCAACCTTCTTGTTTTTGTGTAGCTGTATTTTCTCAGTATTACTTCTTTACCTTTCTTTTTGTGTATGTTGCTTTTCCAGAAAGAAAAAGCTCCATCTTATTGCAGCTGGAGGACCATGTGACAGGAGTGTGCCCCTCAGGAAAAGAGAGAACCATGGAACCCTTCCCCGGTGACAAAGAGGGAGCCGGAGGTGGCCCTTTCCTAGCCGCAACAGTTCTGTTGCTGTGGCTGAGACTTCCAGGGACTTCCAGCAGGTCGGGCGCTCACCTGAAGCTCAAAGCTGGCCTGATCCATGAAGAGTCTGGTGAGGACTTCAGTGAACTGATTGATGGCACGGAGAAACACCCTGGGGAAGAAAGCACCAGACTAGGAGGTCGACTCCGCCCTTGGACACTTTGCTCTCCATGTTAAAATAAAGCCACACCATCCCAGACTGGCAAGAAAAGGCCATCTGATCTGCCAGTGTCCTCTGAGGCTACGACCGGGCAGAGTCTGTGAAGTTCAGTTTTCCCAACTGACTGGCAGAGTCTCAGCTAGCTGAGGTGACACGCAGGTGGCCTGGGCCCCTGTGTGGGCAATTCATACTCCACAGTGATGCTTCCATGTCTTTATTATTTATGATACTGGGGATTGGACCCAGGGAATTTTACCACTGAGCCATATCCCCATTATTTTTTATTTTGAGGCAGGGTCTCACTAAGCTGCTGAGTCTGGTCTCCAACTTGTGATCCTCCTGTCTCAGCCTCCCAAGTTGCCAGAATTACAGGTGTGCATTACCATGCCCAGAAATGCTTCTCTTTTAGAGTCTAGGGCTTCTGGTGCTGCTTTCCCTCTAATCTGCAGAGTTGGGAAGGGTTTTTTTCTAATCAGACATCAGGACCACGAATGGTTAATAATAATAATCATAAAGTGATTTGTCTTAATTAGCTCATTAAGAAAAATCTGAAGTTCTTTTACTATAATATACATATATATCCCATTCATCTACTTCTATTCAACCAGTATCTGTCGTGGGCCAGCATCTGCAAGGCACTCACTTAGGTGCTGTGTCAAATACACAGCTTCCAGTCTTCCAAGGGTTACAACACCAAGAAGGAATCTTAAACATCTAACTTGAGCCCTGATCCAATAGAGAACGTGAAACAAATTCCATGAGAGGGCTTCAAAGGGGGTACCCAGCATCCAAGGAAGAGAAGACAATATCCAGGCCAGAAAGGCCTGCACTGGGGGTAATGGTCTTAGGTGTTGGGAGGGAGGTTGAGAGGTCGTGGGGAGGACACTGACATGGAGGGAGCAGCAGAGGCAAAGGATCACTAGGAGTATGACAAGGAGACCGGTCCCCACCGAAGACAGCAGAGACCCTGAATGGGGCAACCCTGAAGCCCAGGTGAAGTGGAGCTCCTGGCACGGACGTAGGGTCACAGGAGCAGGAAGATAGGACCGAGCACAGAGACGGACCAGCACTTCCCCGAGCCCCCACACAGCCGGGGCAGAGCCAGGCCTCCGGGTGGGCCCCAGGTCCTCACCTGCTCTGCGTCATATTCATCACCACCCAGTCTTTGGCATAGACGTTCTTCCCGATCAGATCCTTGAACATGATAAAGGTTTCCATGAGGAAGTCCTGCGGAGAAGCAAGGAGGGACAGCTGGGGAAGACGGCTCTTTCACTGCCGCTCCCCCAGCGTGTGGACAGAAGAACCCACATCAGCACCAGTCCTTCCTCGTCCCAGGTCACTGCCTGTCCTACAGGACTGAGGGACAACGATGCGTTCTCAGAGCAGGCTACCATATGAGGCGATTTTTGCACTGCATGATTCTATAAGGAAAACAAGGACAAAAAGGTCGTCCACGTTTTACAAGTGGTGTGCCTGAGGCTGACACATTAAATGACCTGTCTGAGCCCAGAGAACCAGGAAGCAGGAGAGCTGCAAGGGACCCAGGGCTCGCGGACCCCACGTTTCCAGCTCTTGTTTCTCTTTAGTCCTCATCTGGCATGTGCTGTCTGGAAATAGCTCTCCTGCTTAAAAATGAATTGACAACTGTGAGAATATGGAAACTTCGGACAGATGGGAGTTCAATTCTTCCTTGTCCTGGTTAGAACAGATCAGAAGCACTGCACCAAGCAGCAGTTACGAGCCTTCCAGCTGCAGAGAGGTTCTCATGTGTAGCCTGGAAGAAGAGCCCTGCACAGCCCCTACAAGGAGATGGTAATGGTGGCTCATGATAACTGGAATAACTAATAACTAAGTAAACACAGCACAGAGCTCTTCTCATCCAAAGGTGGTTGTGAGCAAAAAGGAATTAAAAAAAAAAAAAGCAATAAGACTAAAAGGCAAAGCTATCAAGTTTTGAAAGCACTTCCATTAGACCCATTTAGACCTTCTGCACTGGGATCCCTGAAATGAAAATCCAGTTTGCATTCTCGGGCACTAACCCACAAGTCCCACCTTTGAAGCACACTGCACCGCAGTAAGGATGTGGTGCTTGAGAGGCACTAGTGGTTGAACCCAGAGGCACTTAATCACTGAGCCACATCCCCAGCCCTTTCCTGTACTTTAAGTGGAGACAGGGTCTCACTGAGATGCTGAGGCTGACTTGGAACTTGCAATCCTCTTGCCTCAGCCTCCCAACCTCTAAGATGACAGGCGTGCACCATCACGCCCAGCTATTTCTAAAGACATTTTTCTAAGACACTGGTTAATCTGCTAGTTTCCTCTACTCTTGATGTCAGTGGCATACAAAACAGGAATGATTCTGGCAGGAACTTGCTGTGTTTTTGTTTTATTTTTTTGCCCTGCTGGAAGTTGAACCCACAGCCTCAGACACGCTAAGCAGGTGCTCATGCACCACCGAGCTACAGCCCAGCCTTGTCTTGCTGCACTTGATTTGATCTTCTGGTACAATAATGAGTCAGGCCTACCCATCCTCAGTTCTGGAATTTTCCATGAGTTTACCATTTTTTTTCACCATACGTGATCAATGCTTCTACCCATTTACTGACCATTCTGTTATTATTATTATTATTTGGTTCAATAAACATGATTTCTTGGTTTGTGATGAAAATGGAAAATGGATCAACTGGAGATGCCAGTTATCTGCACCCGACATGGTCTACGCTCAGCTCTTGGTCATCACTTCATACAGCAAGACTCCCAAGACCTCCAGCTGAAGCCCACTGCCAACGCGTTCCATGGGAATTACCCAGAAGAGAGCAGGAGGGTGACAGCCACTGGGAGGGAGAGAGGCAGGGGAAGAGCTCTCCATCATCTCACACAGAGGAGATATGCCTGGTTTCTTCCTGCAGAAGCACGGAGTCAAGCTATGAATTTAGAATGTCCTACCTGCTTTCTGAAGAAAATTTGGAAAAAAAAAAATCACTAAAATATATTTGTTAATTTATTTTATGTCCCAAGAATATTAAAATTGTTATTATAAGTAGCCACTCTTCTCAGGTGTTGACCACTATACAATCATGGTGAGTAGCCAGAATTCAAACCTGAGGGCTCTCTCTAAATCCAAGAGGTTCAGGCAGCATGTGAGGACTCTCGGGTACATGTCCTACCCCCTTCTTCAACTCCACCAAGGACAGAGAGCAAGAATCAACTGTGCTTTTCTTCGGCACTGTGGGCAGCCACAGAGCCCTGGAGGTGGGAGGGAGGAAAACCCTGGTCTGGTGACACTCGGTATCAGATACTTATCTATTTATTTATTTATACCAAATATAAGAGGTCTCAAGTTACTAGGATGAGGTGAAGACAACTTACAGTGATGTCTTGCCTGGTCTTGAAGGTGCTGATGTAGTGGCTGTAGTGGGTGTCGTCCATCTGCCGCAGGATGGCAATCATGCAAGCCACAAAGCTGCCCTGGAGGAAGAAGAAAGGACAATCCAAGGCTCCTCAGGCCACCAAATGACCGAACAAGATGAGGACAACCTGGACTCTGGTTTTCCCAGCCCCATGACCTCTGACCCTAATGAGCTGGAAACATGCTGCTTCCTAAGGATCAAGGGCACTTGGTTTGAGATTTCTCCTTCACGCTACCTCCTTCCAGGTAGAGCTGGAGAGATGGAAGGGCTCAGGCTCCCATCAGCACCTACAGCTTTGAGCTTGTAGCATCCTGAAGGTCAAGGGACACCGATTTAAGATCTCGGCTAGCTCACCAACTAATTGTGATACCTATGGGACTTTCAGTTTCTTGCTGAGACTGGGTTGTAGTACAGAAGTCCATGGAGAAATGTTGGTAATAGATCAGTTAAACAAATCTGAATATGGAGAAGACTAATAAGAAAAAGAGGGACAGGTTGAGCATTCCTCACTTGAAAATCTGAAATGTTCCCAGGAGTTTGGGATTTTGGATCCCACTGGAATTTGGATTTTTGGATTTAGGATGCTCCACCAGTAGAGTCTATGCAACTGGTTAAAAATCCAAAACCAAAACTCATCCCAATCTTTGGGTGGTGGCAGGTACTGGGGATTGAACTCGGGGCACTCGAACACTGAGCCATATATCCTCAGCCCTATTTTGTATTTTATTTAGCAACAGGGTCTCACTGAATTGCTTAGTGCCTTACCATTGTTGAGGCTGGCTTTGAACTCATGATCCTCCTGCTTCAACCTCCCAAGCTGCTGGGATTACAGGTGTGCACCACCTTAACCGGCTCAACTTCCTTTTAAGCACATAAATGATTCAACTTGTTTTCTTCTTATTATATTATTTGGTACCAGGGATTGAACTCATGGGACTTAACCACTGAGGCACATCCCCAGCCTTTTTTTTTTTGCATTTTTATTTAAAGATCGTGTCTCACTAAGTTACTGAGGCTGGCCTTGAACTTTCAATCTTCCTGCCTTAGCCTCTAGAGCCGCTGGGAACACAGGTGTGCACCACCACGCCCAACTCTCAGTGTTATTTTCAACTTTTAACAGTACGTGAAGAGACAGATTAGTTAAGCATGCATTTTGTTTTTGATTAAGTAATTAATTGCATCATTAGGGCCCCAAAGTAAAGAGAAACACAAGATTTGTAGATTTCTTCACTCATTGTGTGGTGTGGAATGTGTGTGTGTGTGTGTGTTGCTACTGTTGTTTTCCTACCCAGCACAGGGGATTAAATCCTGGGCACTCTACCGCTGAGCTCCATCTCCAGCCCATTTTATTTTGAGACAGGGTCTTGCTAAATTGCTGAGGCTGGCCTCTAGCGTGTGATCCTCCCCTCAGTGCCCAGAGTGATAGGGGTCACCGCTGTGCCGAGCCCTCATGGGAAATGAGAGTTTCTTGGCCAACAATCCTATTCTTACCTCTGAGGTGAGAGACTTGGTTTTACCTGCACACATCTGCAGTCTTCCTGTTCCCCATGATCTCGTGATCTCAGACCAGAGAGCCACAAACCAATCCTTTCCTACAAGGTCTGAATCCGTTCACAGTGTTCTGGAGAAGCTTCTGTTTTAATTGCCTCACTAACTGCTCTTTCTTCTTGCCTGGTCTCCTCTCACCCCCATTTGACTCTTGCAAGGCACGTCTTAGGGATTCTGCCCTGGCTCAGCCCTTCTTGAAGGCCCTTCCCAGGGAGCCACGTGGCAACTCCTTCACGGCCTTCAAAGTTTTTGGCTGAAATTCTACCTTCTCAGGGAAGCAGTTCTTTGTCATGTTATTTGAATCCCTGCCTCCTCACTCTTCCCTTGTTCTCTCCATATCTTTCTCCAAGCCCTGTCTCCTTCTAAGAGAGACTCTGTGGTTTATTTTGCCATAATCATTACTTCTAAGTACAAGTTGCTCAGGGGCAGGGTTTTGTTTTGTTCTGTTTTAATCTGTTCTGCTCACACATACACCACAGTGTCCAGAAGAATGCTCAGCTTACAGATTTTTCTTTTCTTTTTTTTGGCATTGGGATTGAACCCAGGGGCAATCTACCACTGAACTACATCCCTATCCCTTTTTATTTTGAGATAGGGCCTTGTTGTCCAGGCTGGTCTCAAACTTGTGATCTTCCTGCCTCAGCCCCGCAAGCTTCTGAGATTATAATCGTGAGCCACAATGCCCAGAGGCTTACAGATTCTTAATAAATGAATATTTTTGTACTTACAAAAGCAATTTGAGATAGTTCTTTCCCTATGACCTCTAATTAAAATCTAACCTTAGCTTTTAATAGAGTGAAAAGATGATGCTTTATTTTAATGCTGATCTGACTGGGCCTTTCAACAATGATCTCTGGTCTCATTTATGCTTTTTTATTGACATCCATTTGGGACCAGTAGATAGAACCTAAGAGGCTAGTGCTACACTGGCCTTTCGAAAAGGACACTTAACACAAGTTCTTTAAAGCATCGTCTTTTTACTGGAAATAAAAGCTGCTTGGGGTTCCCTGGAGGGAAAACAACTGAACAAGGAATAGAAAATCCATGTCAGAAGTGAGCACTGCTCAGGGTTATAACCAATCAGCCATGACACACGGGGCCAGGTGAACTTCATCTGAAGCCACTGGTCCCCTAGGCAGGCAGGACACAGAGAAGCAGCAATGGCCGTGGGGTGGTGCACAGGAGAGACACTCACGATGTGGGGAGACTGTCGGCTCATCCCGATCACGGTCCTGTTGATCCTCCTCAGCAGCCGCTCCATGATCAACTGAATGTGCATGGCCGTGGGACCCTGGGGGCGAAACACAGGTGTGACCCCATTTCTGCCTTCTCAGGTTTGCCATCTCAAGGGGACCTCAGTCACAGGACTCCTCTTTCCCCTAAAAAGCAATCTCTTCTCCAAAAGGGGAAATGGAGTCACAGAATAACACATAACTTTATTAAGAGCAAATCAACTGAAAATGATCAGATCGTTTAAAAGATGAGCGTGGACACGCAGGGACAGGTGCTCCCCCACCAAACCCTGATGGTTCCCGTGCACTCTGACAGCTCTCTGTGGCCAGACAGTTCCAGGGAGTCCGAGGTGCCGGTTCTGATGCTGAGCAGAGCACTGCCCAGGACAATCAGACACAGGTGGGCAGTGAGAGGCAAAGGTACAGACTTCTTAACACCTTCTGCGTCGGGCAAAAACCCAAAGAAAGGCAAGCAAGAGGTCTGTTAGGAGGTGAATTTTTGTGTCCCTCTTGAAGCCTGAACATCCAATGGTGCTTGGAGATGGGGTCTCTGGGAGGCAATTCAGGCCACAGGAGGACAGGAGGGTGGGGTCCTAATGACCCCGCTCACTCACACACACAAGCTCTTTCTGTGTGTGTGCACCCACTGAGGAAAGGCCACATGTGCGTGCAGGGAGAAGACAGCCACTCGCAAGCAGAGAAGAGCTCCCTCCCAGAACACCACAGAGCCCACACCCTGGCCTAGACCTTCAGCCTCCAGAGCTTCGAGAAAATACACTTTTGTCATTTAAGGCACCCAGTCTGTGGGATGCTGTTGGGAGACTGAGAAGACCAGTACGAGGATTCAACATTCTGTCCCGTGTGACTCTGAGCCACTATTCGATTTTGCCTTACTTTAGTTTTCATAGCTGCACAAGGTGGATGATAAGGTTTCCTTACAGGATTGGTTGTGTGCCAGACAACTGTGCATCCTCCTCTTTCCTTCATTTCTCATCTCTAGTTAGATGTGACACTCACCCAGCTCCAAACTACCTGTGTTCAACTTGACCTTGTGGACCTTATCCATGCTTCCTTCCTGACAGATACTTGAAAATTCCCGCTGAATGCTTAAATAACTAAATCACCACTATGGATTTTCCTGCTTGTTAACATTTCACTATTTCAAAAAATATTTAACAGGTGACTGTATGTCTTCAGGGTATACAATGTGATGATCTGATACAGCTATACATTGGGAGACTGTGATCACTGCAATTGAATTAAGTAACACATCCATCTGCATCCATATGCACTACATCTCCAGAACCTGTTCATCTCATGAATGAAAGTTTGTTTTTTTGACCAACACCTCCCCATCCCCCAGCCCCAGCCCCTGGGAATCAGTATTCTAGTCTTTGTTTCTGTGGGTTCTACTCTTTCAGGGACCACGTAAGTGACATCCTGCTGCACTGTCCACGGTCATGTGTATTTTCATCCAAGTATTAAGTATCTTTAGCTTTTCTGCCCTCGTTCCCGGCTTTTCTTTTACCTGCTTCTCCTTTCTGTGGGTAAAAGTGACATAGAAAACCTGCCTCTCTGGGGGATGCCGCCTTCACTGCTGCTGACACAGCTTTTCCTCCAGGCACGGGCCGGGCTCTGGGTGGGGTTAGGAAAACAACCGAGGCCCACAGAGAGAGATGCACACTCAGGAGGGGGCAAGGACAGAACAAGCCCAGCCCAGGATCCCAGCCCAGATCAGCTCTGGGGGGCAGGGTGCTGGCCGGGCACAGTCCTCCAGCCAGTTCCGTGGGGCCCGTGTAGGCCTGTGGGCAGCGCCATGGCCAGGAGATGGGAAATCCAGGCAGGTTCAGCCTCACAGCCTGGGGGCTGGGGGTGAGGGGAAAGATCACAGAAAAAACACGATTTCCACTGGGCACCAGAGAGAGCCACAGTGTGGGAGAGAAGATAGAAACAGAAGTTCTCAGGAGCAGGGATTTCTACAATAGGGTCAGGCATGAGATGGAGGTCAGAGCTTCCTACAGAGAAACAAATTCTCCATGGGTCTTGGCAGAAATTAACAGAGCTGTTGAGAGCTCCTGCAGGGATCTCAGGGTGGGCCGACGGGGCAAGCTGGAGACCAGCCAGTGGCGTTTCCAGCTGTGAGTTGACCTCGCCTGGACCTAGATTTGTACAGAAAGCTCTGGTTTCTCTAGGCACCTCTAAAATGGGCACCCCTGTGCCCAATGCCCGGTTCTAAACCACCAGAGACTAGAAGGTCACGGAGTCCCTCCTGCCTGGTGCAAAGGGCCAGCGGAGGCATCATGTTAGGGATGCCCACACTCACCACATCCTTCCTGTCCAGCACCTCCAGGATGCTGCTCAGAAGCTGCGAGCTGGCCTCATGGTCAGGCTTGCTTGAGTGGTCATCCAGCTGGCCGCTGAGCTGGTCCGTCAGCAGTGGCAATAGCACGTCTCTGCACTCTGAGGGAGAAAACGCAGTAGCTCACACGAGGAAATGCCCCCTCCCAGCTGCCATCACTGCAGACCTCTCTGCCTGTCCCCAGAGCTCTTGGGACCAGCCCTGCAGGAATGGAGTCCCTCTCCAGGGCACTGAGGAGCACAGACTTTAGGTACGGAACTTCAGCCTTGTGCCAGGACTAGACTCATGAAATACCCCTGTTAGAGGGAAAGGCGAGGATTTTGCACCTGCTTAAATTACTTAACAATCTCTCCAGGCTTACTTGTCACTTGTCTGTTACTTTACTTGGTGGTGCCGACTGAACCTACACTAAGCACACACTCTACCACGGAGCTGCGGCCCCAGCCCTCTGGCGTTTTAAATGCCAGCTTGACACATGAACGCTAAGTCGTGTGGAACCAATGAAAACTAAGCAAGTCAGAGTGTCTTTTTAAAATTGACTATAAAATTCCTAAACACTGAGCTTTCCTACTACGTTTCTAGAACATTCCACTCATGTCTTTGCAGGCATATGGCTTATAGAAAGTAGGGCATTATTTACTGTCTTCCTTTTAGGGTCTTCATTATGATAACACATGATTATGACACTACAGCAGTGACTGTTAGCAGTGAGCGTACGTCCTCTCATTGGTCCTGTCTAGTGACCGGCTTCCACTTGCACTCAAACACCCGCCTTTATTGTCTCAGTTATCCTTTCGGCATCCTTAGAGGCAGAGCTTGTCACAGTCTATCAGGAAGCTTAGTGATACTTTGGTTTTTACTCGAGATCATTCACTAGCTTTCTGAAGACATCAGCTCTGCCTCCAATTATGACCTAAAAACACTTGAAATTTCCAAACACAAAATAATGGGGTCGGAAAATATCAGAGCCAAAAGAGGCTACTGATGTCATCTAATTCAAGCCGTTCCTTCCACTGAAACAGAAGCTGAGACGGAGAGAAAGTCCCTCATTTATGCCGAGTTCCATAGCCAGTTGGGTACAAGGCCAGGAGGATTCTTCTACCAACACTCCACTCAACTTTCCTGATTTCTGAGGAGGCTGCTGGACAAGCCTACCTAACATGAGGGGACTCCCTGATCTTGTGGCAGCTTCAAAAGAAGTTCCCTCAGCTGCTCACTCCAGCGAGTCTTGGGTTTATAAGGAAGGACCAGGTCCTGGGTCCCCTCCTCCTACCAGCCTGGGATATGAGCACAGAGTCGCATGAGCTGGCTACCTACTCCACTGTACTTAGGAGAAGCACTGTATCAGTGAAAGGGGTTTCTCCCCTCTGTGCCCATTCCCAGTAGGATGCCAGTCATCCAGCTTCCCCATCTTAAAAAAAAAAAAAAAGCCCCATTGGCCAATCTCTGGGGTGGAAATGCTTCCACCATAGTCAAGTCCCAGCTACGAACACTAACACGACATCACTGAACCCAACTGAGAAGAGAACCACACCATCCCTCTCCTGAGCCAGGACTAGTGGGATCTGGCCTAGAGCCACGCTGCTGCCTGCCCTGCCCCGGGCTTGTGCCTTGATGTACCATGTACAGGTCAAGCAGGAATTCCTTTAAAGGAACCCTCGTCTTTCCTGCTCGCCTGCCATTTTCTGAGGTTCCTCTTTTGAGGACAAAGGTTTCTAATGAACAAATCCTTTGCTGATTTGCTCTAATTAAAGATTAAACACAACTGGGCTCTTTTAGTAACTGCTAGGAATACCAAACTAACTTCAGCTTCTTAAAACTGGCCTCCCAGAGATACTTAAGAACCACAAACTGGCAAGGACATTACTGACATTAAAAAAAAAAAAAAAAAGGCAAGTGTGACTGCGGCAGGTGTGAGACTGGTCCTCAGGGGGTGGCGGGCTGTGTGGGACCTCACCTGACTGCTGGAAGAGACCACTCTCCACCATCTTGGTCATGCAGGTGAGCTTCTGCCGCACCAGCTGGTTGTCAGGAATGCTCTGAATGAACTTGCAGAAGAGCACGCTGCAAGAGAAGCCGCAGCGTCAGTTCTCTCACTCTGCCAAGCGACAGGCAGCATCACAAACATCTCCTCCACAACAAGACCTGGGCCGGACAGGTGCACCTGGAAAACCCCCCTAGAGACCCAGGGCTGTCTCCAGGGCCTGCATCCCGCTCCCTAGAGAGCCCCGCCTTGGAGCTGACTCTGCCCACAGCACCAAGCACCTCCACTTCCACCAGCTGCTTCCAGGCCTGCCTCCACGCTCAGCTTTTGTAAAACACCTTTTCTGGCTAACGTCACTCCAATCTCGACTGCAACAGGACTCTGCACTCCTGGGGTGCTAGTTACAGGGCCGGAAGCACCTTATTATGTACTTTCTTTTAGAGTTAATTTCATGTCTGCATGTCTTGCTTCTCCAAAGAGAGTGCAAACCTCTCTCTGGAGCAGGCTTGGTGTGTTCTTTCACATCTTCCACAGAAATGAGCGCAAAAGGTGCTCTGTTAATACTTGTGAGAAAAAGAAAAGTATGTGCAGGAGTTCAGTCCCCGGCCAAGCAGGGGGCTACTTCTCTGTCACAGACAAGAAACCCATGGCTTTTTGTTATTTACCTGAGCTCAATGGGATCGAACACAAGTTTGACATCGTTGATTATGCTAGGGAGGTACTTCAAAGCTGCCCCCTGTAAGAAAACACCAAAGGCAAATTCAGTTGCCGAGTAAGACCAATACAAAATTTACTGCCCCCTGTCCACCGCGGTTGCTGGGGACTGAACCCAGGCTCTTGTGCATACTAGGCAGGCTTTCAACCACCAGGCTGTATCCCCAGCCCAGAATTTATGGTTTGATCCCAGAAAGAAAGGGTTGCACTTGGATTTCGTATAGGAACTGGACACAGATGCCCTTGCAAGGAAGGGAAAGCTGATGGAGTTCATCATGACCTCCTCAAATCTTTCTCCTGGAAATGCAGGAGGTATAGCCCTTGTCTTCACAACCAGCGGGCACCGTCCATTTGGAATTCATTTTTCTACCAAAGAAAGAAGTTAAATTCTTGAAGTCTCCAGCACAAAGTTACCATCAAGAATAAGGAATGAATAATAAAGTTCAAATTGAAATCTTCAAGGATTATGTATTTGACATTAAAAAAATTTTTTTTAAAAAAAAACCTGTTGCTGATAAAGATAATGGTGACTTTGCACTTTGGGGAGCAATGGGGCAGCTAAGAATAGAAAACTGTCACCTGTAACAGCATTAGGATCTGTGTGCTGAAATCAGGGTCAAACAGAGGTTGTAACTGCCAATCAAGGGACTGTCTAAGCAGGTAGCTTGTCTTTGGCAAACTGACATTTGAAAATATAAAAGTAACTGAAGTTGAAATGTACAGGTTTTCCTTTACTCTAACTACTACTAAACCAAGATTGATTTCCTTCCTCTCCCACCACGGTCAGTTCCATGCTGTCCAGACCCTCTACGCTGATGGCCTGAAGGGTTACCTATGTAGACACCATGCTGACCTTGATCTTGACAGCTTCCTCCAGAGGCCTGTCCATGAGCATATTGAAAGAGAGAAACAACTGTCGGATTGAGTTATTAAATTCATCTCCATCTTCGCTCTGACCATAAAATCTAAACAGGAAAAAAGAGAAAAGCAGTCAGATTTTCCATCTTTAAAAGAAATTTTAAAATAGATGTGTGGCCTCAAAAACCAACTGGAGGTCAGCGCCTCATGGGTCATCACCTCAAATTATGCAGAAAGACTTCTTATGAGTCACCCTAAGATGGTTTCAAAGGGACCAGGAGTAAGCCCCCTTCAGACTGAAAAGACAGTACCACCTGGACAAGAGCAGGGTACTAAGTTTTAAATAAAGCCCTGACACAAGGCTTTCTAGTTGGTCAGCGAGGATTAGCCAGTTGGTAAAGATCCCAGGATGCTGTCTGGAGGGCCCCAAGCTTGGGGACACAGTCCATGCTGGTGGTTTGTGGGCATTTCCTAGACGAAGGGACATCAGGAAGTCACCGTGCCTGATGTAGCAGGTGAGCCCTGCGTTTCTGTCTCCTCAGCTCATTTGTACAATGTCCAGCGGGCAGGGACCCCAAGCAAAGTTCCCTTGCTGGCCACGTTCTCTCCTCCTTCCCCTGCACGACTCCCCGTGTTACCCTGTCTCACCTTACCACGCCTTGACCCTAAAAGCTGAGGTTTCAGACAATGGATTAAGAAGCTCCTCAACCCAGATAGGTTCTGAGCCCAGCAGGCCTACAAAACCAGTCAGGGTCCACTCGGTCCACCACACTGCCCATACCGATGCTGACCTGCTCTACCACGAGGGCCTCCAACCTCACGGACACACCCTCACTTTGGTTAAAGTATCCTCCTGTCTTTACCAGATCTGTCCATCAACTCAAGAGTTGGCTCTTTCTCCTGAGTAGAAATGGAGAGGTCTTTGACCAATTGCCCAGAAAACACCAAAGTCCCAACTGGTAGTGCATGTGCTTCTACGCTGGGTGGCAACCTCACCAACGACTGCTCAGGAGGAGGGATGGTGGGTTCTGAATTTTAAGCACATGCTTCAACACATGCATGCACACGTGAATATGTTTAATTAAACTAGTCTCCTTCATGCACCCATACATACTGAGCACCCCAATCTGAAGATTCAAAATCCAAAACCTTTTGAGCGCCAACAGGATGCCATAAGGACAGATTCTCACACCTCACCTCACGTGATGGGCTGCAGTCAAAATGCAGGTGCACTAAAAATACTCTATGAAATCACCCTCAGGCTCTGTGTATAAGGGCTATAAGATGTAGATGAATTTCATGTTTACACTTGGGTCTTATTCCCAAGATAGCTCAGTTATGCATATGCAAAAATTCCAAAATTCTAAAAAATCTGAAACCTGAAATACTTCTGATCCCAACCATTTTGGATAAGGGATACTTATAGGGTCTCCAAGGAGTATGACCTCCCCTGATAAAATTATACAATCAGAGGTAGTTGGTAATTCTTCATTCACCCACTTGGTAGAACTAGAAAAGAACTTTATTTGCAAGTTAGTCCCCAGAGTATCTCAAAAGTAAAACAGAATACCTAAAACAGAACTCTCTGGATCTTCCCGCTGGGCTCTAGGCATTCCGAGTACCAGCAAATAGCACCGCTGCCCACCCAAACCTTGAGGTTATCTGGGGTCCTTCCCTCCCTCTCACTGTCCCATCAAATCCACCAGCAAGTCGGGGCTCTGCACACACCAGTCCACCCCTTCCGCCTGCAGCTAGGGTAGAGCCGCAGCGTCTCACAGCTGCACTGCAAAGGTGCTCACTCACTCTCGGTCTTAGCCTTCCATGATCCATTTCCACAGAGCAGAAGAGATGATCATTTGAAACATAAGCAGGATTCTATTGCTTCTCTAACTGAAGTTCCCCAACGCCTCCCACCACCCCTGGAATAAAACCCAAGCTTCCTTGCCCCGGAAACCTGCCTCCCTACAGACACCATCCCCAGGAAAGGCTTCCGGCAAGGGGCACACTTAGCCACTGCCTCCCCGAGGGCTGCTGCCACTACTACCTCAGGGTTCTGCTGATGTAAAGGGAATTCAAATGGACCTTCTCCAACGGTCTCATGATCCACCGCCACCTGCAGCTCTGAAGTTTGGAAATTTGGCAGTTTGGTGATCTAAAGGGTCACAGAGCCGGAGGCAAGCATGAGCAGTAAGGGGACCAACGTGGAGAGACTGGTGACAGCTTAAACATCTCAGCCCGGTGACCATTACCTCAAGTAGAGCACTCGAGACTGGATGATGAACCTGAACAAGTACTTCAAGGCTTTCAAAGCAGCGAACAGCAACTCCGTCTTGCTGGAGTCGTCAGCATTAGCCACATAGAAGTTCAGGACCTTGGAGAGTTTCCTTAAAAGAACAGGAAAGAAAAATTAAGTTGGCTGGCAACAGGGTGCTCTGAGGCTTGCAAGGGGAGGTGGCAGAGTGAAGCAGCCACTCCCGCCATGTTCTCTGGAGGATGCCCTGGACAGGCAAACTAACACCTTTCCTCATCTGCTGCAGAAGTTTGGACCTTCCCTCTGGCTTAGAGATACTGGAAGATTTCTTTCCCTTTGTAGGATTAAAAAGGAAAATCTAGAAATGAAAAAGTAGAAAGGCTTCAAATTAAGGCGCTATTTTAATCTCTGTCCCAATCCTTGGAGAGCCATAAATTCGGTGCCAGACGGAAACTTCTGTGCGTGGGGAGTGGAGTTCAATCTGACTCTTCATCCATCACAAAACTCATCTGGGATTTTAAATTGCTCTTTATATTCTTCTGGAGTCTTTGGACTATGAAAAGTCTTGATCCTGTACTAACTCAGGCTTTTTAGGAGGCTGATATTTTGGGCCTTCCTTCTGGGAATATCTGACATTTCCTAGAACTAGCACAAAATCCAAAGGAAGCACACAGAATTAATCAAGTTTTGCAAATAAGCCCAGATTACTACTACCTGGAAGGTCTTATGTGGCTCAGTGTGATGAGGATCTACTGATACCAGTCCTCACTCATAACAAGGACTTGGAAGGCAAAACCACTGGGTGAAAGAACACTACTGTAGTGTGTCTACACCTCCCCAATCTGGGGGGTTTATAACCATCACATTAACTGGTAACTATGTTACGTGACAATGCCTTCATTCAACCTGTGTTTCTCTGCCTTCATGCTTGCTTGGCTTAGAAAACACCAGATTCGAAGATCTGACCTGATACATCAGTCAGTAGCAACTGACATGATCTGGCATGAGCCACTGTCCAAAATATTGTTCACCAATCTGGCTACATCCCTGCTGCTATTCATCGCATTGCTTTGCGCAATAACTAGAACTCAAGGAAGCGGCAGGTGACAGGCCACATACAAGGCCATCATGAGCTGAGTACTCCAGGGAGAAGCACAGAGTGAATGTCAGCTGCTCCCTTTGTCAACCCCAACAGAAAGAAGGCTACAGTGCAGAACAGGTAGAAACCACCCCACGCAAAAGAAAGAAAAGTCAAATCTTAATTCTGTGAGTACTCAATCCCACAGAGCGAGCACTTGTGGTACAGGGTTGAGGGCAGGATCTCCTCTTCTATCAGACTTGGTCCTGCTTAAATCCCTGTCGGGACCCCTTCGTGCCCCTGTGGATCTTGCCAACATCAGCTCCTCGGGGGCTGAGTCTGGTCACCTGTCCTTCAACTCCTCCATGGACATTCTTCCTTAACCAGAAGGAAGCTTGGGCCTGACACCTTTTCCAAGGGTGATGCTTAAACAGCCCCCGCTCTCCACCAGGAGGCCTGGAGACAAGTTCTGCATTCACAGACACATTTACTAAAGGCAGGTTCCTCTCGCTTCACCAAAATCCAGCCTTTGGAGAACAAACCCAATAGCCCAACACCACGCAGTTCTTTCCAGCCGTACTCACACGTATGCCAAAGTGGCACTGAAGTGCTTGTATATGTAGGTCTCAAGTACAGGGTTGAAATGCTGGAACTTGATGTCTCCTATCAGCGAAATAATAAACACCTGCCGAAGGTGAACAAGGTCATTAGCAGCCCTGCACAGCCCAGGCTTTCCACCAACAAGCTGGGTCGAAACACCTGGTGCTTTTGCTTTCTCATTTCCGCAGCATTCCTGCTGTCCAATCCCGGAGCTGAGGCCAAGTCTGGGAGGTTAATATTTATTTAACACGGAGAGGCCATCACACATCGGCACAGTGCTAAGTGCTATGCCTGCACCAGAACCAGCTGGCATCCTTGTTCCCAGGAGGGGCTGTCTCAAAGGGAGGGCAGTCTTTACACAGGTAACACCAGTCAGGGGACGAGGAAGGAGGATGCAGAAAGGGGTTTCCCGTGGGAATTATAAACTCAGCCAAGTTCGCAGCTGATGAAATACCCCAACATCTTTCTGAGTACAGCGTGAGTGTCCCCGATCATCTGAACTCCACCCGAGGTCTGCCTCCCCACTTCCCCACGGTATGTTATGTAGATGACTATAAGGTGCATGATGACAACCAACCACACTGCCCCCACACAGGACAAAAGTGTTCAAAGTAAAGGCACTTGGGACTTCCATCCATGCCACAGCCAGCTGCCCACCCCACAGGGCTTATCTCCAGAGCTTGTTCCATGGAAGCCCTACCCAGAGTTTCTCTTTCCCATAAACCTGACCCTGACCAGCTTCACCTTGGCGATACTGCGTCTCCTCTCTTCATCTTACATCCTTAGCTTTGATGCACCGACCATTTGTTAAACTGATTAATTTTTCCAAGCTGTCAAATGACCCACAGCTGCAACTGACCTTCCTCCTCAGTGGCAGCATCAGATAAAACCCCACCTGAACTTTTCCCCCAGCAATAAGGAAACGAAGCTTGGTTTGGACATGTCTGCTTTTTCTCCTCCACTGACACCCTGACCTTCCCAGATTCTGGTTATCTCCTGTCCCTGTTCTGATTTCAGTTCTTAGGACAGGCTGTACATTTAAGTACTCTGTATGACAAAGTCAGGTGTCTGCTGGGCTGTGTGCTGTATCTAATGACACCGAGAAGTGACTCTGACCTGTGAATCCAGCCTCCCGGGCATGAACATACAGGGTGCACAGCCACACAGTGATGGCCTTCCTTGTTAAGGGCATCCCCTGGTTTCAGACTGTCAGACGACAGCAAAGTGAGTTAAAATGTTTCCTGATTTCTAACTGAATTAAATCCTTCGTTTTTCCTGATGAAAAAGCGAAGGCAGGTCAAAAAGTGAGATCTAACAGAAAACAAAGAAATAAAAGACTGGAATGTAAGCTACTTGTTTCTAATTTTACTTCTGGAAATTCAGCCTAAAGAAATAATCAGAGAGATGTATAAACATGTTTATGCAGGAGGATGTTCATAGCAATTACTTCTAATAGGGAAATACTACCCCATTCCAGGAATAAGTACTAGTGGGTACGCTGAACTGCTTACCAGGGCATCGAACACCAGGAAGTCGTATGTTTCATTGTCTGACATTTCCATCATTATGTTAAAAAGTGCATCCAGTGTATCTTGCAAAAACTGAAGACGAGAGAAACAGAGGTTATCTGGGTGCTTTCATTCAGCTCCACATTGCAGAAATTTGGGGTCTATTAGGTTTCAGTGGAATGGGGTTAAAAATCACCTTTTCTTTAAAATTGACACAGTTGCTTAGCAATGCAGAAAACAAGTCCTACACCTACAATGACTGGCTGGATTTAAAATGTGGAACTAATGACACAAGCAGGTGTGTTTCCAGCTGAAGACAGAAACCTACCTTAACAATCTCTCCTCCATCCACCTCCATTAACTTCTTTAGGTTGTGCTTTATGTTCTGGGAGTTGGAACGCCAGTTCAGCAGGCCTAAAAGGTCAACTGGGAAGAGTGATCACAAACATCAGCATCAGAAGGAGCAACCCAGGCCATTTCAGGACACAGCTACAGAACTCTCTAGAAAAGATAGCTGCTCTTAATCATGGCTGATTCAAGAAACGCCTGATATGTTCATTCAGTTCTGTCTTTTAAGTCAGAGGAAATCTTGTGATCCTTTCATCTTTCGATGGGAAAGAAACAACTGCTAATATAAAAAACCACGAGAGGACATCTGACTGGAACTCACACTCCTCAAATAACAACATCACCGTCATAAAAAGTCAACTTAAAAGGCACATCCCACCTGTAATTTGCTGTCTTGTCTAATTTCCCCTTATTACCACCCTTGTCTGGGTGGATTCAGAGGGAGGAATTTATACATATGCACTAATTCACTTTAACATCACAACTGCACTGTAGAGATTTCACTTTTTCCATTTTTTAGATGAGAAAACTGAGGCTTTATGACATTGAATTACTTGCCTCAGGCCACACGATGCTAAGGGGTGGGAGAAATGGCATTTTAATATCAGGTTTATATGATTCCAAAATCCACATTCTTGCTACCCTGCCATCCTTCCTTCCCCAGAATTCTTCAGAGAAATAAACAGACAAGCAGAGTTGTAAGAGCAATTAGATTTACATGAACTGAAAAAAATGTGTAAAACTAAACCAGGTGAATTTTCATGATATAAACTTAATAAATTATATAAAGAAAAGCAAGGGTATGACAGTCCCCAAATTCAGGGGAGTAATAAGTTTTGGGAAAGAATTAGAGACCACCTAATTTTATTTTTATTTTTTTTAATTGTTGATAGTCCTTTATTTATTTTACGTGGTGCTGAGAATCGAACCCACTGAGCTCCAGCCCCAGCCTGAGACCTCATAATTTTAAAAAGAAAAAAAAAAAAATACAAAGAGAAACCATAAACTTTGGAGCTATAAAAATCTGTTTTAAAGGTCTAAGCCCATCACCTATAAACTCAGGCAAAATATTTTCCCATTTCAAAATTTGATTTTTCTATCAGCATACAATAGTGACACGGCCACACCAATATTTATAGCAACTCAATTCACAATAGCTAAGCTATGGAACCATCCTAGGCGCCCATCAACAGATGAATGGATAAAGAACTGTGGTATACATACACAATGGAATATTACTCAGTCATCAAGATAAATGAACCAATGGCATTTGCAAATAAATGAATGAAACTGGAGACTATGATACTAACTGAAATAAGCCAGTCCTAAAAAAAAAAAAAAAACCAAAGGTCAAATGTTGTCTCTGTATGTGATGCTAACACACAATAAGGTGGGGGTGCAGTGGGGAGAATAGAGGTTCACTGGATTAGAAAAAGGAGAATGAGGGGAAGGGCGGGAGATGGGAATAGAAAAGACAGTACAATGGATTGGACATGCCTTCTTATGTTTGTGTATGAACGCACCACCAGTGAAACTCCTCCTCCTGTACCACCACAAGAACGGGAAGTTATACTCCATATATGCATAAAAATTTTTTTAAGTTTTGATTTTCTGATCAATAAACTGGGGGTGATTTTAAAATTTTTTTTAAAAATATTTATTTTTTTAGTTTCAGGTGGACACACATCTTTATTTTATTTTTATATGGTGCTAAGGATCAAACCCAGTGCCTCGTGCATGCCAGGCAAGCACTCTACCACTTGAGCCACATCCTCAGCCCCAAACTGGGGATGATTATAGCAATACCAATGCTCGCATGTCCCAGGGTGTGCAGGACAGGATACATGAGAGTCACCCGGGGGGCCTCACACTGCAAAGGCCAGAGGTCCTCCTCCCCTTTCGGTGACACTGTCTACCCACACCTCCATCTGGACAAAGCACCAAGCGTGCCCATACCCACCTGTCTGCTCTAGAGAATCACATCAATCAATCAGTAAGAGTGGACAAGATCTGTCTGTGATCAGTGCCAGCAGCTTTGAACCTCTTGCACGAAGAGGCATCCTCAGCTAAGGAGAAAAGCCCGTGCTCTCTGTGCGAGAGGAGAATGGCTGTCCACGTTGCTCACTGAGCTCCCTCACGGTGGACGGCCTGTGCGTGTTTTCAGCCCTTGCTTCCTCTGCATAAATCACATTGGTTCTTTATCATTTCCATCAAATCAGGAGAAAGCAAACGCAGGAGCAATCCGTAACTGTCAGTCACCTGCCCTGACTTCTCTGATGCTCACAATAAGGGGACATCTTTCTCACTTGGTCCCTTCTCCCTCTAGGATGAAGCTTCCCTTTTTAGACCCAAATGGAGATGTTTCTCTTCCCCTGCGGAAGTGAGTATTTTTGGAGATGAAAAAGTTCATCAAACTGGGTGGTCCAAGGGAGCATTCCGCAGTGCTGGAAACGTTGATCTGTGCTGTCCCCTCTGAAAGTCACCAGCTGCACTGGAGATGTGACCAATGCAACTAAGGGATTGAATCATAATTTAATTTAACTGATTGTTATTTAAATTAGAAATTTTTTAAATTGATAAAAATTCTATCTATTTGTGGTGCTCAACCTGATGTTTGGATACGTGTATTGACGGTGGAATGGCTAAGTCAAGCTCATTGACACACAGAGACTTCACACTGTTTTTGTGATAGAAACACTGAAACTCCACTCCCAGCAATTCCGAAGCAGACATCATTGTCTAGCATCACCATGAGCTAAAATACAGCCCCTGAGCTTGTTCCTCCTGAGTGAAATTTTGTATCCACTGATCTCCTCATTCTCCATTCTTTCATTTTAATTAACTTAAATTTTGCAAGGGACATGTGGCTAATGGCTGCCATATCCAGGCAGCCCAGGTTTCAAATTAGAAAACGGGGTGAAGCAGATACCAGCAAACCCAGCACTGAAGCTGAGACACGCTACCTGTCAATAAGCTTTCCTTGCTTCTGGCTTGGGGACAACAGCATTGTAACAACATGTTCATTCTTTTCTATTTTATTACAAGTTAATTTTACACACTCCTTTCTTTTTTTTTTTTGTAGGAGTTTTTGTTTGTTTTAGTTTTGCCTTCTGAGGTCTAGTCTGGAAAGGCTGATCCAACCCACTAGAAACTCAACAAACACTGGCCCTGACCCTCTTCCCTCTTGAACATTCCTTGATAGTTAAGTGCATTAGTGATTTATACAGTTTATTACCATGCTTAAAAAAAAAAACGATATTCTGACATTCTGCAGTTAAATATTTGGAAAATACCAGAAAGAAGTTAAAAATGAAGAATTCTCCAAACTTTTGGAGTTCTTTTCTTTTCGTCTTCTCCTGTGTCCATGTAACCACAACAGCAAAAATGACGGCTGACAAAGGAATGATGAAGCAAGTGAATTTCTGTTTAGACTGGAGTCCTATCCCCAGGATTCCCGATAATGTACATGCAAATGTTCCAAAATCCAGAAACAATCTGAAATTTAAAATACTTCTGGCTCCAAGTACTTCGGGTAAGGGATACTCAATCTGTGCTGTCAACACTCTCGCTATTAAACATGGGGAAATCAGGTCACAGAGAGGTCAGGTCACTTGCCCCAGACATAACAGCTAGTCAGTAAGTGGCAGAGCAGGGATGTGAACCAGGAGATCTGGCTGTAAAGTGTCCTCATACAGTTAAACAAAACTGGGATCATGGACATAGTGTTAAAAAGTCTGCCACAACCTCAACTATGTTTTGAAATCCAAATTTAGCAGCTGTGTAAATTTCATCAATTACATTATAATATTCAAACTGATTCCAACTATTGGACACTTGTGTTGTTTGCATGATTTCCCTGTTATGAATAGGGGGAACCATCCTCAGACATAAGTCACTCTTGTGCACAGCTCTCATTGTTACAGAGGTTCATTTGCAAGGAGTCAAATTTATCTTCTGTAAATACTGCACCTTTTGGGGCTGGGGTTGTGGCTCAGTGGTAGTGCGCTTGCATGTGCAAGGCCCTGGGTTCAATCCTCAGCATCACATAAAAATAAATAAATAAAATAAAGGCACTGTGTCCAACTACAACCAAAAAATAAATATTTTAAGAAAAATGCTGCGCCTTTGAACCCCTACCAGCTGTTATTTTAATCATTTCTATAACGAGGGTTATGTGGCTGGTATAATTCTGCCATGTCTTCTATAAAGCTCAGGATGTTTTCTGGCTTAATTTTTGATGAGTGAGTTTTTACTTTCCCATATGGAGACTTGAACTTCACTCTGTGAAGCCACTTGCCCAAGCTGAAATACCATCCCTATCCTCCAGCCGGCCATGATTCATCAAAACAAACCCAATATCCACCCTCCGAAAGACCAGCCAAGATCGGATCTTTGTACCGGATTATCTAAACTGTTTGGTCTATCTTTGCACTTCTGTAAGGCAGAGTTCCTGCCAGGTCCTTTGCTCAAATCCTCTCCACAGCACAGGGGATATAGAATTTCTAAAGCAGGGCCCCTGGGCAGCCAGTCCTTGACTCACTATGTTCAGTGGGACGCCATGGGTGTGACATAGGTGAAATGAGTAAGAAGCAGTCATTGGCTACCAAAAGCCACATTATATACAAGAGCCGGAACCGATATCAGAGATTGGAAGGAGAGACCAAATGAAGCCCCATTTAGACCAATCAGCTGATTTTGTAGAAAATTCCTGACTTCTTGGAAAAAAACAGGAAAGGGGTGAATACGTGAGAAAAAGAGGAACTCTAACAGGAAACGCCGCTGCTCTCTGCCATTGCTGCCTGGGCAGGAGTCTGATGAAGCTCTTGCCAGCATCCTCCCTCATCCAACACCTCCTGGGCACACACTACCTACAACACATTATTAGAGTCACTGCCTGGAAGGCAGGAAACACAAGACTTGCAGATTTACAGCATCTGTGAACATACTTATAGGTTTTACAACATAAAAAAAAAAAAAACAACTGAAATGCCTTTCATTCTATTTTAAAGATGGACCACGAAACCTCAGAAAGTTCTGCAATCTGATCAGTGCCCCCCCAGAACAGCACTGGAAGAGCAGAGAGCAGAATCCAATTGTCCAGATCCCACCCTGGAAGACCTGGCCCCATGTGGTACAGCACCTGGAGTCTAGCCAGGAGGCCCAGGAGGACTGGGCGGTGAGCTTGGCGGTGTCCACGTGGTCACCACACCTACCATTCTGGGTGAGTTTTGTGGAGCAAATCAGGGTGGCGATCTGAAAACTGTCCTTTGTGCTCTCCTTGCTTGCGGTAAAGGCAGCCAGGTTTTTGGATGCTTGGAGCTCTTTCTCCTCCATCTCTACCTTGGTCCCAGGCAGGGTCAGGTAGAACTTAGCATCTTCCATTTTCTTGTTGTCCCCCTGAAAAGAGAGCAGGTTAGAAACACCAAACAGGCAATGTCTCTCACAGGCAATAGAAAAGTTGTTCAGGAGCACAGTGTACTTCCAGTGTGAGATGCAGGCTTTACCAAATCATACTCCCGATCCCCTCCACCCTGACACTGTCGAATCTTTCCACAGGGAATGAGCCCAGAAATAACTTCATCACAGAATGAAAATGGAGGAAGTTGTGAACTAGAAACCAGAATATCCTAGTCTCTGCCAGAAGTAAATACATATATTGCAGAATAAGGTTGCACTCCACTTTCTTGAACCTATAAGTGGTCACATTTTACTTTACTGGATTGATGGAGAGCTTGCTATGCCTTCCAAGCTATTTACAAATATTCATCAGATACAACTCAAAAGAGTTTTCAATGGTACAAACCCCCAAAAGTTGTTGGATACGTGAGATCTTCCAGTGTCTACTCCAAACCCTGGGATCAGTAGATGTGAGAGCTCACCAGCATTAGAGGGGAAGAATGGGAGCAAAGCTCTCGGGGAAGGAAGCAAGACCTTGACAGCAGGGAATTGTTTATGGTGACATGGAAACCACATCCCATGGTGCTCACACCAGGGCCAACAGCACACTGTCTGTGTGCGGTGCAGGATGATGTCGAGGAGGAGGGGAACTGGCCCCTTGGCTCCTTGAGCCATGGCATGATCTCTGCCTGAGGGTAAGACACTCTTCCAGGACTCAACAGCAGTGTAACTCACTGTCTCCAGAAAGGCTTGAGAAGCCACAACGTGGGACCACCAGGTCCTCCTCTGTCTTTCTAGACTTTTTAAATGGCAAACACACATGGCTCTGGAGAGGCTGCTGATGTTTGCACACATCAATATGAAAGGGGTCTAAAAGGCCAGTTTCAATCCAGCCGTCTGGAGCTTATTCTGTCAGCACCTTGTATACCACCAGGTCGTGCCTCCCGTCCTGCAGGGTGGTGCCGTCTGGGTTCATCAGTTTCACAAAGGATACCCCAAAAGCGCGCTCTGATTTATCTCTGGCTGGAAAGACAGAAATATGTGTCTGAGCAGTGGGGAAAGACACCAGCAGCTGAGAACTAGGCTGGTTAATTTCACGCTTGCTCGGGGTGTGCTGCTCAGCCACACTGTAGTCAACCCAGTCAGCAAGCAGGTAGCCCTGTGTGTCTCCCAGACCTCCAAGCTGAAGTCACCTGGCACCCCCAAGTACGGGCTCTCCCTACATTCCCTAATAAACGAGATCAGCATCCACTGAGTCACCCAAATCAGAACGTGGAAGTGGCCACCGATCCACCCCACGTCAGCACATCAAGGTCACATCCTAAATGGCTGTGGAACCTGTGTCCTCTCTTCCTAACGGGTCTGTCTCTCTAGTCCTCCTCCGCCCAACACTGTCTCCATATCCAGCCAGAGGGAGGTTCCCCTAATCCAATCCAGCCCAGCCCCTGCCTGCCCTGCTTCAGACCCTTCTCGAGCATCTCCACTTCTGCTGTTCTGAAACCGAGGCTGTGAGGGTGCATGCTGCTGCCTGAGGCCTCTGCCTGTCCACCCTCCCCAACACACAGCCTAGGTGTGTCCTGGGGCATCGTGAAGAGGCCGGGCACTGGGCCAGCCTCTGGGCTCGCTGCTAACCCGCCCTGACCTCTGTGGCTGGGACCTTGTGGCCTGCTCTCATCTGAGGCACGGCTCTAGGGTCTGCAGGGACAGGGGTGGCTGAGCAGTGACACACTGCATGACTATACCACCCCTCTACCGGCTCTCCTGCTGATGGTTTTCGGGCCATTCCAATGCTGGGTGTCATGGATAAAGCTATGATGAGCACACCCCAAAATAAAACCCCCAACCCCCACCAGAGGCCACCTCTCAGGGCTCCTCCACAACCTGGAATAAAGTAGTTCTCACGTTCGGGATCTGGCTCTGTGCGTCTGGAGTGGCTGCCTTGGCCCTAGAGCGGCTCTATCCCATCCTAGCCAGGACCTGGCCTTGCTGCACCTTATGCCCTGTGGTATTAATGTGCATAAAAGCAGGAAGTGTCATCAGATGACCGTGGGCACTAAGCAAGGCAGTGTGCAAACAGGGCTTCGCATATGCCTGCTACACAGAGACCTCGTTGGTGGTGAGCTTGGAGATTCCCCACTGAGAACGTCTCAGAGGGAAACATAACGCGCAGCATCTCCGACACCTGCCTCACAGTGGAACCCTTTTGCCATGTGGCATCTCTTAGCATCTTCCATGACACATGCACGGGAGGGATTCTGAGAGATGGTGATAATAAAGATTTTTGGAAGCCCGGCACAATTCCTTGGTCTGACTTCCTTTGCACCAATGAATTCTGAAATAAAGTTGCCCAAGATCTAGTTTCTAAGTAGCTTGTTCTCCTGATCCACAAAAGCACTGTGAAGGAAGAGTCCATTTTTTTTCCTTTTTTAAATGGAAATATGTCTCAGCCCTCCTAATACTTACATTCCTGAGATGACCTGTGTCGGAAGGTGAATCTTATGTGACAGCGCGTCACCTCCTCTATGGCGATGAACACCTGCAAAACGGCAAAGAGTTTACAGTTTACAGACACCTAGCTCTTGGCCTCCGAGGCTCATTTTATAGAAGGAGACTCCATTTTCAAAAAATATTTATTTTTTTAGTTATAGGTGGACACAAGATCTTTATTTTATTTTTTATGTGGTGCTGAGGATCGAACCCAGTGCCTCACACACGGTAGGTGAGCGGTCTCCCTCTGAGCCACAAACCCAGCCCAGAAGGAGGCTCCATTTTAATGAACTTATTTTTATTTGACATAATGAGCATATTTGTGGGGTACAGCATGATGTTTTGATTCACACAAGCCTCATGGAATGATCAAATCAGGGTACCTAGCACAGCCACCATCTTCAACTTGCATCCTTTCTTCATATGAGTACATTCTATATCCTCACTCCCAGCTATTTTGAGATATAACGAGAATGAGACTCTCGATTTTAGGATCTTACCACAGCAGGCATGGTTAGAGTGAGACTTGCTATAAGGTTTTATTCACAGGAGATCGAACTATTTTCAAACCACGAGAATCTCAGGAGAAGTTCATCTTGCTGTTGATCATAGATTAAGAGCATGGAGCTATGCGGGATTTTTCGCATTTACTCCAATATGAAACATCAAATACTCCCAAGTGGTATTTTGAGGTCTAGATAGGACCTTTCTGACTGCAAGGAGTCCATGAGATGATAATAATCAGGGGCCATAACAGAAGGAAAAGATAAAGCATGGGGGCAAGGAAGGTTTCTGCTCTTTATACACATAGGAGGCAGGAGAAAAGCCATGTGGAAAGGGCAGGAATATGTGGTGAATAGTTCAATATATTCTGGCATGACCATATAATGGAGCATTATATAAACATCCAAAAATTGTCTCTGGAGAACTCAGAATACCTGAGATAACTACCTTTAAAAAGCACAACCTAGCCGGGCATGGTGACACACACCAGTAATCCCAGCAGCTTGGGAGGCTGAGTCAGGGGGATCACAAGTTCAAAGCCAGCCTCAGCAACTTAGCAAAGCCCTAAGCAACACAACAAGACCCTGTCTCTAAATAAAATACAAAAAAAGGGGCTGGGGTGTGGCTCAGTGGTTAAGTGCTCCTGGGTTCAATTCCTGGTACAAAAAAAAAAAAAAAGCACAACATAAAACTTTTAGGAGCAATGTCATTCCAACACGAACTAGATAGATAAGAGTTGGCACTAGTTGCTTCTCTCTTGAGAAATGAGTGCAATCTCTCTGGGTTTTGTGCACTTTCTTTTTAGTTTTCCATGAAGAGCTCATATGGCCCCGACAATCAGAAAGCACCCACAACGTCTCGAGTTAAGAAGAGGCAGCTCCAGGGCTAGCTCGGACAGAAGGAGCTCTAGGACCCTGGGTGTCACTTAATTTCTTGGAGTCTCAGTCTCCTCATCAGGAAGAGGGCTTTACAAAGTCTGCTTGCTTAGTTGCCGAAGCCTCTGTGGGACCCAAAGGAGATGCCTGATTTGAAAACCATGTTGGAATTTGTAAGACCCATATTTAAACTGAAAAGAGGCCCGGCAAGCTTGGGTAGGAGCCAAGAAGAAAAACATGTTAGGAAATTGCTTGCAGAGTGTGAAAATTTCCGCTTAGTTTTGGACCATCTTGGCAAGCTGACTGCATCGTGCCAACCACGAGTTTCTCTATTCAAATTTCTCTACATTTATGAATGAGACTGTTATTTAAGAGGGCTGAATTTTTATTAAAGATAGAGGCTCTGAATCAGAATTAGGACTACCAATTCATTTCTTATTGAACACCACAGGCAACTTATCTAAGACTTCAGGAAAGGTCAGAAATGATTCGGAGGTTAAAGAGCAGACAGGAATCTAAGGGAGGTTTAACAGATAAAAAGTCTTGCAAGTGGCAAATGCTCACCTTGACAGTCTCATACCAACAGGGCTGCTTGACCTGGTAATAGACCACTGATTTGTATTCTGAAATGCCTTCATAGCCAGCACCCGGATGAATGGCTTTCTTTGGATGGAAAGGAAAAATTAGGAGAGGATACTATGGTCTAGGAAAGAGCTTTCCACACACGAGGCAGAGCCCCCATGCCTAGCATATGCCCTTAACTGGCATCTGTAAGCTCATCTGGGGGATGATAAACAGAGCCAGACTGAATTTCTACTACTCCATTGAAGGTCTAAGCATATAAACCTGGAAGTAGCTAAGGACCAAACACTGTGTCCTCCGTCCTGAGATTTCTGTTCTCTCTTCCATCCTGAGGCACACATTCTCCTCTTTCTCTCCTCTCTCGGGGAACAGAGGCCTGGTGACAGGGACTAGGATGCAGGTCTCATGTGTGAACGCTCTGCCGTCTGAGAATGGTCTCTCTCTGGGGTCTGCATTCTGCTTTAGGGACTTGGGGTAATGGTTCAGCATGATCGCTCAAATCCAGGGCTGTGTCTCTTCCTAGTAATGAACCACCTTGTTCTGGAGAACCTGCCTCAGTGGGTACTTCCACTCTGGTCAGCAAAGCTATGAGATGACCAACGAGGGAAGGTGTGTACTTGGAATGAACTCACGCGGCACAAGGGCTCAATCAATAATAGGAAAAAAAAAAAAAAAAACCCTCCCACCCCATGGCCCAACGCATTCTGCCTGTCCCTCGGACACAGAGTGACTTGGCTTGGTGAACCATTTGGACATCTGTTTCCTTCCTAAAACCCTCAGTGGCTCGAGCTATTTCTTTGCATAGGAGAAAAATCAAATTAAGAGTCTAAGCAGGTTCACTAGTAAAACTGGTCAATGATAATCAGATTTTATTTCTTTCCCTTAGGAAAAATGCAACCCACCCTGATGTGGAGAATAACTACAATGAGGCGGGCAAGTCCACCGCCACTGTACAGCGGGGTGTGAAGCGGCAGGACTCCGTGACACCTACCTCCAACAGGTTGCCCTCTTCATCAAACACAGACATGGTCACCTCCACGTTCTTGGGCGTCTTCTTTTTCCCTTTGTCAAACTCCCCGTGAATCAGGGTGACATAGATGTCATTCCGAACATCTCCTGCAACGGGACAACCCACCCTGTGAGTGTTGCTGACAGAAGTCATTTCAAAGGTTCGGGGGATGGAATAAGATATAAAAGAGAAAGAAAACGTGAAATGCTCGGATTACAACAAACGGTGCTCTCAGCAGACTTCCACATGTGTTTCTCAGCTTACTACTCTCTATACCAACATGTCTTTCCAATAGGGATTCCTCAATCCACTTGGTGATAATTGTTGACTAACAACGAGCACATGTATATTTTGTTAGGATACAGTGACAAGATGTTTTTTTCACATTGTTATTTGGAGAGTGTGATATTTTAACGTAAATAATGACAAATTTAAAATTAATTAATTAATACAGGTGTGGCTCCCACAGACACCTGGAATACATGAAAGGCATTTCAAATTCCTGGATGAGAGGACTCAGGATTTTAAAAATATGACCCCCAAATTTGCATGACATCAAACTGCCCCCAATGTAAAAAAAAAACTAAAACCTGATAGCAGGACAAGAAAAATTGGGCTGCATATTTGGAACAGGTGTCATTTTTTAATCAGTTTTCCCTTTTGGGGTTAAAAAGATGATACTGCCCACAGTGGCTGAGAAGAAGGAAGAAAAGGGGGCTGCTAGAACATTCCAATCTGACATCTTAATGGACATACTCTGCCAACAGAGAACCTGACAGTGTGTGCCAAGAGCCTTAATTGACACAGCAACTCCATTGGTCATATGTCAAACACGGTCAGGAGCCGAACATCATTTCCACTAACAGTGAAGCACAAATAGAACAGTGGTCCCACGAGATCACGTTGTCTAGTGACGTCACAGTCTTTTAGGTGGTGTAGATGCACTTTATGATGTCCGCACAAAGTGAAATTACCCAATGATGCATCTCAGGTCTCCCAAAGGTAAAATAATGCATGGTTCTGTTAAAAATGTGGGCAATGACCTTGTCTGGACGCTGTGGGGATCTTTCCTTCAAGCCGATATCATGGGCTGAGAGAGGAGCTGGTGGAAAGGGCAGAGGTGGGAGAGGTACGGGGTGAGACGAGGCTTCAGAGACTGACAAAAGTCAAATCCCTTCCCCGCACAGGCCGGCAGGACAAATTAAGAATCTGTATCTTTATCCTGCACATAAATGGAAGTCTATCAATGCTATCAGCAAGGAGGAGTGAGAGGAAGTCAGGTGAGCTCAGGTGAACAGTCATCCATGCCACAGGTTGGGGAGGGGGAGAGTCAGCAGGAAGAGCCGCTCAGGGAAGTTACACAGCTGTCCAGGGCAGAAACCCCGGGGCCAGCTTGGTGGAGGTGACGGAGATGAACGAAGGAATGGATTAGAGGTCTTTCAAGAAAAAAATGGCAGGTCTTCCTCACGAACTCTGTGAGTTGCAAAGGGGAATTTCAGCTTTTCAACCGTGCGGCTGCGTGGATGAGACCCCATCCTCCAGAAAACGCAGCAAAGGAGCACCAGCCCTGGACTGCCAGAACTCAAGGTGCCCGTGTAGATGCTGAGGACGAATGTCTAGGCTCCTGTCACCACAGAAAAGGGCAGAGCCAGAACATAGTAGGGGCTTAAGGAAATGGGGCAGAGCCAGGAGCCGGCACCGGGGAACATGCCAACGTGTCCAGTTAGCCTCCTGCAGGGGGAGCCCTGGGCTGTGTCCACTCCTGACTGAAGTCTAGCTAGGGAAGCATCTGCCAGGGTCTGTGCAGAACAGAGGGAGAGAGCTTTGAGTTCCAGTAAAAGCGTTTTCTTGGTCTTGCTTATGGTGTAGCTTTCCAGGGTGCTGGAGCTCTGTACCGCCACCATCCTGGGGCCACTGCAGGCGAGTGGACCCCAGTGGCCTCACATGTCCTGTTGGAACAAGTTCTCACAGGGAAGAGGACATGGATGGTCGAGCCCAGTGCTTACCGGGAAGGATTATCTCAGGAAAGCCCATTTTTCTGGCTATTGCTGTTGATCTATCCACCAAGTGTGAAAAATTCTTCTGAACCTGCGAAAGGTCACCTGGCAATAGCTTCAAGGACACCCAAAGTCCTTTAAGAAAAGAAAAGATAAACTTTCAGTTTTCTGGATGACCTATATCACACACACACACACACACACACATATACACACACACACACACACACACAGAAATGTTGAGAAAAACAAGAGTTGCATAATAATAACAACAGAGACCTTATTGTAAAGATGCAAATTCTCCCCCAGTTAATTTACAATTTTAATGACACTCCCATCAAAATCACAATAGGATTTCTTTGAGAATTGGATAGTGATAGGAACAGATCCTTATGTGGGTGGGAGAAAAGAAATAAAGACAGTCCAAGCTGATACCAAAATATGTTGTAAAGCTATAATGCTATATGAAGCCAGCGGTATGTATTGCTAGAAACAGATTAAGTACTGTAGTAAATGGCAGTTTAATGCATGACAAAAGGCCTCTCCACTCTCCAGATAAGGGGGGGGGGGGACACACAGGGACAGACACACACCAATTCCATAAATATGCTGGGATCAATTTCTTGCTACTTATAGCATAATCAATTTAACTTCTGGCATCATACATTCATACAAAACAAGTTCCTTAGATGACAAAGAAGCAAATAGGAAAAAAGTCAAGAAATTAAAAGAGTAAATGGGTAGTTACGCCATCTCTGAGAATGAACTCTGCTAAAAAGAGACACAAATTACAAAAGCAAAAGAGTTATCCACATACAAACTAAAAGCTTTCATAAGCATAAAACTCTAAAAAATATACTACAAAATGATAAGATACTTGTAAGATATTATGAATTCATTGTCATTATAAGAAAGTAAAGATCCTCACAAGTGCTGGGCGTGGTGGCACACACCTGTAATCCCAGTGACTCGGGAGGTTGAGGCAGGAGGATTGCAAGTTCAAAGCCAGCCTCAACAATTTAGCAAGGCCTAAGCAACTTAGTGACACCCTGCTTCAAAATAAAAAATAAAGAGGGCTGGGGATGTGGCTCAGTGGTTAAGCGTCTTTGGGTTCAATCCCCTTCGCAGGAAAAAAAAAAATGTCCTCTACACAAGTAAACAGGAAATGAACAGACAATTCAGAGAGAAGAATGAGAAGTTTATAAATATTTAGCAAATTAGAAGTTGCAAAAGTGTGTCTTAAATAAGACAAAGCTTATTACTTTCATTATATAAGGATCTCATAAAATTGAGATGGGAAACTTCAGAAAACTCATAAATATGGATGAAGGGTAGAGATTCGCCCTTGAGCACCAACTAAAGAGCAAGGCAGCTGGGAGCAGTGGCCAGGTGGGTGATTCCAGCTACTCAGGGGGGCTGAGACAGGTAACCTAGAGAGAGCCTCTTCTCAAAAGCAAATAAATAAATAAGTAAACAGGCCACAGAACAAGGGGAGGCTACTTTTCACCTTTCAAGTAGGTTCCGATTTTTAGGTCTCAATTTTTGGGACAGTGCAGCCAAGTGCAAGGCAGGGGGCCCCCTCCAGCCTGGAGAGCAGGACCCCTGGGGGAAACCTCTGGCTGGCCATCTGGCCACATTATGTCTCTGGTTAAGTGTGTCTCCACCATTGGACCCTAAATCCTACTTTGGGGAATTTTCTTGGGGAGGCAGTCCTAAATATATGAAAAGCTTCAGTCTAAAGATCATCATAGCAGAAGAATTTAAATTTACTATGGTAAATTAGAAAGCACTTAGGTGTTTACCTAGGGGATTTAATTTCCTTAAATTTATTAAATCAAAACAACAGGAGGCCATCCTTCTGGGCTGAGCTCCCACACAGGGCCCCAACATACCATGCTAAAAACCAAATGGCATCACCCATGTTAAAGTACACGTCCTCAAAATGAAACTCATGTGCTCTCTGACCATCCGGGAAATCGGGAGTAGAGATAACAGCAAATCTCCCAAACAGGCCAGTTTCAGACAGCATGATAATGAAGCTCCCAGTGTTTTAATCTTTACACAAAAAGTAACCAGAAGTAACCTGAGGAGAGCAAGTCATTTATTTTCCTATCTCCACTTGACAAGGAAGTAAGTTTGAAATGACCAATTGCTCTTTGTTTTTGTGTTTTCTTAAGCCTTTCTCTGTCTGTAATGCCAATTTCTCCTGTTCAAATCATCAGAACACTTATGGAATGAAGTGTTGCACAATTCCAGAAGAGAAAATGAAGCCAATTAAGATCTTTAAATTTGCTGTAACTTTTTTTTTTTTAAGCACTGGAATATTATGCAGCTGCAAACATATTTGTGCAGAACCTGAAAACATTTGAAAAGTGCTTGTTCTATTCTTCATCAGCAAAAAAGGAAATGGTACTTCTAGTTTTCAAAGAAAAAGAAAATCATATATGCACAGCAATGTATTTAATGTAAGAATTCTTAGATTAAGCCCTCCAAAATACCACATACATTTAGCTATTTGTTTTCAGATTTTTTATTTATAGTTTACCTATCTTTCCCACTCAGGATATTGTGAATACATAAGAAACTAAATATATCTGCTTCTATTTCAGAAGACAATTAATTATAGGGTGATTAAAAAAAAAGTGACTCAATCACTTTTTTTTTACCCAATTAGGGTCACCATCTTGGAATCTTAACTTTAAAACTTTAGGTATTTTTCCTTATATGAGTTTAAAATGAGTTTCCATAAGCAGAACTTCTCTAACTTATTAAAGTTCTTTCAACAGAATAAGACATTGGAGGCACTAAAAGTACCCAAGAAAGCTTCATGAGATATTTGATGGTTATATGTAAAACTATATATTATTATGTTGCATTAATACATATTGATTTGTACTTCTCCTTTCAGTTTTAGAAGATGGTATGGAATAAACTTATCCAGGGGTAAAACCTAGTTATTTCTGATTCTCTTTTTCTTGGTGCACTCACAGAGCATCAACACTGGGAATGTAGGGTGGAAGAAAAGTCTCATGGGATAAAAATGTGTTTCGCAGGATTTCCAAATTCAGCTGTGATCTCACTCACACTGGTGTGCTCTCCGGTATTAAATGCCTGAGGTGGGTGGTCCCCAGCAGAGGCTGTTTTGTATCAGAGATAGTGAAAGGGCAGGAGTCCAAGGCCCAGCTCTAAAAGCCTCTCCCACCCTGGCCAAAGTCCCCACTCAGCCCAGAACAGGGTGCTGTACCTTGTCCTTTGTGATTCACTTCCTTCGCTGCTATCACTTTATTCAGGACTGAAGTGAGTGGCTCATTCTCTCCAGTCACATGCGATGTCATCAAGGGTGACATTATGAGCTGCCTCTGCCGAATATAGGTCTCCATTGCAATTCTGGGAAAGACAGACGCGGTGAGGAGGAAAAGGGGAAGAACAGAGGGTCCCCTCGCACAACCTCAGATCACGAGATCACGGTGGGTCTCAGGGAAACATAAACCCCAAACCCAACCAGAGGACTCGATGTTAAACACAAATCACAGGGAGCCACTCTTGTGGAGTAAGCTCCTGTACTGGACCCCAGATCTGGCTGGAAATCAAAACAGCATCACTCATGGTAAAGTTCCAAGCTGAAAGTTCATGGAGTTGAAACTAAGCTGCACGTTTGACCTTCCAGAAATCTGGAGGGGCCTGGGGTGGGGTGGGGGTGGGGTGAAGGAGAGCGAGAAAGAGAAAACAGCTAAGTTTCCCAAACAGGCCCGTTTCATTCGGCAACATGAAGCACTGTCTGCCTTAATCTTTTCCACCATAAAGGTCCTAAGGTACACCTTTCGAGATACTACTAAAGTAACCATGTTAAACTCGTCAATCGTTTTTTCCTACTGTCCTGTCCTGCTGCCCCTGACTTGTAAGGGAAGTAACTTTGAAATGACCAATCCTCTTACTTTTTTTTTTTTTTTTGTTTCTGCTTTGTTCAGCTCTTTTCTGTCTATATGATCAACTCCTGGGCTCAGCTCATCCAGACAGTTATTCCGTTTTGTGGAATGAGGTGCTGCCTAATCCCAGAACAGAAAATAAAGCCAAGCCGGTTAAGATAATTGAAATAAGGCTGGGGACATAGCTCAGTGATAAAGCACTTGCCTAGCATGCATGAGGCCCTGGGCTCAATCCTTAGTGCTAAAATGAAATAAAATAGATATTAAAAGAAGTTATTATAATTCTGTCCTTGACATTTTTTAAGAAAAATAATGTTTATTTGTCTTAAACATTAAATTCATCTTGGAAATGACATGAGGCAAACCCAAGAAAAAAACAAAGCTGTTAAACAAAAATGTTGTTAACTAAGATCAGAGGCAATGCTCAGAGGTCTTCCTGAGGTGGCTGCTAGGATGGAATTGCAGATCTCACACTGGTGAGAGGGGCAGGGGACCTGGCTTCTGTCCTGCTTCTACCTGACAGTGCTCAGCTTCCTCCTCTGTGAGGAAAGGGGCTTGGTTCCGGTGCCTTCTGAGGCCCCGCCTACCCCACCACCCAGTGTACAGGAGAGGTCCCTGTGTATGGCACCTGTGTTTGTCATCCCACATGATGACAAACCACACTAAGGACTGCAATGGGAGGGGCACTGCAAACAAACCCCATCGCATGATCTCATCAGGCTGAGGATCCTAGAGGGAGGTCAAGGGACCCAACAGCCCATTCTCTGGAAGGCGCTATCAGTGCCTGCTTATCAGCCTGGCACTGCTCAGTAGCCTCTCCTCTCCTCTGCCTCCAGGCCAGCTGTCCTTGCAGAGAGCCCTGTACCCTGCTAATAAAGCAAACATGTGACTGGAACCTGGGACTGCCGAATCCAAGCTGTTTTCTTCAACTCTCCCTAGAGCTACCAGAACCTTCCAGGCTCAAACACCACAGCAGGTTACAAAAGCTCTTGCCATAAATCGCAGGTGTTAAATGCCAGAGGCCACAACTGCAAATGTGAACACTTCACAGTGACTGTGAGCAGTAATCAAATTAGGGCTGGTTCCTTGGGGACTCAGAACAGGCATTATTCTCAATGGGGACAACATCAGGGCTCACCACTGGTACACCGCCGCTGGCTCAGAACCCAGCAGGGAGGCACGTGACCAAAGGAGGAACCCACCACAGAAATGAACATAAATATTCAGACATCTTCATACCCATGAATGCTGCTCCTAACACGTAGGTTCATATTTATAACAATAGTAAATATACACACAATGCACATGTAAGATTATATAAGTATGTACAGCAAAGGCAGCATTCACGGACAGCAAAGACATACTCATATGTGTAATGCACCTGCAACATTTTATATATTTATATTCATCCAAGCCATTTGGTTAACATTAAATATATTCATAAGTATAACAAAGTAATACATGAACACTGTATTAAACAATATAATTATTTAACATACTTATTTAAATGTATTTATATATAATACATACATATTTATGTTTGAGTGTCATGTACCACATTACGACATTTTGGTTCATGAGAGACTGCATATGTGTGCATATGTGACAGCGGCCCATAAGAATATATCAGCTGGTGACGTTGGGGTCATCTGAGTTTGTGTGAGCATGCTCTCTAATGTGGGTGTAATGATGAAACTGCCTGACGGCACGCACCTCAGAACACACCCTTTCCAAGAGGCAAGCAACTCATGCCTCTGCATGTGTTTCAGGAAGAGCACTCACGGATGTAAGTTCTAACTAATATCAGCACTATCTTACATATAATCTGTAACTCAGCCTATCCATGGAAGGTCTGTGTCCCTGCAGGGTACCAGGTTAGTGGGTATTTTAAAAATAATTTACAGCAGCCTCTGGATGAAAGAGGAGAGTACTGTTTACTGGGGGCAATCTGCATCAAGACATTTAGAACAGCCCCAAAGAACTGAACTTGAAATGGAAAGATTAGGATCTTTATATTTTAAATAATAAACTCACATTTAACATATATTTATTGTGAAAAAAACTAGGAAGCAAACAAAAAGGATGAAATCATAAATAGTTAAACCAAGGTAAATAACCATTATTAATTATGAAAGATATTCTTTGCAATATCTAAATTTTGAGGCTTTTAACAATTTGCATTTAAAAAGTCCAGCATAGTGGCGCACGCCTGTAATCTCAGCAGCTTGGGAGGCTAAGGCAGGAGGATTTTGAGTTCAAAGCCAGACTCAGCAATTTAGCAAGGCGCTAAGCAACTCAATGAGACCCTGTCTCTAAATAAAATACAAAATAGGGCCGGGGATGTGGCTCAGTGCTGAGTGCCATTGAGTTCAATCCCCAGTACGCCCCCCACCCACCCAAAATAAAGGAAAAACAACAATTCACATGCCTGTAAGCAATATGTGTTTCCTTGTGCCCAACCAAATACTGGGTTCTTAACAACACTGAATATTTTTTTAAATATGTTCAAACCCAACACTAAACTTTGTTTCCTTTGCACTTCATGGATCCTCAGTGAATTTTCTTGAATTTGTCTGTTTCCTTTATATGTGCTTACTAACTTTTATTATTTTTTTATTTTTAAGTCTTTTTAAAAAATTTTTATTTAGTTGTTGATGGACCTTCATTTTATTCATATGCGGTGCTGAGAATTGAACCCAGTGCCTCACTCATGCTAGGCAAGTGCTCTACCACTGAGCCACAACCCCAGCCCTCTCTATATATTATGGATACCCTCTTATCTCTCTAATACATATCGTAAACATTTTCTTTTCTTGTGTATAAGTTGTTTCAACTTGGAAGCTGGATAAACCCATCAATTTTCTTTTTTCAGTCACACTTTTGGTGTGTGACTTAAAATGACCTTTCTATATCAATGTTACATAAGACTTCTTCCTATAGTATTGAAGGATTTAGTTCTTACAAATGATAGGTTTAATTATCTGTAATTTATATTGAAATAGGGTGTATGACTGGGCTCTAATTTAATGTTTCTTAAGTGATCAGCTAATTTTCTCCAAAATGTTTCTTTAACATAATTTATCTTTCTCCCCTCATTGGCAATATGATAGGTAAATCATGAGTTATTATCACAAATGTCCTTGAACTGCTTTCTGGAATTCTGTGGGGCAGATGCAAGTGACTGGCTATGGGAGGAGTCATTTCCAGAAACTTCCTCGGTTCCCCTAAGCCACCACCATCTACACTGGGTGGGGGTGGTGAGAGGAGCCTGACTGTCAGACCAGTCCCAATGCTCAGGCCACACTTGCCATTTCAGCAGCAGGACTCAGATGTGCTCACTAACAGCTCCCCAGTGGCCGGCCAGCTCCCTTGGCCCACAGCAGGGGCCTTAATAAAGCTCTGGGGGAATCCTTTCCCGAGGTCCCAGGCTGGCTTTCCCGTGTACAGTAACACTAACTAGGGGCTCGTCAGCCTTCACTCTCTTACCTCCTAAACCCTTCCTACTCAAAGCGTGGTCCCTGGACCAGTGCCGTGGCCATCCCTGGAAGCTTGTCAGATGCAGACCTCAGACCTCCTGGATCAAATTTTGCCTTGTAACAAGAGTCCCAGGGATTCCTATGCATGAGACAGTTTGAGAAGCTCCCTCTCTCCAATGTGACTCCACTGCTGCACAGGGTACGGACACGTGTTAGCATTTCTGACACTTGAATGGCACCTTCTCTGGCTTCGAGTACAGATGTACACTTTACTCTTGATTTCATATTCCTTTGGTTATGTGAGGGCAATCAGGAAATGTTCCATTTACTCTCCTAGAGTCCAATGTGAAGAACTCCCAATAAAGCCTTCTGTGGATCTCCTAGCTGACAACCTTCCAGCTGCAGCGGTCTCCCTCCCTAAATGACAAAAGGCTACCTGTCACTGGTTCTGTGTTCACACCGCATTGGAACAGCTGATCCAGGTCTCAAGTCACCCAGGATATGCCAAAGTACTTACTGCTGAAACGGAATGAAGTGCTGCTTCTCCTCGTCGTCCACTTTCCCGTGTATGATGTCAGTAATATCCATCACTAGGAAGGAGAGGAACTTAATTAGAGAAATAATCACTCCCTGCCTCGCTAAGTTGCCATGGAAAGGGGCAGTATCAGCCAACACAGAACACGGGAAGAAAGATGTCAAGCGGATGCTCCTTTTCCTTCTGAGCCAGTGATACCTTCCTAGGGTGCCCAGCCCAGCAGAGAAGCAAGGCCTGAGGCTGCTCAGGAAGAGGTCTTGATTCTCTCAGATCCACCCTATACACCAGCCCTTTTAAAATCTCCACAACATGGATGACCTGAGGTGTGAATTTTTAGCAAGCCTGCATTCAAAGTCACGGGGAATACATATTTTTTTGGTCAGGACTGTCACAAAAATGAAAAGACCAGAGAGAAACTCAAGACTTAAAGGGGTCAAGAATATGTCTCTTTGACAGATTCTCATCCAGTTTCCTTCAGAAATCTGGGCAGGAGCATCACAACAGACACAACAGTGACCTGTTCCTTCCCCAAAGAAGAGCCCTTAGCTCTGTTCTGGGCTGGCTGCCAGGTTATCTCGCTTCTACAGATATCAGCTCTACTTTGAGAATTGAGGAATTCTAGCCAGGCATGGGGGCACACACCTGTAATCCCAGTCACTCACTCGGGAGGCTGAAGCAAAAGGATCCCAAGTCCAGCTTCAACAACTTAGTAAGACCCCTATCTCAAAATAAAAATAAAAGGGCTGGGGATGTACCTCAGTGGTAGAGCATCCCTGGGTTCAATCCCCAGTGCAAAAAAATAAAAAGTAAATTAAAAAAAAAAAAAAAAAAAAGAGAAATGAGGAAACTAAGGGCCAGAAAAGTTAGTGATTTTCCCTTGAGTTACTCAGTTTTAAGTAGTAAAGTCAAGCTGTGAACCCAACAGGGACTGCAGGGCCAAGTCATGTAACCATTTAGCCCAGCTGCCTCAATTATTAATAAGTAATCAATAAGTGGGCTGATGTGAAGCTGCTGATAGACAGGGCCCTTGGCAAGAGGTGACGCCTTGGTCAATAGTTAGGTTGGCCATAAACTCTGCATTCACAATCTACTCCCCAGATAACCTGTTTGGAGATAAAAGGAAGTACTAGGGTCTGAGATAATTCTACAAAGAACTAAGGAGCAGGAAGAAATGCTTTCTGTAGAGCAACTCAGACAACACAGTATAGAAGCCTTGGGAAACTTCAGCTAGGCCAGTGTAGGAAGCAGGGGTCACATTCAACCTGTTGACAGCTCTTAACGAAACCTTGTAAAAATTGCACACACACAAAAAAATTACTAGGGTGCGGGTAGAGTGCAGTGGTAGAACACTAGCAAACATGAGGCCCTGGGTTCAGGTCCCAGCACCATAAAAAAGACTCCCTCGAATGCATCCACCTCATGTAAAGAAAGAAAATCAATACATAGGCATGGGCAGGAAGGATTCCAATAGACGGATCTGATTCTGCTGTATGAGACACTGAGCTGGGCACAGAGCGGGAAACACAGGATGGGGCGGGGGGTAGGTGGCTGGGCTGAGAACCCAGAATCCCACAATAGAGACCTGGCAGTCCCAGGTGCCAACGGCTGTGTGACATTGACTGTGACATCATCCATCCTTCCCCATCTGGACTGGCTTTCAGGCCAGCCTGTCTGTTTTCCACCTTTCCTCATCTTTTTCAGTTTTTAAAATTGTGGTAAAATCGGGGATGGGGTTGTGGCTCAGTGGCAGAGCACTTGCCTAGCATGTGTGAGGCACTGGGTTCGATTCTCAGCCCCCCATATAAATAAACAAAGAAAATAAAGGTCCATCAACATCTAAATTTTTTTTTTAAATTGTGGCAAAATACACGTAAAATAAAATTTACTACCATAACCATTTTTACACATCCACGTAGGGGCGGCAACATCACCACCAGCCATCCAGAACTTCTCCATCTTTCAAAACGGAAACTGTAGCCATTCAACAGCTCTCTCCTTCCCCTCCCTTCTTTCTACTATCCCTCTGAATCCGATTCCTAGGCACCTCAAGTAAATGGAATCACACAGTATTTTCCCCTGTGTGTCTGGCTCATGTCCCCCGGCACACTGTTCTCAAGGTTCATGCCTGCTGCAGAATGGGTCGGATCTGCCTTCCTTCATGAGGCTGAGGGAGATTCCCTCGGATGCATCCACCCCCATCCACCCCCATTTCCCTTGCCCATCGATCCCTGGATGGACACTTGGGTTGCTCCACTTTTTGGAGACTGTGAACGGTGCTCCTATGAATGTGAGTGTACTGGGCGCTCTGGGGCTTTCAGTTCTCTGGGGCTCGTGCCCTGACATAGAGCTGCTGTGTCCTGTACCAGTTCCACCCCTAACTTTTTGCAGATCTGCCACACTGCAGCCCACAGTCGCTGGGCCATTTCACACGGGTCTCTGGGCCTTTCTTGTACCTGCTACTCCAAAAGGCCTCCGGAGTCCACAGGTGTGCCTCTTGCCTTCCTTCAGCTCCATGTGGCCCACCCGGACTATCTGGCACACCAGGCTGATGCGAGGCCGGATGAGGTCCGTGCTGCTGAGGTCCTGGCCACAGACAAAGAACACAGAGGGAGGGGGTCAGACTGGTCACTGCCCCCTTCGAGAGAATTCTCTTTCCACTCTACAATGGAGACTGTGCAGAGCATATTTCTCAATGCTGAAATACCAGAATGACTCCTTCCTGCCCCATGATCATCGAGGATGTAGCTCAGTGGTCAAGCACTTGCCTAGCACGCATGAGGCCCTGGACTCAATCCTTAGTACCACAAAAGTAAATAAATGAAAGAAAGAAAAACAGGAAGAAAATTTCTAAAAGAGATAACAGTCAATTTAAAATCCCTAGTTTAGTGAATCAAGCAGGGTATTTAGAAATGAGGACACTTGTTGCTATGGGTATATATCCTTTTAGCGCCTGTCTCCGTACAGGATACATTGCAGTGTTAAATGAAATAAAAACTCTTATGACATCGACATTTATTGGGTTCCCACACAAGTTTGTGACATTTCATCCTGTCTTCAAAACAGTCCTGGCAGGCAAGTTCCGCACAGGCCCCGAGGTGTGGCTGGGGTGGGGTGGGGGGCTCTGCTCCATGTGGTGAGGCTCTCCCATTCACATTCACAAGGACAGGCAAGTAAACCCAGAGTGTGCTCACAGACCTTATTCACTTCACATCAGAAATAATTTAACTACACCTCAAAGTCTTTCTACGAAACAGCAGCACGACTCCTCTTTACTGAACCAAGAACTACTTTTCCAAATCCATCCCCTGCGACCCAGTTATCTTGGGTCACTAAGTTAGGAGTCTACACCACTAACATCCGTCCTGAATTCCTACTCCAGGATTTGTGAGTTCTATTAACTAAGATTCAGACTCCAGGAGACCGGTTACATAAACCATGGCACATATATATGTATATTATTAAATATGCAATCATTCATAAATGAAGTTTTTTTGCAAACTAACAACAGGAGATGATCTCCATCTTCTCTTTAATAGAAAAGTCAGGACATGCAATGTACACACTAGGTGATCCTAACTACAGGAGTCTCAGGGGAGGGGGGTAAAGGAGGGTGGACTACAGCTCTTCTATGATGGCACCAAAGATTCAGTAATTCTTTTTCAAACTTAAAAAAAAAAAATGTGCATCTAGGCTGATAAATGCTTTTTGATTGTAGGAAAAAACTCCCACATTTCTCTGAACCAAGGAAATACTAGGGAGGTTTGGGGAAGAGTTCCCGGATCTTTGCTGCCTGCTTTGCTGGGTGGTGAAGATCCAGAGGGGTCAGCCAGGGATGGTAACCAGCCCCTGTCTGTGCTAGAGAGAAGACTTAACAGGAAGCACAACAGTGGCCTGTACAGGGACCACAGATCCTTCCTGTCCTCTCTTTAGTGCTGTAACTGGGGCTCTCTTGCCCTACGAGCAGTGAGAGAATGAGGAGATAAAACGTGGGTTTGGTGGAAGAGGACTGAAGGGAGCACCTGACAGTCCCTGCCCTCCAAGGTCTCTCAGAGCACTCGACGCTGGCCGCACAGCATACTTTAAACACCAAGATCATAAACAGCAAAAGAAGCCCAGAAAGTTCCTAACTTAAGGGGAAGCGAGTCACCATGTCCCCAAATGTAGCCCATCGCTTTTCTTTGCCCTGAGCTACATCAAGCAGCACTTTGGAGGGGAAGGAAACGCCCTTTCAATTATAGGCACACCGAAAAGGTCTCCATCCTGCTTCTGCGGGAATGTGACCCTGTGAGAGGTCTGGCAGCTCCCACCCCACGGCCCTGCTGTCTGCACAGCTCCCAGGCTCAGCCATGTCAGGTTCTTCCTCAAGTGTCTCCTCACGGTGGCCCCTGACCAACCTATCTACCGATTTATTTTTGGTGCTGGAGACCAAACCCAAGGCATGGAGCATGCTGAGCACCTGCTCTACCACTGAGCCATGCCCAGCCCCTTTCCAACCCACTTAAAACACAGCCTCTCCCAGCAAGAGGACCCCAACCCCTGGAAGCACACGGCACTTGTAACATTCTATATAATTTGGTCACTTATGTAACGATTGCTTCTTATCTGCCTCCCCCTTAGGACGATGCTGCTTGAGAACAAGGATTTTTGCCCCCTGATTTGTTCATAGCCATCTGTCCCCCACGCAATTTGTTCAGGGATGTACCTCAGTGTCTAAATCCGTGCCTGACATCTACTTGGTGCTCAATAAATAGTTGCTGAATAAACAACTAAGTTATTTCTGCTAGGAGGATTAGGATGACTCTTCTTTTTATCTGTTGTGTTTTCCATATCTCCACCCTGTGTATCCACTAATATCATAATGACAAAGAAGAGGATTTTAAACAGAAGGCGAACTTACAGTAAACACTGCTTGAAGGTTATTGAGCTTCTCAATTTCCTTGGGCATCCCATTACTGCCCCAACGAATTAAATAGTTTTCACTGGCCAAAAAAAAAAAAAAAAAGAAAAGAAAAAGAAAATTATTCTTAATAAGAAGGCACCTGGGGAATGAAGGATGTTATTAGTGCTGGTTTCAAGGTAAAAGGAAGGAGCAGAGACACTCAGTGTAATTCAACAGGCAGGCGTGACAGTGGCCAGGTGGGGTGTGGGTCTCCTGGCTTTGGAAGTGTCCCCGCTGCACCTCACAGGGCACACTCATGCAGACAGTGGACGGCACAGGCATGGCAGACTTTATGGGACTCTACTTTCTGGGGCCTTCTTTCCATTTCCCATTCTTTGCAAAAGAACTCTCTGCCTTGCTGAGTCAAGAATTTAGTTTTATTACAGTCATTCAGATCTGCCCCTTGTCATCCATATCACCACAAGCAAAGACTGTTTTTTTAAATAAACATTTCATCAGTCTCTACTTTGAACTGCCTTCTTGAAAATAAGCCTGCACTTCCTTAGGAGCCCAGGAGAGCGCCACTCCAGGGCTGAAGAGGCCCGGCGTCATTCCCCAAGGCCTGGGTGGAAAACATTCTCAGAGACTTCGTTCTGTAGAGCAGCTCTGGGTTCACACGGAGGTTGAGCTGAAAGGACGGAGTTGCCACAGATCCCCTGCCCCAGGCACACACGGCCTCCCCCCTCCACGTCCCCCACCAGAGTGATCTGTTACAACCGACCAATCTGCACCAACGCAGCACTAACCCCCCACAGGACACAGGGGCCATCCGCATTCACCCTTGGTCTTGGGCATTCTAAGGGTTTGAACAAAAGTACGATGACATGCGTCCACCACGACTGGATCACACAGGCTGGTTTCAGGGCCCTAACAACCCTCTGTTCATCCCTCTCTTGCTCCTCCGCTGTGGTCTCCTGGACTCTTTGTTCTCACCTCTGTCCTGACTGGCTTCAAGTGGCCCCTGCATCCCGCGGAGTGCACGGGCTGAGGTCGCCCTGTTTAAGCAGCAATAGCAAAAAGCCTCCGAGACCAACGGACTTTCCTTCCTACTGCCTGGAAATCCTCTCCCTTTTGTTTTTCCTGCCTCCCCTTCTGAAAACGGGCATTTTGCAATGTCAACGGCAGGGGATCTGGGTCTTTGCTACCTGATGAAAGTGGACTGGTCTGGGTCGTAGAGGGCCATGAACAGCTCTGCGTCCTCCCCGATGTTGCAGACGAAGTTCTTGAAGTTCACATACAGGCCGTACGTGTGCACGGTGCTGAAGACCGCCTGGCCCCGCACATGCAGGTCCTGCAGAATGGACTGGAGAAGACATGGAAATGCCTTGGTTTCAGCCAACGGGAAACGCTGGCAAAGACATCATCCTGCACGTCAGGATCAAACAGAGCCACACCCTGCAGGAGCGGTCACTGAGAAGAAAGTGGACGGAAGCGGACCAGTGACCCAACCCACAGAGGGGCAAGGAATAAACATCACTGGACGATCCAGCGTCCCGATCAGAGCCTTGAACACAGGCAATTTAATAAACTCTGCCTGCAGGCGATGATTCCTGGTTTTAGTGGATTCAGGAAGGTCTTACCTCTTCATCAAGACTGCTGGATAAAGCTCAAAAACAGGGGAAAAAAATGAAAAAAAAAAAAAACCCTGATCTGTTAACCCTCTTTATGGAAATCACTCTCATTTTGAAACAAAAAAAATGGAGCCTACCTTCTAGGGACTAAGACCTCTGAAACTGTGAACCCTCAAATAAAGGTTTTCTCCTCTACACTTGTGCTACTCACATCCTTTAGTCACAGCAGCCCAAATGCTGACAAGAGAGAGACTTCACCCTGGGTGTGGATGCCACTGGATGCAGAAATACAGTTAACTATCATCATGACGCGGTAAAGAAATAAAAGCTATAAACTAAAGAAAATCAAGACAAATCTGTACTCATTAAAACAGAAAAACTGGAAAATACACCAAAATGCCAATAAGATTAGATTGGGGTAGTAACGATGTGGGTGACTCTTTTTCTCATCTGTTTTTCTACAGGTAATTTTTCTTTAATGTTCAGTTATTACTTTCAAAATCTTCCACTTCATTTTTCAATGTTATTTTTTACTTTCAAAAATAGGGAGCTGGGGTTGTGGCTCAGTGGTAGAGCGCTTGCCTAGTACGCATGAGGCTCTGGGTTCAATTCTCAGCACCACATAAAATAAAATAAAAGTCCATTGACAACTAAAAAAAAGTCTAAAAAAAAAAAATAGGAACGTATGCACCAAACACAGAAAGGTTACACAATAAAGTCTCCCTGCAACCTCATTATCCAGAGGCATCCTTTCATGATCAATTTCTTGTCTATCATTTCAGGGTTGCTCTCTGCACACATAAGCGTGTCTTTTTTCCCCCTGTATATTCTTTTATGAAACAGAAATGACAGCATGTTGTATACACCATCCTGCACCTTGCTTTTTCCACTTAGAATATACACAGCTCTGCAATCTTTCCTTAATAGAACATATAGAGTGGGCCGTTCTTTCTGCCGTTTCTCCTTTATAATGAGAAGGCAAATGACTGCCTAGACGTGTCGACTTCTGCTGTCAATGACTTCCTTCCTCTCGTTCAACAACCAAAGCAAAAATGGAATCTCAGCAGACAAAATCTTCACATTGGAGGAAATGTGTACCTTTTCTTCTTGGATCTTTTCCTCAATCCTTTTTGAGGCCACTTCATGGGCCTTGAAGAGGGCAACGGTGCTGGTTTCATCTGGATCCAAGATGTTCCCGTTGTCATCTCGCACCACCAGATCTAACCCAAGCATTCTGGAGAGGAGAGAGCAGCCAGGCAGTTACTCTTCCGCCAGGGCAGACTGTCCGTGGAAGAGCCCTCATAAAAGAACCCGGAGGACTCTCAGTCCTCTCCCCAGAGCCTCTCTGCCCTGGCCTTCTGTGATTTGGCACAGCGACTAGGAAAGACCAAGGCACAATTATCTGAGGGCCTGCCCTGATTTCCTTATTGAATTCAAGACAGTTTCACAGGAGGTCCATAAAGAAAGCCCTGGTTGTCGGTCTCACAACCATCCAAAGAACACAGCTCTGGAGTCATTTAGTCTAGGGTCTGAAGCATCGCTTTAATACTTGCTACCACTGTGACCCCTGAATCTTGCAAAGCCTGGGTTGCTTCATCTATAAATGTTTCCAACCCTTCCAAGTTCTCGGAGAAGTCCATGAGACGATGCATGCAAAGTACCGAATACAATCTCTCACACGGCACCCCATAAATGTCAGCCCTATCGCAGCAGCTGGCAGGGGAAGACCTGGCTGTATTAAGTTGCAGCTCTGGCTGCTGCATGGGAAGACCAGGGCCATAGAATCGCCCCTGCCAAGCCTTGGTGCCCAATAGGCACACAAAAGTAGAAATAATTTTGCTTCTTCCAAGAAGCTGGAGTCTGGCAGTAACAGAATACTGCTATTGGAACACCCCGTGTGCATGCCAGGCCCCAGAAACTTGGGAGCGGGGATGTCTAAACATCAAGAACACTCAGGAAAACACTGAAGTGCCAAGTCTCTGGGAAGAAAGTGAACATGCCTGAATGCCCCCTCGCTGTTTCACAGCACCTCGGTCCACTGATCCGATCTGGCAGGTTCCTTTCAACCACAGCCAGACCCATGGGCCACCCAGACTCATGAAGGAGGGCCTTGCTGGCTGCTCACACTGGGTCCCGGGTGCAACTGTCAGATCAGCTTCATTCCCCGAGCTGCCTTCAAGGGCTGGGATGGGAAAGCAGGCGTGTGCCACCACCTGCGGGGCATTGACATCCTGGGCCAGAGACTGAGGGGACTCCAGGCCAAGGCACTGGGGCAAGAGCCGAGACAGAGGCTGCACGTGTGCATGGAGAGACACCACGGTGGTGTGGATGTGAGGGGTCCCCTAAAGCTCACATGTGAGACAGGGCAAGAAGGTTCAGAGGAGAAATGACTGGGTTGTGAGAATCTTAACCCAATCAGTGAGTTAATCCCTGGAAGGGATTAACCGAGTGGTCACTGTAGGAGGGTAAGGTGTGGCCAGAGGAGGTGGCCATTGGGGATGTGCCTTTGGGGTATCTATTTTTTATTTGTTGAGTGGAGTTTGTAGCTCAGCTCTCTGATCCTCACATGCGCTGCTTCCCTGGGCCACACTCTTCCACCGTGACGTTCAGCCTCACCTTGAGCCCAAGGAATGGAGCCTGCTGTCTATGGACTGAGACCTCTGAAACTGTGAGTCCTCAAATAAACTTTTCCTCCTCTATAGTTGTTCTGTTTGGGTCCTTTTTCCACAGCAGTGAAAAAGCTGACTAAAACAGATGTCTTATTCCAGCTTGGCTGGCTTTCTATAAAGTCCTCTGACACTAAATGACAGAGAGAGCAACCAACTAACCCAAGTATCAGCAGGACCATGGGACGGGGAGTCAGGAGGGTTGGGTTCAAATGAAGCTCTCCCATCTACTATCTGTGTGATTTTGAAAGAACCACTTATGCTCACAGGGTCTCTTTGCTTTTTTTATTTTTTGGTACTGGGGATTGAACCCAGGGGTATCTTACCTCTCAATCATATCCCCAGCCCTTTTTATTTTTTATTTTGAAACAGGGCCTTGAAAAATTGCCATGGCTGGCCTCAAACATGCGATCCTCCTGCCTCAGTCTCCCAAGTCACTGGTATTACAGGCATGCACCAGCATACCCAGTTCATGGTCTGCTTCTTTACCCATAAAATGGGAATAAGAGCCATGACTTCATAAGGGCTTAAGATATAATGGGTACGAAGGAGGTGCTTCCTAAATACTGACTGGATGTGCATGTTATGTTGACTTCAGCTATTTCTGAATACAGCTGACAAATGGATAGGGTAATAAGCTGTATTTTAGTAGGTCTATGAGGCCTATAATCCCAGTGGCTTAGGAGGCTAAGATAGGAGGATCACGAGTTCAAAGCCAGCCTCAGGAAAAGTGAGGTGCTAAGCAACTCAGTGAGACTCTGTCTCTAAATGAAATACAAAATAGGTTTGGGCATGTGGCTCAGTGGTTGAGGGCCCCTGCATTCAATCCCCAGTATCCCTCCAAAAAAAAGAGTCCCGAGGCTAGAGAAATGAATTAAAGGTATTGAGAAAAGAAAATCACGTATTCACAAGTTGAAGAAACTTGGAAAACGGAATGCAATGCCATACGGATCCCAACAAAAGCTAACTAGAGACCCACTGCCACCTTTGGGAAAGGGCTATCTGGGAGGCGTGAATGCCAGGCCTCTACCCACTGGGATAAACTGACTGAACTTCTCATTTCCCAAAAGGCAGTGACAGCTGGGACCTACTCCCTGAACTAATCGGAAGATCAATAAAGTGATGGGCACTTCAGAGGTGACTGCAGACATAATCACTGGCTGGAAACACCTCTTGCTGCTCTGGAGATGCCAGTTTTCAATCACTGTAAGCCAGGGTCCCAACCAGGGGAAGAAGGAAAGGAACAGAAGGAGCCTGACAGTGAGCTAGCATCCACTGCTGGAGCAAAACGCAGACACGGTCACAGGCCTCTCCGAGGGCCAGCTCCAGTGCTTAGTCCCTTTCAGCTTCTGGGGCAGCAGAGCAGCCTCATCCCAAGCTCCAGGCTTTCTATTTAGGTGTTAGCGCCATGAAGGCAGGGCCAACACGGTGTCTGGACCGCAAGGCGACCGTGAAAAATGTTCAATGAAACTAACTGTTTTCTAAGACACCAAGAGAGTAGAAAGCGTCATTCTCTGGTCACTCATAGATCAAAAGTTTGTTGTGAGGCTGGGGAGGGTGGGAGTGGGGGTGAGGGGAGGCACAGGGGGGCAGTCAGATAGGAGGAGAAGCACGTAGTGCTTTACAGCACTGCAGGGTGACCATGGCTGGCAGCAATGAACGGTAGGTATATTCCAAATAGCCACTAGAGAACTCTGAATGTCCCCCCGAAAAAGAAATGATCACTGTTTAAGGTGGTGGACATGGCTGGGCGTGGAGGTGCACGCCTGTAATCCCAGAGGCTCTGGAGGCTGAGGCAGGAACATCACAGGTTCAAAGCTAGCCTCATCAACTTAGCGAGACCCTAAACAACTTAGAGAGATCCTGTCCCAAAATAAAGAATAAAAAAGGCTGGGGATAGGGCCCAGTGATTAAGTGGCTCTGGATTCAATTCCTGGTACCCGCCCCCCCCCCCAAATAAAGAGTGGATGTGCCAATTATGCTGATCAAACCATCACAAAATTGTATCCACGTGTTGAAATACCACACTGTTCCCCACACCTATGTACAATTATTGTGCCAATTAAAATTTTTAAAAAATTTTTTTAAAGATGTTCTTTGGGAATAGTGAGTATCCTCAGCATGAAGGTGTGGTCATTTTCAGGTTTCCAGTGAAGGGCACCCTCAGTTTACCTGTTCCCATGATCAATTTTGGCTGTGACCTTCTTCTTGAGCTCTGCCAGTTCGTCCTTGGGGAGTGTCCCAGACAGGATCTGGGAGCGCCACTCGATCAGGCTGTAGGTCATCTGCTGCAGCTGGCGGAAGAGCGTGACCTTGTTGTTCTAAGATGGGAAAAAGAGGTGGAGAAAAGATATTGGAAAAAGAAATGGTGCGCTGGAGAGGGAGCGTCCCTGATGGCTTCCTTGGGAGTGTTACTTAGCCAGCTCGCTGTGCTACAGGACACACTGTGCACTGGGAGGGAATGGCGTTGCCCGGGGCTCCCTCTGTTCACTGCAACTTGAAAAGTGGCAAAGTGCTAAGGGACATGGTGGTTCATGCTTATAATTCCAGCCCTCGGGAGGCTGAGGTAGGAGCATTGCAGGTTTGAGGCCAGGTTCCGCAGCTTAGTGAGAACCTGTCTCAAAACATAAGACCTGGGATGCAGCCGAGTGGCAGAGCACCTGGTTCACTTCTCAGTACTGGCAGAAAACAGGAAGATGGATAAGCAATTTGTGGGAAGGCTGGCTGGTCCTCAATTCCAAGTACATCAAAACCCACCCACCCTCAAATTCCTATCATGTCTTTCCTGCTTAAAACCCTCCAGGGACTTCCCCCAGACACCTCCAAGCCCAGGGCATTTCCCACCAACCTCTGTGGGTTTCTCCCAGCGGCTCCGCCCCTCTCCTACGGCATTTCCCCTGCTGCTCCTCCCACCCGGCCCCAGCCCCTGCTCACCCACACTGGGCACCTCCACCAACTGGCCATGCTGACTTCAGCTGCCACTCAGGAGCTCTCCCTTAAAGCCCCAACTCATGTCTCCGCTGTGGCCGGAATTGACCAGCACCCAGCACCCAGCACCCAATGGCCTGGCCTGTCCCTCGTGAGCGCTCTGTGGAGGATGAGCCCCTACCACAGGAGGAGCATGTTAGTTTTGTCCCTAGTGGCCAGCACTGAGAAGGCGTTCTAAAAAATGTCCTGGAGGACAGAATCATGAATGGAGAAAGAAATGTGATTTCAGGGTCAGGGATATTTGAAAATAAAATGATAAATATTACTTTTAAATCTTTATTTTCCAGGAAAATTGTTAGATTATTCAGATATGAAACTGTTATTTAGGGCTCTTCTAATAACTTACTATAACTGATCCAAATGAAGTTACAACCAACTGATCACATCCCTAGTCCTTTGTTCTTTTATATTTTTGAGGCAGGGCCTTGCTAAGTTGCTGAGGCGAGCCTCAAACGTGATCCTCCTGCCTCTGCCTCCAGAGTCTCTACAATTTCAGGTGTGCAACACTGTACCTGGTTTCATTATATACACACACACATGTATATACGTATATATATATACACATATGTATGTGCATATATATACATACATACATACATATATATATATCTTTAAATCAGCCAACAATGAGCATGTGCTATGTGCTGGAAACAAAGTTTTGCACCCAGGAGTCTAACATTCTAGAGAGGGAACGAGAGCAATAAATAAGTATACAGAAAATATTATACAAGACATTATGTTATATCCATACACACACAAGACAACTTCAGACTATGAAAAGTGACAGAAAGAAAATAGAAAAACCATTACAAATAAGAAAGAAAGTAAGAACATAAATAGGGCAATATGATGTTGGGTACATAGGGGGAGACCACTCATATAGAGGGATGAGGAAAACCGTTTTGTGGATCACTTTGACATATGGCAGAACCTGGGGGATTCTGCTCAGCCCACGTACACTAGGAAACCGCTGTCTTCTTACTCTCAGGTGAAAGTCGCGATAGGGAGATACGATTGCGGACCTCTGGAGTCACAGAAAACCACAGATCTGCTGTGCCCCCAGTGCCTGTGCGCACACACTGGGGCGCTGCTGTGGCTCTGCGGCAATGACCTCTTCTGCAACGCTCCCGGGGACACGCCCTCCTGGGCAGGGGCCTTCTGAACAAACAGTAAAGGTGGAGGGAGAACCCACAGCCTGCAAGGGGCCATGAGGTCAGCAGAGTGTGACGAAACCTTGTTCAGTTCAGAGTTCATGGGAACACACAGGCGCGGGAGGAAGCACCAGTTATCTGCAACTGCCATCTGCTCTGTTAACTGTGGATCTGAAAATGAGAGGCGAAGCCTGTGGACAACTGGAAACTGCCCCGTTTTCGTGCTTTAAGCCTTTTTTTGGACCATACTTCCTCCTAAGTCAGTCCTTAGAGAAGCAGAAAAAGAGACAGGCACACATTCTATTTTATGAGCAAAGCACTTTTTTTTTTTAATCCAATCCTCTATAAAATCTTTCCGTTTCACTGGTTTCCCAACTGGAAAAAGGAGTGAGAAATTCAATCTAGAAGATTTTCAAAACGGTTAGGCAGAAAGGGCATCCTTTCTTCTTCTTTTCTACAATCCACTTGTCTACTTATTGTTATTATTTTAATGTTTCCCGGTTTTAATTAAGATGTGACTTGTGGCAGCGCGGGAAGGAAAGGACTCCAAAGCTGGCGAATCCTGGGGCGGCAGCACTTGGGGCACATGTTCACCAGTTCTCAGCCCCCGTGACATCAGACGCTGCTGATGGCAAGTGAATGACGGCCTGTCACACCCGCCCTGTTGCCAAGTCTTCCCCTGAGGAGGATGGAGAAGCCGCTCTTTGATTCCTGGGCAAGTCAGCTCTGAATAGACAAGCTGAGCGCCCGTAAAAGGAGGGGTCATGAGGCAATTAGGTCCCTGGCAGTGCCTTCCTGAGGGATCAATGCCGCACTCCTGGAAGGTTTTCATTTATTTATCTATCTATTTATTTATTTATTTTCTCTCTCTCTCTTTTTATACTGGGGACTTAACCCAGGGGCACTCTACCACCAAGCTATGTCCCCAGCCCTCTTTTATTTATTTATTTATTTTTATGTTGAGACAGGGTCTTGCTAAATTGCTAAGCTGGCTTTGAACTTGCAGTCTTCCTGCCTGGGCCTCCCAGGTCGCTGGGAATACAGACATATGCCACCATTCCTGGCTGTGAGTTGGCTCTTGATAGAGCAAGTTGTTATAAAAAGAGCAAGCCTGGCCCCTGAATCACTCTTCCTTCTCACCCTGTGTTCACATCCTCTTGTCCTGATGCAAGCCATGATTATGTAACACCATCAGGGGGACTCTCACCAGAGGCCAAGCGGATGCAGTTGACCAATCTTGGACTTTCTGTGAGCAAAATAAACCTCTTCTCTTTATAAAGTACCCAGTCTCAAGTATTATGTTATAGCAAGAGAAAATGGACTAATTCACCCTCCTTCCTGCCCTGTTTTCTAAATCCTGTGCAGCCCACGCCTGCATACTGAGAAGGCCCAGAGTGCCTTCTCTGCTATGTAGTCTCCATTACTGTAGTCTTTTCGGCAGTTATCAGCCATTGTCATGTGGGATAATAATTTCTTTGACCCTTTTTGCAAAACTCCACACAATCCTAGGATACAGTAGGACCTCAAAGACAAATTCTGATGACTCAAATTTAAAAATGGCACTGTGGTTTTGAGTGAGGAATGGCTACACAAAATAAAACCTTGGTTATCTTTCTCCTAGACAGTGGAGACATTCCTGAATTTGCTTAGCATTTCTTCTGCTTTTCTGCTTGCAAATATCTGAGGTCTCACTTTTTATATTCCTAATCCAGTTGTTTATCTTTTAAAAAAAAATTCTGAAAATTAAATTCACAAGATTAAATAGCTTTGCCTTTTGTTGTCCATGAAGTGGCACAGAAATTCTGAGGCCATTCAGATAACCGCATTGATTCTGAGTGTCAGAAAACACGGATTCTTCTCTCCTTTTCTCCACGAATGAGACCACAGCCAAAAGCCTTTTCTCGGTGCTCCAGATCTCCATGTGCAACAGAAGCCATGTCAGCTCTGCTCACCAAACTGTCCTGTTCCACGTGGATTTTTCGATTTGGAGTACAAAGTGCTTGAGGAAACAGATGGGGGTTGCCTTCTATCTCTAATTCTGTCATTAACTTGCTTTGTGACTTTGGGCAAATCATGCCCTGTGGGATAAGCTCATTTGTAAAACTCAAGGCAGTGTCCGGAGATCCATTCCCAAGGACAGGGCCTTCAAGCCCGCCAGAGACGCCTGACTCCACTGATCCTCCCCAGCAACCCCCTGGTTAACTGTGGGACCTCACTCCTCATGTGCTTGTGCATTTGGCATGTGTGACATCAAATTTCCCATGCTCAGAGTTTTGCAATAGTCTCCTGTCTTTCCACGCGGCTGTTAACTCCTGGGGCCGAGTCCTGGCACTCTGATCCTTCTTCATCCTTGAGCCGCAGGGACCACCCAGACACACTTCCTGTCCACCCAGGGCCTCAGCTCTCCATCCCATGACGGAGGATTGCTCGCCTAGCCAAAGTCTGAATTCCAAAGACAAGATTCAAATTCTAGACCCTCTTTTGCCTCCCGAAATAAAGGAAATCCTGAACGCCAAGAAAAACCAAAACGCAGAGAAAAATCAAAACTGGAAAAATACCCAAAGCCCTCTCCGTGCCTTGTCCCTGTCACCTCCACGTCACGCCTCATCCTTCTCATCAGAGCCACGTGGAAGTGGGGCTGGCAATTCACAGATAAAGCACCTTGACAACAGGGTGAACAGCTGTCGGAATTTTCTGTCCTTGGGAAGAAGCGATCCGATGCTGGTTTCAGACCATGAGACCAGCTCAATGGCCCTTCAGAGCTGGTGCTCCAGCAATAACCAGCCGGTCACCAAGTCAGCCTTAATCTGCCAGGATAGGGAATGACAGGAGACACCTCAGCCACAGGGCCCTTCTTAGCTCCACAGCTTTCTAGAACTGTAGTCAGACTCAGGGTTTTTAAATGGAGGTGAGCGGAGACCAATCCTCCCCATGAACTCTGGGTTACCAGTTAAGCTCACTGGGTTCTACACCGTGGATGAACCACCGCCACCACCAGGTTCTGTGGCCATCTGCTCTCACTCAGGGGACAGGCCTGCCTGGCCAGCCCTCCCCCACCCTTTCTCTAGCTAGAAGGCAGGACCAAGACATATCGGGGGGAGGTGGTAGGCAACAGATTTCCAGGCCAGAAGTCAGATACCACATGAATCTGACCATGTCCGGGTCAGTGCTCCTGTGTCCAC